GAAGCTAATCACTCATAGCTAAGCAATAACATTTGCAGTCTTTGTAGGGTAAGGAAAAAAACAGGTAATGCTGCAGAGGAGCACAGTAAAACTTAACGGGGAGTTTTGAAAAAGAAGTAGGTGCTGAGGAAGGATTTCTGGGTGCCAAGACTTATTTTTCAACAGAGGACTCTCACAAGTGTTATTTTAGACAGTTATGCACATCAAAGCACCAGGATTTATCAGCAGGAAACAAGTTTATGTTGATTTCCAGGCTACCTCTCACTGCTCAAGAGCAGGCTGTGCAGGAAACACCTGGGATGGACAAAAGCAGAGCTCCACACAAATGCTTACCGATGAAGGGATCAATGACATGCCGCTTCTTCACCTTGGTTTCCGTGATGGCTGCATAATAGGCACAAGTCATTTTGATGAGCCACGCCGCTCTCATCACTGGAACAGTGTATTTTGCCAAATAACCAAAGACCTCTTCCTTCTTGCTGAAGATGGGTACCTGCAACAGAACGGAGAGGGGGAATCGCAACCACGGACTTGGACAGGAACTATTCCGAAGCAATCCTGCACGCCGCAGGCACTACGACCACCTGTGTAGGGAAAAAAGGTCCCGTGCTGCTCTGTCTCGAGAAACCTACTGCAAGAATTTGTCTCTGGTCAGAAAGCAACAGCATCAGAGCTGCATTTCAGTATAAACAGAAACAAAACAAATCGAAAGAAGACAGAAAGCACGATTACATCGCTGTAAATCCACACCCCGAATCCTGCAAACAGCTCTGAGGATATCCTCCAGAGAGGATGTAAACAACTACAAAAGGTGCAGGCGAAGGACTGAGTCAGGAACGAGCATGAGGACAGACTGAAGACAGGAATCTTCACGTTGTAAACAAAACAGAATGGTTACAAAAGTCTTGTAATAATATCACAAGCGGCCAACAGAAGACTGCGAGAAACAGGGAATTGAATACCACAGTAGGAAGGAATTCATTAATCCAAGACTCAAAAATTCAAGAGAAAGCATGGGAGGATACCAGTGAAATCATCAGCCTGCAGATTTATGAAGCAGGAAGTGGTAACACAACACAGCAAAACACACAGCTGCGGGGCTCACTTGCACGGGATTCTATGGAGAGCACAAGTATTTGTGGGTTTACAGAGCTACGAGAAATTCAAAGGGAACAGGTACATTTTGTAGGTATCAAGTTCCCTAACCTACTGACTGTTGAATCACTTACTCGCTGTGTTTCTTACATTCTGCCCAATTATTCTCTGATGCTTCACTGTCATGGACTGCTCGGCTACCAACTGCAGCTGTTTTCACATGTAAGTCCATTAAAACTGATGGAGCAGATTGCAGAAAACTGGGAGAGGCCTTGAAAGGCTCAAATTTTCACAGTGATCTCAAGAACCTGACAGCTGATGTGCAAAGGAAGATATACAGACTAAATTCATTAAGAGACTGGAGACAGATTGTGGGGAAAAACAATGATTTTATTTTCCCACGGCTGACTCAGAATTCCAAGGGCCAGGCAAATTCCAGCTTCTAAACTCCGTGCTCTGCTTCTATTTCGCAACTGGAAGTTATATTTTTCCACACTGCACAGTAGAGCCCTAGGTTCCATCTTTATTGGCCCAGCACGATGGGCCGTTAGCTCCCCTTGTTATTGGGCCCTAGGAAATGGCAGAGTAGGACCCTTCTTCCTTCTCACATACCCTAAAGCATTCAGTGCTGCCAGGGTAATCCCTAGCCCTATCCCCCACAGCACAGAAATGCTTTACAGTTTGGTCTCAGCCAGGCTAACACGCGCACTGGTCTCGGCTTAAAACCAGAAACACGTGTCACTGCAACTGCAGTCTGGGAAGTAACTCAGCTGATCACTTCCAGTAATTCCCACTGCAACTTTGGAGAAGTTGGAAACCCCCACAATAGGAAAGGTCCTCATCTAAACAACAGGCCAAAGGCGACAGCAGCAGCTCTTCTGAGAAACATCAGAACCTCAGCAGAAATCAGTCTCACGCCACACGAGGCAGGAAGCAGAGCTGAACCCAGCCTCCAAATAAAAGACAAGGGACCAAAGGATTGAGCAAGGAGACCACAAGTAGTGCAATGCACATCCTGGATATGCTCTTCGAGCTGGAAACTTCAAGAGATGTAGATGGAAGAAACTCCTCCAAGCAGTAAAACCTTCTATTAAGCAAACACTTCAGAAGGAAGCACAGGATAAAATGCTCTGCCCTGCCGGGCAGCCTCCCCTGCCACATACCTTCTTGGCCAGGTGAGTGAGAGGCTTAGTCCCAGCCAGATCGGTGAACCAGTTGTTTATGGCACTCTGCGAACGCGCTGTCACCAGCCAGAAGTTATCCTTCTGATTCACCTGGGGTTTCCGTCTTCCCGTGTCCGGCAGTGTATTGCACCGCAGCTTTTCTGCAATAATACTACTAAAATTTGAACTGATCTGGAGGAAGGAAAGAAAGAAAAAGGACAAATTACATTTCATGGCTGAAAACTCTGCTCTGTTCACTTAAAATCCCATCTATCCTTCCTGCCAGAAGTCCCACCGGTTATGAACTTCTGAAACACACACACACAAAAATGCCAATAATTTCCGTTACTATCCTCGCAAAGAGGAATGCTTCTAGATGACAATACAATAACTGAGCAAAGACTCCAGCTGAGCTGGACACAACTTCTTATAAACACTTAAGTCAAACCAGACCGAGGGCTTCTGGGACAGAGGTGAGCCAAAGAAAACAAAACCACCGTGCTTATCGAATTGCCTTCCACCCCAGGTCACTGCCAGTCCCTTCAGAAGGGAGCCCAAGCAGTTAACGCCTTAATATCAGAAAAATGAAGCCGAAGCCTGTTTTGCAACCCCTGCGTTTAAATTGCCAGATGTTTCAACAAACCTTACATCTCTTCCACCATCACAATGATCTAACCAGGCCTATTCTGAACAAGTTTCTCGCTACCAGTACCGTGGCCTCCTGCTTTAACTGCAGAATATCAGGACAGATCTACCAACCAGAGATAAAGCCACTTGGCTGTACCAGGCCAGACAAGGATCTGCTCTCAGAGCTGGGAACCGCAGCTGCTGCCCAACACCAAACTCTGACCGTGCAGGGGCAGCTCCCGCAGCACCATCGCGAATACAAGGAGGCCACCAGCAGACCCACGGCCACCAGGAACAGCCCAGCCCAGCCCCGTGACCTGCCAGGGGGGCTGCTCCAGCAGGCTCTCACCTTGGCGGGGTTGAAATTGACGTTTTTGGCGCTGCCGTGTTCATCCCCAGAGACGGCAGGCTGGTTGTTGAAGCCTTGCTTGACGTTCAGGGCGGTCAGCTCATCCTGAGGGGGGGGAGGCGGTCAGTGTGCCCTGAGGGGTCCCGGGGGGTCCCTTGGGTGTCCCTGAGGGGTCCCTATGGGTCCCTTAGAGGTCCATGGGGGATTCTTGGGGGTCCCTGAAGGGTTCCTAGGGGGTCCCTTGGAGATCCATGAAAGGTCTTTGGGGGTCCCTGAAGGGTTCCTAGGGGGTTACTAGGGGGTCTCTAGGGGTCCCTTGGAGGTCCATGGAGGGCCCTTGGGAGTCCCTGAGGGGTCCCGGGGGGTCCCTGAGGGATTCCTAGGGGGGTTCTTGGGGGTTCCTTGGGGGTCCCTGAGGGGTCCCCGTGGGCCGAGGCCTGTCCCGGCCTCCCCCCTCCCTCCCCCCCCCCCCCGGTCAGGGCCGGGTCCCCCCCCAACGGGGCCTGGCCCTGAGGGGCTGCCCCCTACACCCCATCAGCCGCCCCCCTCAGCACCTCCTTCTGCTTGGGGTCCTGCGGGTAGACGTCGGGCGGGCCGAGGCGCGGCCGCTTGAGCGGGCGGTGCTCGTAGCTGAGCACTCCGAAGGCCGCCATCCCGGGCTGCCGGCGGGCAGCGGCGGCCGGGCCACAACAAGGACCGCCGGGGGCCGCCCGCCACTGCGCCTGCGCCGACGGCCCGGCAAGGCCCGAACGCTTCCGGACGGACCCGAGCGGCGCCGGAGTTCCCCGAAGCGCAGCCGAAAGCGGACGGAGAAGCCCGAAGGGGAGGGCCCGAGCCTGCGCCGGGCGGAGGCGGAAAGTGCCGAAGGGCGGCCGAGGGGCGAGCGGCGCCCCCTGGCGGACGCGGCGGGGTCACGTGGTCGCGCCCCCCCCTCCCAAGCCGCACCCCGGGGCCGCTCCTCGGCGCCCCGCCACGTGCCCGCCCCGACGGCACCCCCGGGACACCCCGGGACACCCCCAGGGATCCCGTGGGACCCCCACAGGACCCCCAGGGATCCTATGGGACCCCCAGGGATCCCGTGGGACCCCCAGGGCACCCCCAGGGATCCCACAGGACCCCCAGGAGACCCCACGGGACCCCCACAGAACCCTCGAGGGACCCCCACAGCACCCCCAGGGCACCCCACAGGACCCCCAAGACACCCCAGGATACCCCAGAACACCCCAGGACACCCCCATGGCACCCCCAGGAACCCCATGGGACTCTGCAGGACCCCCCAGGACCCCTAAGGGGACCCCCACTGCACCCCCATGGCACCCCATGGAACCCCAGGGGACCCCCATGGAACCTCCAGTTATCCCACAGCACCCCCACAGGACCCCACAGCACCCCCAGGGGACCCCACGGGACCCCCATGCCATCCTTACCCCATCTTTACCCCGTCCCACCACTCCCAGCCCACCCCCCGTTACCTGCCCACTGCCCAGCCCCATGACCGCCCCCCACCACAGCCCCCTCCCCACCACAGCCCCCATATGACCACCACCCCATATGTGCCCACGGGCCTGCCCACAGTTCAGGACCCCCACAGCAGCCCTGATCCCAAGGGGCCGAGCTGTGGGGTCCCAGCAGGGCCCCAGAGCTGCGGGGGCCAGGCAGGAAGAGCGGTGGGGCCCCGTCGGGGCGTCATATAGGGTGGGCCCTCGGCGGCGGGCGGCGCCGTGTGGCAGGAAGCGGCGGCGGGTGCGGAAGCCATCGGCGGAGCAAGGTGGGCTGCGCGGGGCCGTCGCACGCCAGCCACGCCATGGCGGTGCCCATGGCTTTCTTCGCGCCCGTCCTGCTGTTCATCGGGCTGGGCCCCCACCTCGCCACTGCCCATGGCCCCACAGGTAATGGGGGGGAGCCTGGTGGGTGGTGGGGTCAGGGACAGCACGCCCCAGTGATGGCGGCCAAGGGGAGGATGCGGGGCCATGTGCCGTGCCTTGGGGCCGCCAGCAATGGGGCTGTGGGGAGAGCCGGGCTGTGCCGGGACATCCCCCTGGCTGTCTGGGGTCCCAGCTGGGAGCTGGAGCACTGCTGGCCCTGTGGGTGCCAGCCCCACGCTCTCCCACCCCACAGCCTCCAGCCCCACATCTCGGGTAGCCACGGGGCTCCCAGCACTGAGGGCAGAGGGAGCCTGGCCATTGGGGCAGCCCCACGGCTCCCAGCCAAGGCCCAGCTCCGAGCCCCCAGGAGATGCCAAACGAGGCCCTGCGGGTGCCGGGGGGCTGCGGGAGGGCTGGGCCGTGGGCACCCCGTGCCTGTCCTGTGCGGTCGCCTCCATTTCCATCCCCATGGCAGTGCCACACGTATGTAGGGCCCGGGGGTGGCCGGCTCCTCGCTCGCATCGGTGCCCCTGCAGCTGCTGCTGCGTTCGGAAAGCCCAGCTGCGGGCTGCCCAGTGGCCAAATATCTGGTTTCCAAATCAACGCCGCCCCTCTGCTATCTCCGGGCCTTGCCGCCGGCCCTCCATTTCCACACGCCGAAGCAACCAGAGTTCGGCACACGGTTGCTCGGCTTCATGATTTATCTGGGGTTACAAAATGGCAAACCCACGTTTCCTCTGGAAAAACATGCTCACAGCGGGCCCGCTGGCGCAGCATCCTGCACAGGCAACCACAGCCGGCACCGAGCGGGGCACCGGGCTGCGCCGGGCGGGTTTTGTGCCTTGAACCAGACTTTGTTTTGTTTTGTTTTGTTTTTTTAACCAGTTTGGGGTGCAGACCCTGGCAGAGCCCCGCAGAAGCCAGCGGTGCCGCCAGGCGCGCGGTGCCGCGGTTCGATCAGGGCAGGAAGAGCCGAGCACGGATGCGGGAGGGAGAGGCGCTGAGCTCGCACTTCTCCAGAGGAAGACGTGGGGCTGGCATGGGCCGTGGGCAACGCGAAAGCGGAAAGTGACCGGTGGTTTCTGTCCCTGCAGGGGTGGAGTGCGTCCTGTTCAACGAGGAGTACATGACCTGCAAGTGGGGCAGCAGGGAGACGCTCACCGCCAACTACTCCCTCTACTACTGGTAGGTGCCCCCGCCCCACGCCAGCCCCCCGCAGGGTTTCCAGCCCCCACTGGCACCTCTGTGCCGAGCCCGGGGCTGGAGGCTTCGTCTGTGGGCTCGCTGGGGTGGGATGCACCTGGAGAGGGCTCCAGGAAGGGTTGGGGTCCCGGGGAGCCCCCGTAACCCTCTGCGCACAGGTACGAGACCAGGTTGCCCATGCTGGAGTGCAAGCACTACCTGTGGGACCAGGGGGTCAGCGTCGGCTGCCACTTCAACAAGAGCGAGATCATCCAGTTCCAGCCTTTCCACGTCCTCCTCAACGCCAGTGTCAACGGCCAGACCCTGGAGATCCGCAGCAAGCGCATGGAGCTGCAGGACCTCGGTACGGAGCGGGGCAGGGGGTCCCCAGGGCTCCCCAGGGCCACCGGGGCGCGGGGACGGCGCTCACCGGGCTCTGTCTGTGCTGCGCAGTGAAACCGGGGGCTCCCGTCAACCTGACCATCCGCAACATGAGCAGCAACCAGCTGCAGCTGACCTGGAGCTCCCCGTACCCCAAGGCGCAGTGCCTGGAGCACGCCGTCAAGTACAAGAGCAACAAGGACACCAGCTGGATCGTAAGAGGCACTGGGGAGGAGGGCACCAATCCCCTGCCCGTCCCCACAGCGCTGGCACTCACCGCCTCTCCCTTTTCTCTCCCCAGGAGCACGGGGTGAAGGGAGACATCTTCTCCTTCCCCAGCGTGGACTACGAGAAGTACTACACCTTCTACGTGCGCAGCAAGATCAACAGCTACTGCGGCAGCACCCAGCTCTGGAGCGAGTGGAGCGTCCCTGTGGTCTGGGGCAGAAACACCACCAGCAAGGGTAGGGACGTGCCCACGGCGCCGGCTCCTTCCCCTGCCCCGCGGTGGCTGTGCGCCGGCTGGGTCCCCACCACCAGGGCTCCTCACAGGTCTCGCGGAGGAGCAGCTGCAGAGGTTCTGGATCCACACGGTTCTCGTCCCCATCGCCTCCTGCCTGCTGCTGCTGGTCCTCGTCGTCCTGCTGGTGCGCATGGAGAGGTGAGCGGCCGGCCGGGGGGCGCGGGGGGTGGGTGTGGGGCAGCGCCTGCCCCTCCGACACTTGTGTCCCGCGCAGGGTTTGGGTCATCCTCATGCCCCGGATCCCCAACCCCAGCAAGAACTTCGACGAGCTCTTCATCACCCACAACGGGAACTTTCAGGTAAGTCGCCCCATCCCGTGGTGGGGCCGGGCTGAGCTGGGTGGCACCTCCTGACCCCACTCACCCTGCTCTGCCCCCTGAGGAATGGGCTGGAGTCCCCAAAGACATGCTGGAGAGCTTCAAGCCCAACTACAGCGAGAGCATCTGCCACGTGAGCGAGCTGCCCTCCAAGGAGAGCCACGAGCCCCAGTGGGATGGCAGCAACCGCCCGCCGGGGGGGCCCGGGGCCCCGGCTGGGCCCCGTGAGCACAGCCCCTACCAGAACAACTACGTGGGGGTGTGACGCTGCCAGCAGCGCTGCCCAAACCCATCCTGCCCCCTGCTCCCTCCCTGCCCCTGCCAAATGCCCCCAGTCCCGCTCCCTGCCACGGTGTGCCAGCACCCGTCCCGTCCTCAGCGCTGGGTGTCCAGCCGGGCACAGCCCCGGGGGGGATCCCTTTTGGGGGATCCCTTGCTCCGTGGTGCCCATGAGCACACCGGGGATGTGTCCCTGTGTGGGGCAGCCCCGGTGGCACCCGGTGACGCCCAGCGGGGACAGCCAGGCTGTGCTCCCAGCCCCCGTGGTGGTGCAGCAGGGCTGGCTGGTGGGGACATGCAGCCGAAGGAGCACCGAGGGACGGGTGCTGCACTGAGGGACCCCTAAGGGGACAAGCCACCGGGCCACCCCGCTGTCATCGGGCACCGGGCGAGCACAGCCTGGCCTCTTGCTTGCTTGCACCGCGGGTTTCCAGCTGCAATAAAGCTCTGCTGCACTTTGTTTTGGGTCGGGCTCATTCCTGGGGTCTTGGGGCGGGGAATTTGGGTTCACCAGCACCCCAGCACCCCCGTTCCGACCTCACAAACGCCACGGGGCAGGGAGCAGCCCCACGGTTCCATCCCGCAGCAGCATGTTCATCTGCATCAACCATGGTGGTGAGTCCCCTCCCGGCCCCGAGGACATGGCAGGGGGACACTGCGGGTCTCCAGGACGTCCCCTTGGCCACCGCCACTGTCCCCACAGACAACCAGAGCTTCCTGGTCAACACCGACTGCCCCGTCCTGCTGCTGCTCTCCCACCTGAGGAGCAAGGTGGGGGTCCCCGCCACCGGTGAGCTCAGGGGGCAGCGGGCGGGACCCCACAGGGGCTCCCCATGCGGGCTGGCACCACTGGGACGTGCACCCCGGCTTTTCCAGACGTCATCGATGTGTGCGACAAGCTGGGCACCCCCAAGCTGCTCTTCCAGGTCAAGACCCTACGGGAGAGGGCCAGCGAGTTCCTGCCAGCGCCCGGCACCTACTACGTGTGCAGGGTGGAGTTGGGCACCCCCGGTAGGCGCAGAGCCCCCCCTGTCCCTGTGGTCCCCGCAGGGCACTGCAGTGGGTGTGACGGCAGTGCCCGCAGGCACCGCGCAGGAGCTGGCATCGCGGACCTTCACGCCCCTGCTGAAGGACCCCAGCGTGGCGCTGATCGGTGGGTGAGGAATGGGGACCTGCGGGGTGCACACTTTGGGGTTATTCCCCCCTGGGGGCCACCATGAGCCCCCAGCCCTGTCCCCGGTGCAGAGGGACTGCGGCACCACGGGCAGCACACGCACAGGAGGCTCCAGCGCTCGCTGAAGGCTGCGGAGGGCAGGAGGGCGCCGGCCACCGAGGCACTGCCCGCTGGCACCTACAGCCAGGGAGCGGTAAGGGGTGGCCCTGCGGGACCGGGTGGCGCTGGCACTGCCACCTCCCATAAGGCCACCTCCACCCTGAGGACGGGGACACCGCCACCACGTCCAGGGGCCTTCCTCACCTCTCCAGCTCCCGGCATCTCCTGGGTGCCGGGTGGTGGGAGCTGCCCAGTGCCCACACACGCTGTCCCCATGCCCGCTGTCCCCACATGGTGCCACCCCTCCTCCCTGTCCCACTGCCCCATTGTCCCTCTGCGTGTCCCCATGCCACCCCATATCCACCCCATCCCCATGTCCCCAGCACCATTGCGTGGCCACATCCTGCAGCCTTGCCACCTCATGGCCACATCCTTGTCCCGGTACCCCTGTCCCTGTCCTGGTACCCCCGTCCCCATCCCCGTCCCTGTCCCCATCCCCATGCCACCCCCGTCCCCGTGTCACCCCCGTCCCTCCCTGCAGGGCAAGGCAGCGGCACGAGGCGCGGCGCGACCCGGCGAGGAGCAGGAGGGGGCTCCCCGCAGGACCCCGCAGTCCCCGGGGGGGCGGCAGCAGCGGCCGAGGCAGCGCTGAGCCCAATAAAGCCGCGGGGCCGCCGGCACCGGGACACCGGACCGGGACCGCGCCACGTGGCGCCCCCCGCCGGCGGGGCAGCACAAGCCACGCCCCCTTTTCCTTTTATGGGCGGGGCTCCCTCAAGCCACGCCCCCTTTCTGGGAGTGGGCGTGGCCAGCCCCGGTAACTTTCCACCCGGCCACGCGGTGCCGCCCCCTCGAGGCCACGCCCCCCGGCGGTGATTGGCGGAGGCGGCGCCGAGGCCACGCCCCCCGCCCCGCACCGGGCTGCCGCGGTGCCCGGCTCAGCGGGGCCGGCGGCCGGGACGGGACCGGCCGGGACGGGGCGGGCGGGGCCGGCACCGGGACCGGCACCGGCACCGGGCGGCGGCGCACGGCGTGGGCTCACCATGATCGTGTGTCCCCAGAGCATGGAGCACCCCCGAGGAAGCCGGTGCCAGCGGCTGCCGGGGCAGGTAGGACCCGCCCCGCCGCTACCGGAGCCCCCAGCGGAGCCCCGGGCTCGGCTCCTGCACCGGAGCTGCCCACCGGCACCCGCCCGCCGCTACCGGCAGCTCGCGGCCCTGCCCTGCCCCGCATTGCCCTGCCCTGCCCGCAGCCGGGCGGCGCCGTCCCAGCGCGGGGCCCGGTGTCCCGGTGTCCCGGTGCCGGTGCCGGTACCGGTGCGGCGGCGCCGTCCCCTTTGTGCGGGATGCGGGAGGCGCCGTGCCTCCATCACTGCCAATCAAAGTTGTTTTTCTCTCTCTCCGCCTGCACTGCCCGCGCCGCGCACCGGGGGCGCTGCCGCTGCCGCCGCCCGCACAATGGGGCCCCGGTTACCGGCGGCCGGCACCGGGCACGGAACCGCTGTGGGTCCCCCCCCCACGCCCCCGGTCCGGGTCTCGGCACCGGCACTTCTCTCGTTCCTCGGGACAACCGGGCGGGGGCCGGGCTGCCCGCGGTCCCGGGAGCATCACCGGCACCGGGGAGGGCCGGGGGGAGCCCCCCGCGGGGCCGCGCACCGGGAGCGGGGGGGCCGAGGCGGGTGCCGGCCCCGACGGCTGCCGTCGAGGGGCAGCGGGCACGGGCATCCCGGGAGAGAAACCGGGGGGCGACCGCGGAGGGCAACGACCGCGGTCCGAGGGACCGGCACGGGAGAGACGGGGCCGGGGGGGGGACGCACGGGGGGCGGCGGCAGCCCCGGGGGGCGCAGGCGGGGGAGCCCCGGGCCGGGTCAGCCCCGTCCCCCCGCACCCCGGCCCGGGGGCTGTCCGTGGGTCCGTCTGCACCCGGAGGTGCCCGGTGAGAAGAAGCCGCCCGGAGCCGTCGGGAGCCCCTTGGGGGGCTGCAGGAGCCGCGGGGGGCTCCGGGCTCGCACCCTCGCCCTTGGGCCGGAGAGGCTGGCGCTCCTCTGGCGCTCCTCGTCCCTCCCTGCCCGTTCTGCTCTGCGCACCCCTTTTGGCCTGAAGAGGAAGCTCCGATCGCAGTCGAGCCAAGCTCTTGACACCTGAGCGAGCGTGCGTTCGTCACCAGAAGCAGGGTGGTAGAAAATAGCCGGAGCCGCTTCCTGTGCTGCTCCGGGGGTGTGAGCGCTGCGCGCAGCTCGGCCTCGCTCAGCCTCCCGGCACCCCGGGGTGCTGCGCCCGGAGCAGCGGCTTTGCGACTGCCTTGCCGAAAACCAGGCGGGCCCCAGCTCCCATGGGCAAGGCGGTTGCGGAGTGGGGGGACCTCCGAGCCCCCCTCCTTGTGCTCCTGACCGAGCTCACACAGGCACGAGCCCGGAGCAGCTCAGCGGCTCCACTGGCACCTTGCTCCTCCTGGTCCTGCGTGGGTGCACTCGGGTGCTGCCTCCCCGGGGCACCCCGAGCCCGCTGCGGTGGCTTCTGGCCTGGCGGGGTCACTTTGGGAGGAGGGAGCCCCTTGTAGAGCCCGGGGGGCGGCCGGGCTCCCCGTGCCGAGCCGTGCACTTCCCCGCAGGTGGTGAAGATGTCCGGCAGCGAGCCCGAGCGCCCGCAGTTCCTCTTCGTGAAGGCGCTGGCGAGCCGGGGGCGGACTGGAGGCGGTGACCCAGCAGATGGGCTACCACCCGCGCTACCTCGACAGCTTCCTCAAGACGCAGCACTACCTGCTGCACATGGACGGCCCGCTGCCCTTCGACTGCCGCCACTACATCGCCATCATGGTGAGCCCCCAACGGAGCCACCCGGGTGCTCTCCGTGCCGTGCCGCGGGTTTCCCCGCAGAAGCCAAAGCGGGCTGGCCCCGAGGCGAGGTGGATGCACAGGGGTCCCTGCTGGCTGCTCCCCCGTCTGGGGCTGACACCGCGTTCTTGCAGGCGGCCGCCCGGCACCAGTGCCGGTACCTGGTGAACCTGCACGTGCTGCAGTTCCTGCGGGCGGGGGGCGATCCCCAGTGGCTGCGCGGCCTCGACTTCATCCCCCCCAAACTCCGCAACCTCAACGAGATCAACAAGATCCTGGCCCACCGGCCCTGGCTCATCACCAAGGAGCACATCGAGGTAGCGGGGGAGTGCTCTGCCCGGGGATCGGGGAGGTGCTGGGGACGGCAGCCCCAGCGGTGTCCCAGTGGGGCCAGGGTGGGTGCCGTGGCCCCCTGCTCGCCCTTGACGCCTCGCTGCCCTGCCCATGTCCTGCAGAAGCTGCTGAAGATCAGCGAGTGGAGCTGGTCGCTGGCGGAGCTGGTGCACGCCGTCGTCCTCCTGGCGCACTGCCACGCGCTCGCCAGCTTTGTCTTCGGCTGCGGCTGCGAGCAGGAAGAGGGGCCGGGGGGCCGGGGGTCGCTGAAGGCCTCTCCGCCTGGGAACCAGTGCTTCTGCGAGGCCGCCACCGGGAACGGCTGCAGCCAGGAGCTGCTGCGCATCAACCGCAAGAGGGTGAGCACCATGGGTGGGACCGTGGGGATGGGGACTGGGGTACGGGGACGGTCAGCAGCCCTGCCCTCACGGCACGCTGTGCTCCTGCGCAGTCCCTGGACTCCTGCATGGAGCTGGACTCTCTCCGGGAGCGCATTCAGCGGATCCACGTAGAGACGGAGGGCAGGGAGGAGACGAGGCTGCTGCCACCGGACCGTGAGGAAGGTGAGGGAAGGGGGGGTGCAGGGTGGGAGCACCCTGCCAGAGAGGTGCTCCTGGGATGCCGGCACTGGGGACCCGGCTCTGGCTGCCTGGGAACGGGGCAGCTGAGCCACCCTGAGCTGCCCGCGGTCTCTCCCCTCTCCCAGATACCAGTCGGGGAAGTCACTGGCGCCGCCAACCTGGCGTGCTACATGCAGGACCCCGACTTTGGCTACCAGGACTTTCGCCCGGCGCGATGAGGACCAGACGCAGGTATTCAGAGTCCAGGTGAGGCTCCTCGCGCTCCCTGCTGCCGGGGAGTGGTGGTTGTGGGGTGCCCGTGTGGCCCCGAGCGGGGCTACCCCGGCCTCAGCTGCACCATTGGGAGGCTCTGCCTCACGAGGGGACCCATCCGACAAGGGCTGGGGGGGGGAAGCGACCTGCCTTCTGTCCTCAAGAACCGCTGTAGGTCCCCTCTGGGCCTGCTGTGGGTGAACACGGAGGTGGGGGGTTAAAATTTGTTCCAAAATTGTTCCAAAGCTGCCTGATGAGGCGTGTTGGGACTTGTGGCAGAGCAAACCCACTGATTCCTGCTGCATCCCGGATCTTCGGCAGCCGTTCTCCCTGGGAACATGCCCCAGGCTCTTTCCTGCAGTGGCGAAAGCCTCTCGCTGTGCTCCACAGGATTACTCCTGGGAAGACCACGGCTTCTCGCTGGTGAACCGCCTCTACTCGGACATCGGGCACCTCCTGGATGAGAAGTTCCGGATGGTGGGTGGCCTGCAGAGCAGTGCCATGGCCAAGAGACAGGGCTGCGAACCCTCAGTCTTCAAGCGGGGCATCTGGAACTACATCCACTGCATGTTTGGCATCAGGTAACGAAGCCAACCTCGCGCTCCGAGGGAGAAAGCTGAGCTGATCCGGGCGGGAGGAGCGCAGGCTGCTTCTGCTGTGTCCCCGAATGCTCAGGGATGTCTTGCACCGGGCTTCAGTGCCCGGTGGCCGCTGGTGGCCCTGTCCCGTGCCTGCGGCATGGCCGGGGTGGAGCAGGGGAGAGGTGCTTGGTTTGGGGCCGGGTGGCGGCGGTGCCCAGCCCCTGCGCTCCCCGCAGGTACGACGACTATGACTACGCAGAGGTGAATCACCTCCTGGAGCGAATGCTCAAAGTCTACATTAAGACTGTAACCTGCTACCCAGAGAAGACAAACCCCGAAATGTTCGACAGGTTCTGGAAGCAGTTCAAGCACAGTGAAAAGGTAGGGCAGCACCCCCTGCCTCTGACCGCCCGTGGCTGGGCTGGGAGCGAGCAGGTGCCAGGGGCTGGGATGCTCGGGGGAGCACAGGAGAAACCTTTGAGCCCCCAAACCACACGGAGGGAGGGGAAAATGGAAACCTGCTGTCTGTAGGTAGTTGCACGCAGCAGGGTGTGGGCAGCGTGGCCACCAGCATCACGGGGTGCTCCGAGGTGGTCACCCCCATCCGTGAGCACCTCGGGGTGAGCCCCTGGCCCAGCCGCAAGCCGGAGCAGTGTCCCGTGCCAAAAGACTCCCTCGTCTGGGTGGGCACGCTGCTGGCACGGCTGCCAGTTGACCTCCTCTTGCCTCCCTCAGGTGCACGTGAACCTGCTCATCCTGGAAGCCCGCATGCAGGCGGAGCTGCTGTACGCGCTGCAGGCCATCACCCAGTACATGGTCTCGTAGGCGCTGGGGAGCTGCGCGGCGGCGGGGCCGGCCAGCATCCTCTCCATCCTCTCCCTGGACTCGTGTGTGAGCTGCCGTGCTGGGACGGGCGGCGAGGGATTACTCAACTTAGTTTACTTGACTGTCATTGTTCCTTTTTTTTTTTTTTTTCTCCTCCTTCTCCTTGTGGGGCACGCCGAGTGGCCCTGTTACGTGCAATTACCAAACTGTGAGGCAAGTCCGTGCTGCTGAGATGTCCGTGTGATGCTGAAGACTTGAAGCCGGCCGAGGAGGACTGCCAAAGACACAAGAGGGGGGAAAAAGGGGGGGCGGGATGGGACCAGAGGGAAGCTCTGCAATGCCCTGCGCTGCGTGCTCAGGAAGGGAGGTGTGCTGGGTCCTCTGCGTCCCCGCCTGGGACTGGACGGGGATGCGCTCGCTGGGTCCGTGTCCTGCCGTTCGTGCCCACGTGCCAAACCCCTGCTGGGACTGGACGAGCGATGACCCGTGCAAACTCCAAACTGTGAAGCTGCTGCAGGTGGGTGCCTTAGCACTCTGCCATCCTTGGCAGCAGGGTGAGAAGGGCCTCAAGCAGTGTTCAGGCTCCAAGGTTTTGTGCAGAAGACTTCTGGCTGTCCCCTGGGGCTAGCCCCAGACCCCCCCTTGTCTCCTGTTGGTGGACGGGCAGGAGGAACGAGGGCAGGGCTTGCATTTTCTTCCCACAGCGAGGGCTGGGGCCCTGTGCCCAGCCACTTGCTGCTTGAACAGCCCAGGTGAGCTAAGGGAACCCCAATACCTTGGCTGGGGGACTCCTGGGGCTGTCCCCACACGAGCAGCATCAGGCCGTGCACCAGCCTGGCCCCTGCCAGGAGCAGGCACCAACCACCCCACTGCCCCCATCCCGGGGCTGCTCTGTGCATGCTGCCAGCCCCGAGCTGGGGCAGGGGACGAGGGTCCCTGGCTGCCAGGCACAGGAGAGCACCCACAGTAGGGGCACGGGGCCACCCAGCATCGGAGGGGGGGGGGGATCTGAAGCGAGGGCAGCTCGAACGTCAGCCCAGCGCACGCTGCTTCGGTCGACCTGTTTACTGCGTAAATGTACGGGGAAAAAACCTTGTGTATGGAAGCTACAGAAAAAGCCTATTTTTGCTATAAATATATTATGTTTGACATGGATGCGTGCTTGCTCTCTGCCCAGAGAGGCTGGGCTGGTTGTACAGGGACAAGCTGGCACCAAGACAGCCCCAGGCAGCGCTGGTACCTGGAGAGCTGGCGCTGGGTCTGGGCACTAAAACGCCAGGTCTGGCAGTACTGGGGAGGACTGGTGGTACTGGGTAGGACTGGTGGTGCTGGGCAGGACTGGCTGTGCTGGTACAGCAGCCCTGTGGCTACTGCTGGAGAAAGCGGCAGTCACCTACTCCCCTCTGAGCAGCCAGCAGTTGCTCTAGCACCCCGAGCAGGCTTTGCAGCAGGTACCCCCATTAGGACAGCACACGGCAGGGCTCGGTGACTGTTGCAGACGCCGTCACACCAGCCAAAAGCAAGCCCCAGGCAAGGCGTCCGAGTCCCTCGCTGGCACCTGCTCTGCGTGCTGCTCTCCTTGGCACTGCTCACGTGGCACAGATCGGCATAAAGCATGGTCACAGCTGCTGGGCAGGACTGAATGCTCCCCTGCTGCATGTCAAATGCTGAATGCATCCACTCCAAGCCAATCCAACAACTGCTAAGCCTACCCTGTGCAGTTTTTTTTTTCCACCAAGTACCGCCGCGTGCTTGTAGGAAGCCCCAGGAAGCAGCACAGCAGCAGATGAGGGACGGTCAGATCCCATGAGGACCTCCTCCTAAAGCCTCATTTTTGGAGATCAGCTTAAGTCTTGAAGCAGGAAGCTTAAGGCCCCTTCCAGAGTTATTTGCATCAACTGGGGTGCACAGGTGAAGATGAAAGCTCACTAACATGCTCAGCCATCCTAATTCAGGGTCACCTCGTGGATGGGCCCCTCCATACCCCCTGCACACTGTGACAAGGGGCTCTGCACCCCTCAGGGCACCCCGGAGCCTTCGCAGGCTGTCAGGCAGCAACCCTTCCACCTCTACCCTAACAGCAGAGGAAGGCGAAGGAAGGAAGCTGAAGGTAAGGAAAAAAAAAAAAAAAACAAAAAACCAACTGGGCCCCACCAATGAAACGGAACAAACTGCAGGAGACACAGCGCAGAGGATTACAGGTTTTTATTTGTCAAACGTTCCCCCCTAGTCTAGCACATTCTACAGTCTTGCTAGCACAGATGGTAACAAAGAGCCTGTAATGGTTCAGAAGTTACACTGCTACAGAGAGCAAACAAAAGCAGAGATTATGTTAAAAAAAAAAATCCTTGTGAGAAAGGGGTGAAAGTGCAGAGGGGACGGGGTGGAAGCTGCAGCAGCTGGAGGTGCCTGCCCCAAACGCAGCAGGCGATGTGCTAGCGCTGCAGAAAGCCCTCCCGTGGTCACCCCAGGCAAAGCCCCCACGGTGCTGGGAACACTTCCACAGAGCCCCCGGTGCCTGCTGAGGGCTCCTTTTGGGAGCAGTCACCCGGCACCCACGCGGCACAAACAGAGCCCCGAAGGGCAGCACCAGGGCACCAGCTGCAGCCACCCCCTCCGAGCACACACCCGGAGAACCCAACCCTTCATCCACCCAACCTGCAGCTCTCCCACCGCCTCTCCTCCCTGCTCTGCCGCGATGCCAGCTGGAGATCTGATTCCATCGGCGAGTTTTCCATCCTCTACAGACACATCCTGGTGTGATGCAAAGGCTAATGAGAAGAGGGGATCCCTTCCTTGAGGGTTACAAACTGTAGTGCTGTGTTATCGCATGCTCCTGAGCTTTCACACGGACAGATCTTTCAGGCATCTGGAGTCACCTCATTTGCTTTTCCCCACGTTAATTACAACAAGTTTCTCATTAGGCATGCAGCTGAGGCAAACCCTGAAGCCAAAGCCATCCCTGTTCACGCTCACATCCCCAAACCGATTTTTTTGTTGCTGCTAATGGGTCCATACTTGCACATTACCTCGGTGACAGCCCAGGACACCACTCCCAAGGCACTCCTACCCGCGGCACCAGACAGGTTTCTCATTCCTGGAGCAAGGCTAGCCCTGGAGCATTTGAGTGTGGCTATAAATAAGCAACTAAGTAAGAAAATGAACAAATCATGAACTATATAAAAGCTTTCTAGGCATTTCCTTTGGAAAAAGTTGATTAGTGCTACTTGCTTCTAGTGTGAGCCTCGCTGATGGGTACACACAGGCTCTGGAACGCTCCCACTGCTTTTATTCCTCTCCCCAGAACGATTCAGCCGCAGTTTTTAAAGCAGCACAGGGTAGGGGATGCCACACTTTTCAGACACACCAGCTACAAAAATTAAGGGCTCCGAGAAACTTCCAACATCCCAAGCTTTTCCAGGAAGCTGGTAGTAGTAAAATACGCTCAAGTTGTAAAGGCTCAAGCCATTAGCTAAAGCCAGGAGTAAATAAAAGCAACAAGCCTGCCTCCTACCAGGCTCCACGGGCAGCTGTGAGCAGAATCCTTCAGCACCCAGAGCTGTGAGGTGGCCTCACACCACGTTTGATCCCCCGGAGGTGAAGGAACTTGGTACCAAGCTCAGCGAGGGCAAGGAAAGCGCACGCAGCACAGCCTAAGGCCTCGAGCCAACAGTCCCCTGCCCACCCCTCTCAGGCACTTGTCCAGGAGCACCGCTCCCCACCATGCTCAGAGCTGCTCTCTAAACCCCAGCCCAACCCCTCATTACAGAAAAAAGTACCCGTAAGCACAGGGCCTGCTGCTGCTGACTCAGAACAAAGACCCACCGAGACACTACGCCGAACCCAGCAGCAAACGCTTTGGGAAAGAACACAAAAACCAGGGTAAGTAGCGGGGAAGCCCCCTCCCAGGTCCATCCTTTCAGCAAGCAGCAGTTCAAGAACTTGAAAGTCTCTTGTGTCACTTGAGGAAACGTCCCAGGCTCCGAAAGGTCAAGGCTTACAAAGAGGAAGTTACCCGAGAAGGGGTTGGAGAACTCCCAACTCCTCTGCATCCCTGCCCTCCGCGCCTGCCATCCAAACCCTCCTGTCACCCAAACGAGGAGTGAGGCTGCCTGAGCCCACAACGTCCCATTTGTTGTCCCACAACGTCCCGTTCACTGTTCGCTGAGCTCTCCTGGAGCACCAGTGGTCTTCCCAGCACCATCCTCGCCACTCGTGCGCTCTCCAGCACCTTCAGCTCCTGGAGTGCTGCGGGGGCAGCGGCTCCTGCACAAGCTGTAGGGCTCCGTTTCCATGCTAAAGGCGTTAGGGTCGCATTTAGCAGCTCCATGCGTGCTGGGATCCTGTCCTTTGGTACTGAGCTGGGAAGCAGCGTAACCAACCTGCTTGCACTTGCAGCCAGCACGCCGGTTGTGCTTGCGAAGCCCGGGCAGCCTCTCAGCTTGCTCTGGAGCTCCTGGGACTCATCCCCCCTCAGGGTCCGAGCAAACAGAGTGGCACACGATGTGCCAAAAAGCACAAGTCCTGCCACATCTGTGAGCTGAATCAGCATCACTGCTGATCCTTGCGTGCAGTGCGTGCCATGTGCAGCACAAGGGGTGCGTGGAAGGGCTACCTGTCAATTAGTGTAACGAACTAATCACAGTGAGCACGCACATCCCTGCTTCGAGCCGGCAGAGCATGGGCTGGGATGCCAGGTCTTCAACTTTTTAATTTTTTGGTTTTGTTTTGGTGGCGGTGAGGTGTGGCCAGACATGCAGATGGTGGGGAAGCGTTGAACGTCTCACCGCGAGGGCTGCCACGAAGGCAGCCTTCAAAGCCAAGGTTATCAAATTGCTCGAGGGCTCTCCTGGCAGGGCACGCTGACGATAAGGCTGCTGAAGGCTCCTCGTCGCAGGTAGCCAGACAAACCGCTCCTGTTCCAATCTCTACTCAAATGAAAACGAAATGAAACCCAGGAGAACAGAGCAGACAAGGTGGTAAGAGAACACGGCTAATTGCACTGCGCGATAGGAGCCTCAGCAGAAGCCACCACCGCCTTCAGGAAGGATTTGGGAGGCTTTCTGCCAGACCAAGATTACTGGAACATGGGAAAAGCACCGCATCTCCCACAGCTCCTACCCCTGCGAACGCCAATATGGTGACAGGAACACGCCAGCTAATGCTCTCAGCTAATCTCCTGACTCCCAGCTTCTGTCTCGCAAGAACAAAGCCGGGGCAGAACACGACACACATCCCCAGGGGGATGCCTACGGGCCCCAAGTCCCCCAGCAGCAGCAACTTCAGCAACAAAACCCCACGGAAACCAAAAAGGCAGCTACCAAATACAGCCGAGTGCCCTCCCTGAGGGCTACCCAGGGCGTCAGCAGATCCAACGTGATCCAGCCCACGCCATCCCCTCAGCAGAGCAGGGAATCTCCTGGTGCATCAGCTACGGCCCTACCACTTAAGGGATTAGCTGAGAAGCAGCGTGCTGTTAATGGTGAGCGTTCCCTACCCTCGTGCCCTGCCCACTTTTTTGAACGTTTTCAGCTTCTTGGCCCAAAACGCCCTCGGCCTGTCCCTCCCACGCTGTAGTGTTATCTGGTATCAAGGGGACAGATGCAGCAAGTGTGGTTTGTTTTTTTTTATCCAATAATCTCATTTTCAATTAAAATATATATAATATATATTTAAAAAGGTTTAGAAAAGCTTCTATGTAATTTGCAGCTACTTTTACATATAGATTACAATAATGTACAACCCTTCCCCAAGGTGGCTGAAACTGCGGGGATTTGCCAATTCTTTCCCCCCGATCGCACACATTACCAAACAGCAAACGTGTTTGTTCCTAATGCAGCTCTGAAAAAGAAGTCTGTCACTGGTACCTCCGCGGAGGGAGAGATGCCCAATACGCCTAAAAGGGGACACACTCAACATTGGCTTCATGTTCGCTGTAGAAAGTTCCCGGATTAGTAAAAAAATATTTCATCTATAGAAAATGCCCTTCTGAAAAGCAACCAGGGCTCTGTTAAGGCCACACCCAGGCTCTCCTTTCCTCTGCTGTAGCAAGGGAGATCAGAAACAAACCCCAGCTGATGGTTTTGTGTCCCAGAAACAGCTATTAGCACCTGTGCCTATTTCACAGCAGCCTGGTGTATTGGGAATGTGCTGAGAACAGCATAGGGACTTCTCTAAACGTGCTTCTCACTCAACGGGGCTTAGTTGGCACAGGGAAAAACTCAACGTCCCCCCCCGTTCCACTTGGATGAACGAGAGGAAGCCTTCTGCACCGCCACCACCACCCTTCCCTGCAGGACAACCAGGGGCAGGCTGCAAACACCGAGGCCGACCCCCGGAGCAGCACGCCCTCTTCCCAGCAGGGTTTCCACCGGCACGCTCCTTCCAATTCCTCTGCGAGTCTGCGGGATACCAAGTGCACATCTGGTGGCTGAATGGAAACGTCCAACTACTCCGTCCCGGAGGGCGAGCCAGCAGAGCGGGCCCTCCGCCAGTCCGAGGCACTGGGAGACTTTCTGCCAGAGCAGAGAGAGGATGGCCATCGGGATGCTCCTCCAGCAAACCCAACTCTTCACGTGGGAAAACATCGCCCAGCCCAGAGGCTTCTGGCCAAGGCTTCTACCAGGGCTCCTCTTTGGACCTGTACAGCCCAGGGTTTCCCCAGAAGATCCAAGGCAGGGTCAGGTTTGTAGGAAGAGACGTGGCACGTAACAGGATTATTTTTAAACTCTTCCTGTTGCAGCCAGATGCAGGCTGCCCTTTCTTCCCAGGTGGGCAGCCCCTTCTGCCCAAGGTGTGGCGTGCAGGGAAACTGAATCCAACATGCTCCGTTCTTTTCTCTGCCAGGGGTGGGAAGCGAAGTCAGAACCCGATGTTCAAAACCTGAAGGACACTAGGAAGAAGAAAAAGAGCGAATGGTTAGATCTCAGCTCCACTGGGAACCCTGGGTGCAGAGAGGAGGAGTTAACTGCTATCAGCCAGCCTTGTGCTGCTCGAAGTATGCCCACTTCCACCAGGGAACAAACACAGATCACGAGAGGCCTTGGTCAGAGTCAAGCGGAGGATGAGGATGCGACTGCTCAGCTCCCAGCTTCAGAATACAATCGAGACAAGAGACAAAACAAAACACAAAGGGCAGAAGTGAGCACTCCTCCGGCAAGCTGATGGCACCATCAAAGCTGTGCGAGATAAGCACATTTAAAGGACTTTGCTAACACCAGAAGCGCTGTGGGAAAGCAGGGAGGAAGAGCAAGTCACTCCCCACCTTAAGCAGGCACAGATGTGAATTGGGAGGGAAGAGATGAAGAAATGGCTTTTTTTTTTTTTTGAGATCACACATGAGAACTGCTTATACTCAGCCACTTAAAGAAATCCCATATCTACCTACAAAAAAAATACGTATTTGTAGACTCATTACCCCAAAAGTCTCAGATATCCCTTCTCAGGCTTTCTGCCTCACTCTGGCCAGAGTCATTTTGCAGCGGCAAAGCAGCAGCTGCAACTCCCTCAAACAAGCCCTGGCAGACATCTGAGCTGGTTTAAGACACTGACATAACACCTCCACTGCAGGTCCACGGTCCTCTTGGGAAGGCAGAACAGCAAGGCATGCTATAGAAGTACAGGGTATCAAAGCAGGAGCACTGCTGAGTACGAAATAAACTCGTGGCAAAGGAAAACTACAAAGGGGAGGGAGCCCTGAACAAGAAAACACACTTGCTTAAATGAAAAGCCAGAGCAACAGGCTTCGGGCAGCTGCAAGATGATGGGGGGAAGGGGTTATTCATTTATTAGCTTTCTGGTAGATGGAAATGCAGCACTGGGACCAAAGGGAAATAGAGCACAGCAAGAAAAGGCAGGGTCCAGGCCAAGCTGGGCACAGGACAAAGGGGCTGTGAAGCTACGCAGAGCTCAGCTGAACAACTGAAGGCTGCAAACCGATCTCTGGAGGAGCAGACTGACCACGCCAAAGCAGGACAAACCGCACCAGTGCACAGAAGAGGCAGGTCTGTCCCCAGGTGTCCCTCACCACAGGCTTTGCTCACAGCCTTGCTCACGAAGGCTGCGTTTGGTGTCGTGCTGCTCACACACCCGGTGCCCGAACCAGCGAGTGGCGAGCAGCAGCCACGGGAGCAGCAGCCGCAGGAATTTGTTCTCCCGCGTGCTGAGGACAGACCAAGGATTTATCTGGTTTCTGTTTCATCCTGGCTGCTTGCTGATCCCGTTCTGGGATCCGATGCTCAGCTTTTGCTCAGCGTTACGCCCGTACCTGACCCAGCAGGGCAGAGACAAAGCCCTCAGACACTACTCCGGATGGCTGCAGGTTCGCAGTCATTTACAGTAGCTTTCACCAACGTCAACTTCACAGGGGGAAAAAGCATGGTTTCCGAGCAGGGACACAGCTCTTTACAGTAACAGATCCAAAGGAAGGACAGATGATCCAAATCCTGACCTCTTCGCAGACGCTGATGTCTGCAGTATTTTATTTGTTTTTAAACTCCTAAATTTGAAATTTGAGAAAGCATTCTGCTTTCTTTTCCCAGGGTTATTCATGGTCTCCAGGAACTCTCCTGTTTCTCGCCACGCACATCCTGTTCCCCTTTTCTTACAACCCTGATGCACTCCTGACCCACACCTCCCTGCCTCGGCAGCACTTTGCAACATGTCTGCCTTCCTTTGGGGAAAAAACTCCCCTTCATCTCACCCCACGGAGACAGGCAACACTTAAAAGCTTTGCAAAGCCCAGAAAAAGCAAACAATCAAAGGGCAGAATAAAAGACTTGGAGGAAAAAAGCAGAGTGAGCAGGCAGGCTTCTCCAAGAGCAGTTCTGCAGCTCAGGGCTGCTCGCCCAGAAGCACGGAGGAGCCCCCTTTGTGCTGGTGCACAACCTTATTTAAGGACTCACTCAACATCTTGCTCTTTCCTCAGTGAGGATGTGCCCAGCACATTCCCCAGAGGGTAACACTTCAAACTCACGCCATGAAGAAAGCAGATCCAAGGGTTTTAATCTCAAGCAACTCCTCTGCCTCGATAAGCAAGGCACACACCAGGTATCAACACGGACCAAGACCCCAGCTGCTGCGGAGAACATCCCTTCTCCCCCTTCAGCACAGTGATTACAAGTCACACCTTCACCTTTTGATAACCATGTCATCAGCTTCCCTGTTTTATACCATTAAAAAAAAATAAATCTACGCCTGATATTCTGTAGACAGAGCTCTTGCCTATCCAGGCCAGGTGAGTGATGCACCGAGGACTGCGGGATATTTCTATTTGCCCTGTTTTGAACATCCTATGAAGAACGTTTCACCCCACAAACCCAATGTATTCCTCTAATGTGACGACCCGCCCTGGCACAGCACACAAAAAGCACCGAAGTTCACAGCAATATCCAGTGGGGTTCAGAGCAGCATCCAGCGCTGGAACAGCCCCAGCCTGTCACTATCTCACAAACCATCCTTGGGCAGATGAACACTGCGAATGTTTTGTCAACTAAATTGGGCTTTGAAATCCGAACTGAGTTTCCCTATTGCACCTGAAGTGTGGGTATCTGGTTTAAGACAGACATTCTGTAATTTGGCAAGGGAACACCTAAATGCACAAGACTATAAAAAGCCATAAGGAAACAGGGGAAAGCTTGATGGATCCTCCTTCTCTCTACAGGAAAGAGATCTTCTAAGTATGGAGAGAAGAATATCACTAACAAATGAAGTCCTAAGCAGTGTGCTGGGATTTGGAATAACAGGGCATTAACTTGTGTTTAAAAAGTCCATATATAACAGGGTATCAGTACGCTCGCAGGGTTTAAGTACCACAAAGGCCAGCGTTCCACTTTGTCTGGTCCCAAGCGCTTGTCTGGAACAGCTGCGCTGGGGCAGAGCAGAAAAATATTTACCCTAGAACCAGGTCTCCAGCATGCCCAGCAGCAATCAGCAGGAAATTCAGGCTGAAAGGGACCTCCAGAGGTCACTCAGTCCAAACCCCCGCTGAAAGCAGGACTACCTTCAGGTTCCTCAGGTGCCTTGGAAATAGCAGTAAGGTCAAGCACACAATAATTCCGCTCCTCCTCCATCATCACCTTGAAGCTCAAGGGCTTCCCACAAGTGAAGCAGGACCTGCAGTACGCCCGTACTTCTGCCTGCTCAGCTGGCCACGAGTACTAACCAAACTTGCAACACTAACACCACATCTGCACAGGAAATAATCCTGGCAAGGCTTCCAGTTTCCAACTAACACCCAGTCTGTGCTCTAGTCCCTAAAAGAAGCTGCCCATACTGTTAGCTAACTGAGCTCCAAGCATGAAACATGCCTTCAGCTCCAGTTCTCTACTTCTCTGACTGCATCAGTGGTTAAAGAGCTTCAGATCAGGATGACAGAGAATAAGATGTTTTTAACTCTGTTTCTCGTACATTTTATTTGTGAATTTTATTTATTCAAGGAATTTCTGAGCACGAAAGATCACCAGAAAGGCAGCTGTGCTGCTACTGAAAGCATAAGCATGTGATACCTTCCTCCTTCCATCTCATTCATGCCACACTCCCATTTTCTCTTCCTTTCCCATTTTAATGGCTGCATAAGCAATTCAGTAGTTGATGCTGACAAACAGGCTCACCAGACTTTACAGACACTCTCCCCAGATAAGGGAAGGGCAGAAGGTCTGATAAGAGAGTGATTGTCCTGCTGCATGCAGGGCAAAGCAGGCAGTCATGAAGCAGACATACTTTGCAACCTCATATACTAGAAAATTTTGCAAGCATAATCATAACCTGGGCAGAACAGTGTGTGCCTGCTCAATTAACCCGCTCTGTATACACAGCATCACGTCTTTATGGCATCAGCATATGCTCTCATGTCAAATTCAGAGCTACAGACACCATGTGACAGAGACCAACGTCCTGTAGAGCAGTCATCTCTGGGAAGAGACAGCAGGAGTTCCTTCCAGGTTGCTGTTCTACCCCATTAAGGAGTTTATGGCCTGGTAGATTAACTTTATCTGCCTTTTTCTCCTTCTAAAAGGGAATGCAGTTTCCCAGAAACTTTTAACTCAAAGAGCAGTTGCTCTTCCAAAGAGTTACCTGTCTGTAGCTACTGCAGAGTGGGGCACAGGAGAATTCTCAGAGATGATCCCGATACAGCGCTGGAGCATTTGACAGAACTACACCTACCTTTTTGTGCTCCTGAAGTTAACTTGGTACCCAGGTATGGTTGGAGGCCTGCGAGGTGCTGGGATAGCTGGGAGTAGACAGAACAGGTTCAAAATTAAAGTCCAGTCCTTCTCCATCCATGAGTTCGCTGTTGATTATGTAATCCATATCACATTCAAGGTTCTCCATGTACATGTCAATGTCCAGGTCAATGGGCAGCCTGTCCTGGTTCAAGCCCAGGGGAGCAGGGCTAGCTGAAGCAAGCAGTGGTGGACTGCCCAGCTGGACTGACTGGGCAGCCCCTGCAGAAACTGGAGCCTTCAAACTGTTGATGCTGCCAGCGTTTTGAGGAGATGCTGCTATGGGAAGCGTCGATGGCAAAACACTGGCACCAACTGGTTCTGCCTGCTGCTCCGCAGGCTTTCCTCGTGGATTGCCCGAGCTCATCTTACTCTGGGTGGCTTGTCCACCCAGGAGCAGAAGAGTTCGGCTGCTCATCCTGCTACCAGTCTGTGGGAGAACTGGATCCACCTGAGTCATCAGAACATCCCTCGGAGGCGGGGAGCTGGGTGTCAGAAGAGCTTCCAAGGTCTGAGGGCCGGAGAAATGGCCAACAGAACTTTGCAGTGAAATATCAACAGGGTTAAAGAGGGAATTGCCAAAAGTAGTGCTCTGCCCAGCCGCGTTGGGGCTCCGCAAGGAAAAGCTGGACTCTCTTTGGATCTGACCACCGGAGGCAGATTGCTGGGTGGATAGCACAGATGAGCTGGGAGACATCAGATTTAACCCATCGATGAGCTCAAGCTCCTCAGTCACGGTTGGTGGAACGTTGCTGGATGCACTGGAGTACACCATAGACGGGAGAAGCTCTTCGTCGTGGAGGTCATCCTGATCAGTCACGATCGGAGAAAGCCTGGCACTAATGGTGCTTGCATTGGAACTGGTTCGAGGCCGGAAGGTGTTCCACACATCAGAGTCCTCGTTGCTTCTCGAGGACGGGCTCCCCGGCCACTTCGGGAACTGGGAGCCAGGGCTGTCAGCAGTGGCTTCTGGAGCGGACTGGAGAGAGGGCTTCTTTTTGGATGCTTTACCTCTGACTTTTGCGAGCTTGCTGCTGTTGTCCATGGAGGCAGCTCTTCTTCTCGGTGCTTTTCCACTTTTACCGCCTTCGGGATTGAGCATCCACCAAGAACTCTTCCCAGTGGCTTCATTATGAACTTTGATGAACTTGCTGTGCAGGGACAGGTTGTGCCTAATGGAGTTCTGAAAAAGATAAGAAAGAGGAGCTGTGAGGAGCTGGCAGTCTACACCACGGCTCCACCTGGAAACCTCACAAGCACAAATGCATTCAGACAGCATCCAGAGCAGAAAGGTAGAACAAAGACCCGCACAAACCAAACCTGCCATCGCAGCTCCAACACGCCCGACAGCACAAGCAGGCAGAGCAAAGTCTCCCTGATGCACCAGGGGTAAAGCTGCCACGACAGCTAGCAGCTTCCAAGTGGCATGGCCAACACTGACATGCAAAGAACTCTTCAAGACTGTGTGCCACTGCTACAAAGGCTGCAGCAGCTGAATGTACCGCAGGGCAAGTAAGCAAATTCCCAAATACAAGTTCAACATTAGCCCAATGGACTTTGAGCCAAGGCTGCTGCTTGAGTGGCACCTTCACCATCTCTCCTGCTCCCACCCTTCTGTTAACCCCGTTAGCCACCGAGCAGAAACCTGGCTGGAGTTTAGTTTTTGTACAGTAAGCTTTCAGCAGGATCAGAGCACGACATGGAATTGTATTGGTTGAACAGCCTGGAAGAAGAGAAATGACAAACCCCACCCAATTCAGCATGCCTTTCACTATCTCCATCCCCAAAACAAGATAGGATCTGTGGAGCAAGAGTCCCGGTAAGTCTGGGGGCTGCCAGGGCACTCCACACGGAGGCAGCATGCTCTGTGTGCGTTTCTGATGGGGTACGATGTTCAGGGTGGTAATGCCCTCCCACACTGTACGTGCCAGTTTTAGCTGCTCCCATCTTTCCATCTGGCAAGGCACGCGTTCCTTGTCCCTCCTAACACCCTTCCCTTTGCTAGGAACTGCAAGCTAAAATGTCTGTACCCCAACAAACTGGATTTCAGTCCTGCAACTGTGCTGATAACCCCCAGTACTTTGGGATCAGCGAGCACTAACCTCATTGTTTGAGCAGAGCCCCCCAAAGATCCCTCTGAAGCCTGTGCTGTGCATTTGCTTCATATTTGCATTTAATTTGTTCAGATAGTCAAATTACACGTAATTAAAAGGTGCTACGCCGGCAGCCCAACAGCGGTCCCAGAGCAACACCTTTTTCGTATCAACTGAAAGGTTCACAGCAGCCTTCAACTTCCCTGCACAGTCCCAATTCTGAGCCACGTTAACCGTGCTTTTATCATCCTTTTCCAGTGCTTCTGAAGGCAGTTCTTTCCTGCCCGCTGCCTTCCCTCTCCCCACCCTTTTCCTCTCGGCCAAGCCCTTACCATGCTAATTTTGTCCACCTTACCAAAAGGACTGTCCTCAAGTGAGGCAGAGCCAGCACAGCAGAGTGGAAAGTTTTCACAGAGGTGGAAGGAGACGCGTGAATTGCTCTGAATTAGCTCTCGTTTTAACCTTTGGCTGCTGAGGATTTGGACAAGGCTGGCTGCTTGTGATCACTATCTACGGAGACGCAAGCTCCTACTTGGAGAGCACCCCAAGGGTTACTGCGGAGCCAGAGCCTGCAGGAACACGTGCGAGCCAGGGCTCTTACAGAGATCTGTGATGGGAGGTATTCACACTAACAGCTACGGCAACGCTCCTGTCTAGCATATTCTTTAAGTAAGGCTCTTTCCCTTCCAGCACGAACACCGAGCGGGCACAGATCCTTCATTTATCCTCCTGAAAGCGACCTGTGAGCTCCTGAGGACACCCAGTCCTGTCAGGCATGCCCTGCTAGCTTGCATGGAGCATACACTGAGAGTTTCAGAACCGTTTTTAGTGCCATTTACCAAAATGAAGCTTTAAACCAACAGGTTTGAGGCTTCAAAATTTCCCAACTACAAGCTATTTTCTGCTAGAGCTGGGTTTTGAGTCCTCCGTTAGCAAAAGCACGCTGCACTGCTGCGAGCATTTCAGTGACACTGCAGCCTGCAGAAAAGTGACCTCACTTCTCGTATCTAAGTGAAAGTCCCAGGGCCTCATTTTCTGGCTAAAAAGAAGCCTGAAACAAGGCATCTTGAAACAAGTCTACGAATTACATCAAGATTTGGGAAGCCTGCTACCTTTTGTGCAACAGTCTCAAAGTGCTTGTACATGTTAGTGCTCAGCTGACACGATGGTAAATGGCTAGAGCCACAGGTAGCTGCTGTACTGCTCCTTCCTGCCTTGCCTTCCAGCTCTCCGCCTCCCGTAACAAGCATCTGCAACTCGAAGCTGCTTCAGGGAGCTGATCTGACCAAAAAGCAGCCCCAGCCTTCCTGGAAAATGATTTCTGCCTCTTGGAGCTCTGCCTGTTTTCTGAGCTACCTCGGTGGGGAGGGTCAGGCACCTCAGTGCTGGCAGAGGCACAGAACGTATGGTTGGAGGCAAGAGGAAGAAAAAAAAACAAAACACAGAACGCTTCTTATGCGACAGTTAGCTGCTGTCAGAAGTGCAATGTCTAAATTATGACTTTCACACCTCTCTCTGCGAGGCAGCTCACCGCTGCAGCCACAGCACCCGGGGTCATCACATATCTGCATGCCTGAGCTTGTCTGTGTGCTGAAATACTCGGTCCTGAGCGTCCCAAAATAGATCTGAGCCAGCTCCCCTGCCAGGCCCTGTGTTTGGAGGCAGAGGGGTGTCAGGGAAGGGAGGACCGGCCAGCACAAGGAGCTGCTTCATGTCACACAGGTGCTAAACCTTACCACAGGTACAAGGGAAGCTCCTTTGCTGTTAGCTTTGTCAGGCTCCCACACTGCTGTGCTCCCTGGCACAGGGATGCAGCCACCAGCGTGATTTAATGTGCCCAACGCGTGGTGGGCAGCCTCAGATCTCGCTGAGAGAGTGAGTGGAAAACTAACGATGCTAAAATAATCACAGAACTCCAAGTCAAACCTTGCAGGAGGGGAAATGACAGAATTCGGTCACCCAGGCAACCCTGACGTATTTCCTTTCTCAAAGTTAAGCAACTCCAACCAAAAGCGGAGAGATGGAATTAACTTTTTAGCTGCTCAGCTTCAGAGCAGCCTGGATCGTCCCGCGACGCAGAGCTCCTGGCATCCACTCCCCCAGCTCTTACCGCTGGGATGCCTCTGAGCAGACTGCAGCCCGAGCTGGAGGAAGAAGCTGTTAGGAAAGGAAAGCCTGGGTGCAAATCCTTACGAGTCCCCTCAGCACCTGGCTGGGAGGGGAGGGGGACAGGTTACTGCATCCTATAGCGGTTCCTACAGAGCGCTGCTGTATGCTAGGTACTGAAGTGGAAAAAAGCCGGTCCGGGTCTCTAAGTCATCACAGAGCTAAGATGATTCCCATAAATCACACATTCAGACAAAACCATTGTGAAATTAATGGCAGACATTATGCAAAGGTAAGGCCCAGCCAGAAGCATTTCGGGTACGCTGACCACCGAAGCGCTCAGCAGGCCCAACAGCCTCACGTGTGGGACAGCCATAGCACAGCGGCTAACGGCAGCCCCAAACTGCTTCCTAATTCCCAAGAAGTCACCAAAACGTTAAATCTTCCCCTTTGATAGCATCCCCTAAAGGCAAGCAACCCTCCTTGCCCTCGTACCAGCCAGGCCAGGCCTGGCCCCATGCAGCATGGGGTGCGCTTTGCCCTGAAGGAGAGGCGAGAGCCACCCGAGCTATGGAGCTGCCATACGGGAACGCTGTCTGAGGGGCACGAGTGCTTCTCCCAGAAGACAGAAAGCCGGTGAGAGCCTTCCCGAGGGACTCCGGGGCTTCCCAGCAAGGCTGAGGCTGCCTACCATAAAATCAGAGTTGTACTCGCATCAAGTCGGAGCCTTCAGGACAGCGTGTTCAGACAAAGGCTCCTCACAGAGCAGAGCAGAAACAAGCTGGGACGCAGCGTCCTGTGACACAGCTTTTCCAAAGCTGGGAGAGGGCAGAAGAGGAGGCTCCTTTGTGCCGGGCCGGGATCAGGAGGCACACGGAGCCGTGGTGCAAGAGCCGTGCGAACGAAGTGCTCGGGGCCAAGCCAAGCACAAGATACGTGAGGAAAAACACAAAACAACGCCTGTCCTTGAGAGCTGTGAGCTTGCACATGTTCACATGGATTTCAGGGTCTGGCCATGACTACTCCCAAGCACCAGTGCCATTCTCCTGGGAAATTTCAAGTTCCTGATACCAATCATGGAGGCACCTGAATTCCTAGCAAAAAAAATGTCTCTGAAGAATCGGGGAGGGACAAAGCTGGATGAACAATCACTGCAGCTCCCTGCAACGTGTTCTCACTGCCTCGGAGGCACACAAAGAACATGGTCACATCCCAGCGCAGGGCCATGTTCCAAAGCAAGGCCTGTAATTGTGCAGAATTATAATTTGCCACCACATTCTTCGGAGGCTGCAAGGGAGGAGGCCCCGCCTTCCGCATTTGTCAGTGCCTGTCTCTGCACTCACCCAGGCGCTTGGCTCCAGAAGCTTTAGGAAAAGTCTTCGTTGCAGAGATTTTGCAAAGCTACGCTCCAGCAAGTAAACAACTGCTCCCCAGCCAGAGCTCGAGCATTGCTCCAGCAGCCTCCTTCCAGAAAGCACACGTGAGCACGGACGTCAAGCTTGGGAGACACAAAGCCACGGCTTATGAGGAACATTTTCCTTTCTGTAATCTTTCAATCGGAGTTCAGAAGAAGAAAATCCTCGCTCTCAGAAAAGCAAACACCGTGGCAATTGACACGCTTACCGAGGCAGGCAGCTGAAGCCACGCAGGATTAGATAGAGCAGAAGAAACTTGTTGGAACAAGTAGCGCCAGCATCCCGGGAGCTGCCTTCTTTGAGGGCTGACTGGAAAATTAAGCTGTGCCATAAAGAATAATCTTTCAGCAAAGCAGCTTTCCAAAACAGACTGACGGGGAACAGGAAAGAGCAGCAGCAAAAGCTCCAGGTAATTTGCCTGACGCTGCACGGGGCAGACAGACTTTTGCCAAAAGGAGAGCTCCCCCCTGCTTCAGAGGGAGGACGCTCTACGAGGCTTCAAGTGAAGGAAAACCAAAAGCCAAGAAACCCCACCACTGCTCTGTCACGCTCCTGTTCATTACTTCTGGGCTGGCTTCTGTTTGTGATTCCCCCCACACTTTAAGAAAATCCAGCGAGGTTGCTGGCTGCCGAGACAACGTCTCCCTGCGCTGCTAACGCCAGACAAACACAGCGGGGTTGTAAGAGGTAACAGCAAGCAGCAACAAGTCCTTTCCACCCAGCCAGCGCTGCTCCAGATACAAACAGCCCCTCTCCCTCCCCTCCTGGTACAGCAGCTTCAAAGGACCCAAACCAACCCTGCTTACCAGCCAGCAGCACCCACAGCTCTGCCACAACTCCTGAGGATTAAGGGGACTTGTGTTTTGTTCAGTGCCATGATGGCAGCAATGACACCAGCGTTCAGACTGAATTTAAGAGGTGCACCTCCTCGTTTTCACTGCCAGAACAGTTAACAGAGAGTGTCACCGTGCCACGCACACCAACTCACAGCCCTCCTCGGGACACCCGGCAGAAAGCTGCTGGTTTTCCTCACCAAATGAAGTCAATGCTGTGGGCAATCAGGCCCTGGGTGAGCCTCCCCTACAAACGTGCACCAGCCTGAAATTCAGGCAGATTTATGCTTTGGTCAGAGCTACGATGCTGAGTTTAAGTTTTGTGTTTCCTTTTGTGTTGCAGCTTTTTGGCATAAAGTCGGTTATGCCTCAGCGAGCAACAACAGGGAAATCCTTTGAATGTCTTCTCAAATCATCATCTAGAAGTCACCGTTACCAAAAGTCAAAAGCAAACCTGTGCAAATATTCCCACCAGGACACGTTCCTTCCCAGACAAAGGCTTCCTTCATGAAATAAAAGAAAAATCAGCTACCGACTTGGGCCCTCACCTGTGAACATTGAGAGGCCACAATTCTGACAAGTCTAAGCCAAAAAAAGCTTCGAGGACACCAGAACGCTGCAGGCACAGTCCAGATGGACACAAACAGTTAGCACGACTATTTTAAGGAACCGTCCGTTGCTTTCTTCTAGATCTGCATACAGAAAAAGCAAAAATTGGCTGGGCAGCAGTCAACAAGCCAATGACTGATGAACTTTTCGCCTTTACCAACACAAGCCCTCACTTCATGTCGTATCATGCTGTGGCAGCGGGGGAGTCACTGTAATGCTGGGCAGAGCTGCAGGGGACAGGCCAGGAAGCAGCTGAGAGCCATCAGGTCACATACACAATGTGTGAGCACGCAGAGACAACTGCGTGGAAGATTTTTAAGCAAAAAGTTAGCTTGGCTGTCCAGAGAGATGACACCTGCTTCGAGCAGAATGCCCAGTAAATTTTTAATTAGTGCTGCAGCTACCTGCTTGTAGTAGGTACACACACACACACACACACACACACACTTGAATCAAAGTGAACGCGAAGTACCAGAACACAGATGTGACCTCAGCCTCCTCTAAACTAATGCAATGCAGCAGGGAAATGTAATTGGGAAATTTCCAATTGGAAATATCTCGGGTTTGCTACAGTAAAATGCCTTTGGAGGGAGAAAAGGGTGGTTTTAAGCTCACTCTGTTCCTGCAAAAGAGGAGACAACAGGTTTGGGAGAATATTCAGCGTTTCACAGAGAAAGCCCAGTCCTCAGCATTGCTCAGCACAGGCGTCAAACTTGCTCACACTCCTGGATGCACGAAACACAACGAGCAGTGCACGCAAACTGCTCCAGAGGGTTTTATGTGCTCCTGCTGGATCCAGCGGAGCTTTGCTCAAAACGCTCGCTGCCCTCCTCTCCCAAAGTCTGAAAGCCGGAAGGAATTATCCTCTTATCCACAGAGCAGCTCACAGAGCGCCGAGGAGAGGATTACAAAGGAGTCTGGGGACACACCCCTGCGGGGACACTTCTGCCTTTCAGCCTGGTTAATTCTTAACTCCAGCTGAATTATTGCAGGGGAAAGAGCCTGCGCGTCCTGCCAGCCCTCCCTTTAACGAAGTACTTCAGGCAGTTCAGGAACAGCACCCATCACCTTCCTCGAAAACAGATTTTTCCGGATTTCAGGTTACACCCTGGCTGTCCGTAACAGCTGCATTTCCCTCTATTGTACATCGGAGCGAGACAGCTGGAAAGTAATCATGAAGTAATAACAGGTTTATGGGCTTTACACTAACTGAAGCAGGTAGAAATAAAAGTGTTCTGAAATACTCACTGCTTAAATTCTCTACTGGAGGTGCGCTGCGCACGAACAGAACATACTACACGATCAGAGTATTTTTGCCAAAAGGCAGAAGCCCCAGAACTCCAGGAGCTGCGGTGCTATCTTAAAAGGCACCAAGATGTTCTAGCAGCATTTAGCAGCAGCCCTGCACTCGTTTCCTTCATCCAAACTCATTCGGTTCCAAACTGACAAACCCGTAAAAGCTGAGACAACCAGAGAAGTTTTCCTTTTACTTTATAAGTTTAAAAAGATGGAAGCACAGCTTCGCAGTTCTAAAAATACCAAAGAGCAGTGGAAACAGAAAAATAGGCAAGGCGCATTCCTCCGCAGAGGATACATCTTTTGTTTATTCACTTTGCCCTAAATACAAAACACGAACCTATCCAATTTACTCCCAACCCACAAAAAACAGATTGAGCTGCCGTGATTGCTTCAGGATCATTGAAACTGTGTCTAACACGCCTTCTTCTAATGCACCTCGATGCAAGCAGATTAAGGAAATCTTCACCAGAAGAATTCTCCATGTAAGCAGAACAAAGCAGCGCTCCCTGCCAGGCTGCGTGCCCGTGCCAGCGCTGAGGAGGGCTGGAGCTGGAGCTCCACGGTCACTGCAGGAGCGCCGCGCACCACCCACGCACCCACCCTAACGGACAATGCCCTGAGAACGAAAAGCTTCTGCTGGGAATTTCCCCTGGCAGCCGAACAGCTTTCAGCTGTGTTTCCACCATGGTTTTCTGTTTGCTGGTTAAAGTCAACAGCGCTGAACGGCCCTAATGACAAGGCGGGCTGCCTCCGACCACAGCTGCTGCCATGCTGCCCTCCCTCACCTCTCCCAGCAGGAAGTTTCAGTTCTCTCCCCAGCCTGCGAGACTACAAATAAACCCTGGCACTAAAAAAATCTCCGCAGAACGGCTACGGCAGCGCTATCTGAGTGAGGGCCGATTGTGCAGATTGTCATCTCCACCTTTCCACAGGTCAAATCCAACCGCACATATCCCAAAAGGGATCCCCAATGGAAACTCTGACCAAAACCCAGACTGAAGGTCCCCTTATACAGCAATGACTATAAAAGAGAACATCCAAACATCCACACTGGAGCAAGCCCGCAGTACGCCTGTTTTAGCATCCAGCCTGGCAGGATACTTCACAACATCCCAACTTCCACATCTTGGGACACATTTAAGAAGACACATTCAACTTTGGTCTCAAGTACCGTTGCCAAACAGATGCTGACAGGAATGCTGACGAGAAATGACACCAGTTCCATGACCCATTTGCCAAAATAAAACTATCCTATACGGCAGCAGGACCAGGACAGCATGCCTAGACAGAGGAAGCAAGGAGCTACCTTCCAGTGAGACCACCAATCTACCAAAAAGAAAGCAAATGCACCCCCCACACTGCCCCAAATCAAAACTTCACAATGAGAACTCAACCCGCACACAGGGGAAAAGGAAAAGAAAGCAAGATGGACAGGGGATTTTAGTCAAATGACAGGTGCTCTCTGGGAGCTGTCAGCAAGCCAGAAGAAGGGCGATTGTGAGAAGCTGTCTGCCAGCCCATGCCAACCTCAGCTGTGACAGCTGCGTCCCTCTCACCATGTCCCTACCCTCTCTCGAGCAAACATCAGCACTCCTCACGTAGCCACACAGTGTGCTCCTTAAGAGAGGGGAGCCAGCTGAAAGCTAACCTCACAGAAAAAGCTGCTTTTTTTCAAAATTAACTTCCTGCATTGACTTAATGCAGGCAGAGGAACGCATGGCTGGAGTCATGGAAGTCCCAAACCTCCCTGGCTCAAGCTCAGAAGAGCTGCTGAGCAGCCCTGTGAACAGCCAGCAGCGTGGCACACGTCCCGCTCCAGTCTGCTGCCAGACTGACAGATCCCGCTCCTCAGATCCCACTCTCGTGGCTCCACCATCACACACGTCTATGAATATGCACACGCACGAGGACAGCCCGAGGGGCTCTTTCACCAGCCCCGTCTCACACCTCCCTTTCTCTTTACCAGAGCTGGTTTGGCTGACCAGGACAGGGCCACCAGGCCTGCCACCTGCAGAGGACGGAAAGAGCAGGGAGAGCTTTTAATAGATCCTAGCGGCTGCCTCTTCTACAAGAAGGGAGACAACAACATTGAGGCTTTGGAGCTGCGCGTCCTGGGCTCTACTTTCCCTTCCCTACACTCCAGCAGAGGTCCTCAGCCACCGCGGCGAGAAAACACCGGCACCGCTCTAGCTCCGCAGCCCCCTTTTTTTTTTTTTTTTTTTTTTTTTTTTTTTTTAAAGGGAGCTGCTGGGAACCGCCGCCGGCGCTCACCTTCCAGCCGGCCGAGCTGTTGCTGTCGCCCTTGTCCTTGAAGTAGGGCACGGAGCGCACCATCCACTCGTAGATCTGCGCCAGCGTCAGCCGCTTCTCGGGGGCGCTCTCGATGGCCTGGCTGATCAGCTCGGCGTACGACTGATTGCCCCAGGCGTTGCGCCGGGAGCCGCCCTTCCGTGAGGCCGCCGCCGCCGCCGCCCCGCCCGCCCCCCGCGCCCCCTCGGCCCGCCCGGGCCCCGAGGCCGCCCCCGAGGCCGCCGCCGCCGCCCCCGCTCCGCCCGCGGCCTCCTCAGGGCCCGGCAGCTCGGGCCGGGGCAGCGGCCAGGTGCAGGAGCGCGGCCGGCTCTGCGGCTCGAAGTCGGGGTCGATGTCCGGAGCCGCGGTGCCGCCTCCTCCGCTTCCACCGCCGCCGCCTCCCCCCCCGCCGCCGCCGCCGCCGCCGCCGCCGCCCGGCTCGGCCATGGGCACGGCCCCGGCCCCTTTGTGAGCCCCGGGCCCCGCCGCCGCCGCCGCGCCGCTCTGTTTACCAGGCAGCGGCGCCGCGCTCTGCGCCTGCGCGCGCGGGGCACGCCGGGACTCGTAGTTCCGGCGGGGAGGTGGAGAATAGGCCGGGTGCGGTGGGTGGACTACAAGTCCCGGCAGGCACCGCGGAGGAGGGGAGGGGGGAACGGGGCGCGGCGCCGACAGGGGAGCGTGGCAGGCGGCGCGGCGGCGAGACTACAACTCCCAGCAGGCACCGCGGCGGCCCGGGCTTACATAACCACCGCCCCCGCGGTGTTTTTAAGGGCTGTGCCCCGCTTCTGGGCCCAGCCTCGTACCCCTCCCGGCCCGGCCTCGCACCCCGCGCGGCCCCACCGGGTCCCCGCCGTTTTGGTGCGGGCGCTGCGCGGGGAACCGGCGAGCGTGTTATCTCCATGCAGATTCCGGGGCCGCGGTGCGGGGCTGCCCCGCGCCATGAATAGCTATAAACGGGCGGTGGGTGGCGGCCCCGCAACCTGAATAACCACCGAGTTATACTGGCAGCCTACGGACAGCAGGCCGCTATGCGCGGGCGGGGCGGCGGAGCCCGCGGCCCGGGACCATGGATAAGGGCGGATTTATGCAGGCGGCCTATGGGCGGCGGGGCGCAGTGCGCGGGCGGGGCCGCGCGGGCTGCGGCAGGGAGCGGGCCGAGGAGGAGGCTGAGGCGGCTCCACCATGTCGGAGGCGGCGGTGGCCGACACCCGGCGCCTGAACGCCAAGCCGCAGGACCTGACGGACGCGTACGGGCCGCCCAGCAACTTCCTGGAGATCGACATCTTCAACCCGCAGACCGTGGGCATGGGCCGCGCCAGATACACCAGCTACGAGCTCCGCATGAGGGTGCGGCCCCCGCCGGGCGGCGGGCACCGGGCCGGGGACGAGGCCCCGGGGAGGGCCGGGGGTCGGGGCAGGGCCTGAGGGGGGGGCTCGGGGCCTCGTCAGGGGCTCGCCCGGCCTCAAGGTCAGCGAGGCGGGGCCGTGGGGGCCTCCTGTGAGGGTGTGGGGGGGTCATGGGGGGGCTATGAGGGGGCTATGGGGGGGGTGGGGGTGGGTCCGGCCCCTGCGCCTCTCCCCTCACACAGCCCCGGGGGTGCTGCAGGCCGCGGCTGTTATCTCGGGCAGGTCCTGGGACGTGTGGGCAGGGCCGTCTGCCCAGCCCTGGGCGTGAACTCGGTCGATTTACCCAAATTTTGTGGTTCTGGGGAGTGCGGGGCAGGTGGAGGGCCTGGCCGGGCTGAGCTGGTGAGCCCTCCGAGGTATCTGACAGCTGAGCAAGTGAAACTGAGCGTCCCCCGAAGAGAAACTTGCTTGCAGTGGCTGTCATGGTGCTGGCACAGGCCTGTGCTCGCAGCATGATTTATAACTGCTGAGTCTCCGCTGCCTAACGGAAGAATTGGATGTTTACTTTTCTTTCTGTCCTGATTCTTGGTCCCCACCAGCCTGTTGGCAGATGGCAGTGAGAACCTCGTAGTCTCACTGAAACCAGCTCTTGTGGACAGACTCTGAAGGCAGACAGCTTTATTTTGCAGATCTGACCCTGAACATAGTTAACTGTGTTGCAGTGGTACCTGCATATGGGGCTGTGTGTCAGGCTGTGCTGCCTTACTCCCCTTCATGTTTCAGAGTGTCTCAGTAGTGCAGAGATGAAGTCCCTGTAGCTGCCAGTCTTTAGACTTTTTGGCAGGAGGAAGGGGAATTGCTGCAAGTTGCTCTGGTGGCACAGGCCCACCAGAAAAAAAGCTGCTCATCCGTTAGGGTGTGACGGTCTGTTCTGAGAGGAGATTGTAGCACCAGGTCTGGCCTTGGGCAGTCAGTAGGGACAAGATTTCATCCCTCATTTCTTCCATGGAAATGCCACTGTCGGGTAGGAGGTTCTTCTGCTCTGCAGGCTGCCATGAAGCTGTCTCGTAGATCACCTCAAAATGGAGTGAACTCAGGAGAAAAAAAAAATAAAAAATCAGCCTTGTCTGCATTTGTAAGCCCTGGTTTCAGTGTGCGCCCCTGGGTGGGGTGCGTGTTCCTGAAATAGTAACTTGAGGGGGAGGGAATGGCTGGCTCCAAGTAGCCTGGCAAGTGCTTGCTTGATTCTGAAGGGCTTCGGTGCTTGTGCTCTGTCCTGAATAATGAAGCTGGGTGTTCTTGTGATGCGTTCTTCTCTGGGGGCTTGGTTTTCTAAGCACAGCTTCAGGTTTCAGTTGCATGTTGAAACGCTATCTGGCTTCCGAAGCAACCTGCAAATTAACTGCTGCTCTTCGTTACAGACAAACCTCCCGATCTTCAAATTGAAGGAGTCATGTGTGAGGAGAAGATACAGTGACTTTGAATGGCTGAAGAACGAGCTGGAGCGAGACAGTAAGGTGAGGTCCAGCTCAGACCTGCCTGTCCCTGCCAGTGGGTCACATAGGAGCAGTTGTAGTGACAAGAGGCTGTGGTGGGGCAGCTTCGGGGCTTGATCTCTGGCCATGTGGTGGTGGGAGATGAGTGTGAAATGCTTTAGGATGCCCTCTCACAGGTGGCACTTCTGCTGACAGGAGTGGTTCTTTGCTTTCAGATTGTAGTGCCACCGCTGCCTGGAAAAGCTTTGAAACGACAGCTTCCCTTCCGAGGAGACGAAGGCATCTTTGAGGAGTCCTTCATCGAGGAGCGGAGACAGGGCCTAGAACAGTTTATTAACAAGTAAGCTTGGTGTCCTGGGCTTGCCGTGTGCCTGCCCTCCCAGCTACTGCTGGCAGAAGAGGGTTGTGGGTTCACCAGGAAGGAGTCTTGATCATGCAAGGGCTGTGCTAAAGGATGGTGTCTGCTGCCAGGTGATGAAACCACAGCTGTGAAGTGAATCCTACCTCCGGTGTAGGTTGTGCTCAATGCTCTGTTCTGAGAGGGAAGCAAATACTAGCAAAATGGCTGTGTTAGAGACCTGCTGCCTGGGCAGTGTTGGCTCAGGATGTTTGTGATCTGCTGCAGTGCATGCTGTGGGGTGTGTGCTCTGTTTAAGCAGCTGTTTCTGGCCCTGCTGTACTGACCTGCTGACCTTGGCCGGAGCCCAGCAGGGCTGTGCTCGGAGCTGGCTGCCCGTGAATGAGGCCTGCCTTGCTCTCTCCCCACAGAAGTGGGAGTGTGGGGTTCTCGGCGGTGCCTTTGCTAACCTCCACATCTGATTTTCTTCCAGAATTGCTGGACACCCACTGGCACAGAACGAGCGCTGCTTACATATGTTCCTGCAAGAGGAGACTATTGATAGGAATTACGTCCCAGGGAAAGTGCGCCAGTAGGAGCACCTGGCACTGTCTTCCTCCATTCCACCCTCCCTCCTGCAAAAATGACATTTATTTTTACACTAAATCTGTCTTCTCTGAACCAGCTTTTCCTCTCTTGAACCTCCCAGTTTGTTCAGTATTTTCCTCTTTTGTAACTGGCAGCAGCTTGTTCTACTGGGCTGTGGTCTTGGCCTAAAGCTATGAAGATTTATGCAAGTGAATGTGTTGTCCCGCACCTAGCGGCAGGTGTGAATAGGTGTGGAGCAGGAACTTGCTTATGGCATTATGGTGTAGGAGCTGCCTCTCTCCCTGTACAGAAAGGTATGAGATGACCTTCACTCCCCTGTCCATGCAGCCCCAAGCATCTCTGCAGGAGACTCTGAAGAATAGCAGTTGTCATGTTGGTCAGTGATTGCATCAGGTATTAGAGTTTTAGTAAGGCTTATCCAAAACAGTGAGTAGGTGCCTGGGTGTGTTGGTCCCTCGTCCACCCCGTTCGCCCTGCATGAAATCCCCATTCTTCACTGTCTGGAAGTGCTGAGACCCAAGACTTACTCTAACCCTGCTCTCAGCCTCCTGCGTACAGACCTGTTTGGTGTATTAGTGTTACTCCCCCTCCTTTCTTGCGTGCTGCTGGCAGCTCGGGGGGTTTCCACGCCGTGCGCTCTCCCGATGCTCTGTGAGAGCGGTTTGGTGCGTGGAAGCTGGGCTAGCCCGGGCTGTCGCAGCGTGAGCTGCGGTGCCACGGCCCAGGCTTTAAAAACGCCACAGCCAGCTCTGCTGCGGGCTGCTGCCGTGGCATTTCCAGCAGCACCCGGTTCAGCCGAGCTGCGCTGACCTTATCCCGTGCCCCAGCTGCGGAGGGGAGGGGAAGGGACCAGCCTGGCCGAGGAGCAGGAGGAGGCCGGGGGCTGTTGCAGCTGCAGGAGGAGCCTGGTGCGAAGCGAGGGTGGCACCACCTCTCCAGAAAGGGATGGCAGAAAGTTGCTGGGTCAGTCCTGGGCTAGAGGCTTGTGTGTGGAGCAGGGTTAAGGACTGATAGGTTTTGTTTGTGTTCTGTTTTTTTCTCTCCGATGAGCTAGGTGGTCACTAATGTGGAAGGGAAGGCACAAGGCTGGTCAGGGAACCGTCCAGAGCTCGGGAGAGACCACGAGGCTGTGACTTGTTGCACCAGAGCCGTCCTTTGGAGACTCCTCTGGCTGTCACAGCTGCATCGAGCAAGGCTTGGCCTCTGCTCGGGGAGCTCCTCGGGTCAACACTCGGTCACTTTGTGGCAGCGTGGTTGAGCCTTTCTCGGGGCACAGGCCTGCAGGTGGCTGACCTCCCGTCCCTGCCAGGCTTCCTGCCCAGCACGTCCCCCAAGGTCTCTGTCACATCTCCTGGGCTTTCTGCTGAGGACCTGGTGCTCGTGGGCGAGAGCTGGATCTGAGAGACGAGGACGAGTTGCTGAAACCGGGAGGGAGCTGCTCCAGGGGCTGGCGGAGGCGGCCGTCCCCTGTCCCCCCGCCAGCCCTCGCTTGGGGTGGGCTCCCCTCATCCCGCGTGTCCCGCTGCGGGGCTGCCTCCGCACGGCTGTCCCCCCCCGTCCAGTGTAACCTCCGGGTCCGTTCGCATTAAACCACTGTGAAGCCGAGTCTCTGCCTCGTCCTGTGGGCTCGGGGAGGGAGGGCTGGGGAGGGCCGGGCTGGGGGTATGGACACAACTGGGGTCAGACTCCTCTCGGCAGAAGGCGCAGCGGCTTGGGATGGCCGGGATGCAGCGAGCGGGGCCGGGTTCTTCCCCAGGAGCCACTACCGGGCCCGTCACCTCCACACCCGTCACCGCGCCGCTGTGCCCCTCGCTGCCTCCTGGGGTGATCCCCGGGGAGCTGTGGCCCCCCTCTCTCCTCGCCCGGCTACAGCCCCGCAGGACTGCCTGCTGTGGGGGCCAGGAACCCCCCAGGGCTGGCTGGGGCCGGGAGCCGCAGCAGCGAGGCTCACCCCGCACCCAGGTAAGCCCTGGCTGGAGGGAGCCCGGCTCCGGGCACCGCGGGCTCCTCTCCCTGTGCCCAACGCTCTCTGTGTCCCCCAGGTACAAAGCCGGGTGCCAAGCCCAAGCTGCAGCGTGCCGGTGGGGCTCCATCTGCCATACCCAGACCCATCCCCTGGGACAAGGAGACGGAAAGTAAGCGGGCAGGGGTGCTTGGGGGGGATTTGGCTCCTAGAAGGGAGCAGGGAAAGGCCTGGGCTGCAGCGTGGAGAGGGATTGGGGAGTGGGGAGTGCCTGGAAGCATCCCAGGGGATGCACTTGTGCTGTGAGCGGTGCCTGGCCTTCCACCCACACGCACCGGTGACCTTGGGGTCTCTCCCCGTGGTCTCTGCAGCTGCTGTCAGGGCTGCGGGTCACAGACAGCCCTCCAAGGGGCCTTCTACAGCAATCCCTGCCATGGCTTCTCGCTCCCGACCGTGGCCGCCAAGAAAAGTGGCTTCCCTCAAGCTCTTACCTAGGTAAGGGGGAGCCTGGCAGAAGCCCTCTGGGCTCCAGTGCTGTGGAGGAGGAGGGCTGGAGGCCTGGGGAGGTCGCTCAGCATTCAGCTGCAGAGTCCAAGGCTGATCCTGAGGAAAGGACAGGAGGGGGCAGTGTGTGCTTAGGCTCAGAGGGAGGGCAGTGAAACGCAGAGCAAGCAGCCAGGCTGCACCAAGTCCCTTTCCCTGGAGGGGAACCCAGACTGAGCCCGAACAGACCTGGTGCTCTGGTTCACCTGTGGAGCAGGGAGCGGCCCCGGCTGCTAGCAGGGCTCTGATGCTTTTTGTTTTGGGTTCCTGTGCCCTACTTCAGGATCGACTACTCAGGAGCTGCCGTGCAGCAGGAGCCCAGAGCTGAAGGAAAATGCTGAGAGCACAGACCGGCTGCGTGCAGCATGGGCTGGCTGGGCAGGATGGAGGCCTGGTCCCGCACAAGCGCAGCCCTTCAGGACAGGGCAGCTGCAGGCAGGCTGCGCTCAGCCTTTCCTGGCTTGAGGCCGAAGTGCTCAAGGCCAGCTGAAAAACGAGTGTCCTGGGAGCACGCCCCAGTGGGAGGTGTTTGCGCTTCTGCATCGAGTTTTGTCGGGTTTTTGTGTTTGGCTTGGGGTGAGTGTTAGGAAACGGGCAGCCTCCCGGGGCAGCTGCGTGCAGGGGAGTGCCGCTCTTGCTGCAGAGCCCTAACTGACCTTAACCTCCCGGGGATGCTGTGTGGGTGTGCTGCCTTCCCCAGGGACTGCAGCTCCGCGATGAGCTGCCCTGTGCCCTGCAGGGGAAGGGGAAGCTGCCTCCCCTCTGCCGGGACAGCCCTGCCATGCTGCAGGGCAGCTCTCTGCCTCCCTGTGCTGCCTGGCCCCAATGTGGGAGCTGATTCTCCCTGCAGAGGGCAGAACTTGCTCGAGGGAGCCTGAGAGAGGCCTCCGAGCCCTTCTCGCAGCTCACAGCTGCTGCCGGCCTGCTGCTCCTCATCTGGACAGCGCTGTGCCCTGGCTGGGAAGGGCTGCTGGCTGTGGCAGTTACATTGCTGGTGAAAACACCACTCCTTTTGCAGGCAAGGCTCTGGGCTGTGGGGAGGCAGCTCCTGCTGCCTGGGTGCGCACCGGGGCTTGGGCCAGAGGGAGGAGGTGGTTTTGCCTTGGGGCTGCCAATTTCTGAGCTGGCACCTGAGCTGTCCTGGCCTTTCCTTGGTGTTTACACAAGCCCTTGTGCACTTGCTGCATGGCTTTCCGTCCTCCCCGGTGCTCAGGGGACTACAGGCTTCTGGTCAGTTAGTTTTTTAAGGAAGTTTTGAAAGATTTACAACCCTCAGGGCTGTTACCATTGTCGCTGTTATACCTCCTGACGTTTTGGACGCATCCCAGTATGGGGTCAGGAGAGCCCGTGCTGGGGCTGACCCGTGGGTCACTGCACCCCACTGACACCCTGCCCTCGCCAGTCGGCAGGTGATCGGCTGTCCCAGAAGCTGGAGTGTTTACAGAAGCAGCTGGAGCTACTGAAGGGCAAGCTTGGAACGTGGAGCTGCCTGCTCCGGGGCTGGAGAGCTGCAGCACAGCTGGCTCCCTCTGTGCTTGTGCCAGGAGCCCAGGGCCTGCTTCTCTATGGGGAGGGGGCTGGCTTCTTGTCCGGGGGGTAGAGCAGGACCCCAGTCGCTGCCCCAAAGGGTCTGAGGGCAGGTCAGGACAAAGCTCGTGGCCTTTCCCGTGGGGCAGGTGCTGAGTGCTGGGAGCAGCAGGGCTGTGAAGCTGCTCTTGTTCCCCAGGAATCCGTCCAGAAGATGCAGCAGTGGACGAGAACGGTGTCTTGGGGAGAGGCTGACAGCGTGGGGACAGACACAGCAGCGACTTGCCCAGGCACCTCAGCTGCTGGGCCAGTGATACTTGTGGGGCACTTGAACAAATGGGTATTTTATTTCCTTGTATTTGAAATAAACTTTTTTTTTTCTTTTCTCAGTGCTGCTTCTTGTCCGCTGGCAGGGGGTCAGCGCCCTGTGCTGCCCGTTCTTTCTGCCCAGCCCCTTGGAGAAGGGCAGCTCCGTGCCAGGCTGCGGCTGCTTCTGCCAGAGCAGCCCCGTGGGTCTGCTGCACGCAGGGAGGAGGTGGGTGGTGCTGCTCTGGCCCTGGGGAATCCTTTCTGGAGAACCTGAAGCTTCTAAGCAGGATGTTTGGACGTGCTGGTGACAGCCGTGGTGGTGGCAGGCGGCTGCATGGGGAGGTTTCTGCCTTAACCTTCGTGCTGGGAGCGGGAAGAGCCAGCGCTTGCTGCTGGCACGTTTGGCTCCTACAGCTCTTTGCTGCTTCTTACCAGTTTAACCAGTGGCTTGCTTGCAGGGCATGGAAGCAACATGTGGGGGCTCCGTTCTTCCCCGTTCCTGCCTGCCAGTGCTGGAAGCGCTGCTTGCAAGCCCTGCCATGCTGCTTTCTGTCTGTGGTAGGTTGATGTGGGTGCCTCGTCCAACTGCCTCGCGTCAGGGTGAGGCCCTGGTTAAGTCCTGCTTTATGCTGGCAGTGCCCCAGGGCTGGGCCGGGCAGGCTGGTGTGCTCCTGCTCCCCTCTTATCTCAGGCTGGCCTTTTTGGCCACCCTTGGGTGCCACAGGCAGCCTGTGCCCCTTCTGGGGTGGCTGCGAGTTCCTGGGGCAGCTGTTTGGGGATGCTCTCCATCACGGAGCTCCGCTCGTGGCAGGGGACTGAGGCTCCATGAGCTGATTCAGCTCTGCTTCTGCAGGGCTTTTGGCCCCTTTCTGGCCTGGAGCTACCTCCTCCCCGTGCTTCCTTGTAGCGCTGGCTACGTGCACCCTGCTGCTGCCTGCCTTCCTGCTGCTCCTGTTGGGACGTGCAGCTTGGCTGCTCTGCGCCTCTGCCTGCCCCCAGCCCTTGGCACCCGTGCTGCCGGGTGAGGGCCCCACGTTAGCTGGGGGGGGCGAGGACAGGGCACTGTGACGATGAACACGGAGCTGCGTGGGAGGTCTGGGAGCTGGGGGTGGCTTTGTCCTGCTCTGTGCCCGCTGCTACTCCCTGTCCCGCAGCATCCTCCGGGGGGCTGCTGGAAGATGGTTTCTGGGAATGGGCGAGTCACGGTGTCACCACCCACCACGCCACTGCTCCGGGCACTTCAGCCTCTGCTCCGCAGGGCTGGGCATTTCCCCCATTGCGTCCCTGCCTTGCTGCACCCCGGGGCGCCCCGGACCTGCCCTGCAGTGGCGCCACTGCCCACGCACCGCGGGGCCTTGGCCTGGCCCAGCCGGGTCCCTGCCGGCAACCTGAGCAGTAGCAGAAGCGTCTGGGGCGCTAACAGTGAGGCCGTGGGGGATTTCAGCATCTTGATCTTGAGCTCGCTTCCTTGCTGGCGGGGAGCTGCGGCGGGGAGGGGAGAGGAAGGGGCGTTGCTGGGACACGGTTCATTCATCTGCGAGGGAAGGGAGTGAGCGTGGTGCTTGCATCATGGCCTGGCAGCCGCACGCACAGGATGCCGCCGCCGTTCCGTTTCCATTGCCTTGAGCTCATCATTTTTCTGAGCGCGCCTTTTTTGTCTTCCGGCCCTTGTGCGTGCGAGCGCCGGGGTGAGGCGGGCGGGCAGGCACCCCTGCAGGGCCCTGCCCAGCACTCCTGCCAGCTCTGCTGCCAGCAGCTCCCACCTGGGAGCCTCCCATGCTGGAGCCAGACTCGCCTGCACTGCCGGCACCCAGGCAGGGAGAGGCTGGCTCGCATCCCAGCACCGCTCCTGAGCGAGGCGGCAGCGCTGGATTGCATCAGGAGCTGGGTTTTGGGAGCCGGTGTGTGCCTCGCTCCTGACACCCGGCCCTTCCATGAGGGGAAAGTGCGTTAGTGCCCGGCATTTCTTCCCAGAGGGGATCCCCGTGGCGCAGAGCCGCCTGTTGCTGTCGGAGTTTCTCCACTGATCAGACAGATGGGAGAGGAGCAGCGTGCTGCCAAGTGGGACCTGCTGCCCGCACAGCACGTGGCGGCAGCTCCCCACGACGTGCCCTCGGCCAAGCTCTGCCTGTGTTCCCGTGCCCCACGGCAGGGTTCGCCTCCCTGTGCCACCCCTGCCCGCTGTGCCCGTGTCCGGCTGCGTGCCAGCCCTCGCCAAGCCCCGCAGCGGGCAGGTTGTGCCCTGTTGCGCCCTGCTGCCACGTTTGGGCTCCGGGACACCTCAGCCTCTGGCAGCTCAGCCTTTCCCAGGGCAGGCACGGCCCCCGCTGCTCCGGGCGTTTGATCTCCCTTTGGTTTTGGCTACTGAGGCTGGAGAGCTCCTGGGGAGGGGGGGCGTTGGGAGGACGAGCCGGACCCGGCCATCGCAGCGCTGCCACTTAGGATTTTTTTTTTTTTAATTCCCTCTCAATCTGGGGGTTGGGCTGGGCCATCCGGCGGGCGGAGCCGGTCCGCCTCCCCCTTGTTGCTCCTCGGCGGCAGTCCCGGGGCGAGCGGAGCGGGAACGAGCCGGGCAGAGCCGGACCACGCTGAGCCCAAGCGAGCCGAGCCCAACCCAGCCCGAGCCGAGCCGAGCCGCCGGTGAGTTCGCGGCGGGCGCCGCCGCCGGGCCGGGCGCAGCCTGGCGCAACCGGTGCCGCGCTTGCATCAGCCACGGGCACCACGTGCGGCCGGTACCGGCGGCCGCCCGGGGACGCGGAGCCGCTGTGGAGGCGGCTCCGGGACGGGGCTGCCCCACCGGGAGCCTCCCGGTGCCGCTGCCGTGCGCTGCTCTGCCCCGGCCGCCCTCGGCCCCGTGCGCGCTGCCGGGAGCGTGGCGGCGGGGCTGGGCGCGGGCCGCCTGCCCCGGGCCCGGGGCTCGGGGCTCGGGGCTCGGTGCTCGCCCCGTTCAGCGCCGAGCTGGCGGCTGCCCCGAGCCGTCCTGCCCCGAGCTCCGGCTCCGGGCTGCTCGGGGGGGAGCGGGGCTCCCGCCGTGCCCGCGCCTTGCGGGGCTGGCTTCGGGCATGGGGAACCCGCGGGGACGTCCTGGAGACGGCTTGGACGTGGCCCCGGGGAGGGTGCCAGCGCTGGGGCACTTGTGCCATCGGAGCTGGCCCGGTCCCGAGCGGGGCTGCCTCGTTGGGTAAGGCTGGGAGCGGCACCCGGCAGTTCCGGAGGAGCTTTCATCAGCCCCGGGCTGGCCGGGGGCTCACGGGGAAGCAGCTGAGCTGGTGGCGACCAACGCAACGCTGGTAATTCCCGGCGGGGAGTGGCTCACGGGGTGCTGCTCGCGTGTGCCCGGGCTGGTCCCTGCCGTGGGACATCACCGCCGAAGTGCGGTGCGTGGCCCAGGCAGGAGGAGGGAACAGCTGGCACCAAGCAGGCGCTGGTGGGCATCAGGAGCCGCTTTCCTAGCGCCTTCTCTCGCTCTGTGCCCGTTGCCCACCCTGTGGGGTGCTCCTGTGCCAGAGCGTTTGGGGATGGTGGCAGTGGGGAGCAGCACCTTTAGGGTCAAAGCCCGCTGTGAGCGCGCAAGGGCCGTCCGTGCATGAGGGTTGTGTGCTGGGGACTGCGAGCCCTGCCTGCTGCCTGCCTGGCCGTGCATCCCCGCCGAGGGTGCAGTGCAGATGCTGGGAGGAATCTCCGAGTGACTCAGCCCAGCACGCCGAAGCCTCGGCTGGAGGAATGCTTTGTTTCCCTGCCATCGCCTCTGCGCACGCCCACGCGCCAGGCCGGGAGGATGCACCAGCAGTCAAGTTTGGGCTGAGGGATCTCTGGGCTGCCAAATCGGTGGGGAGTTGCTCAGAGACAGTGGGCAAGCTCTGGGACGTGCCCGGAGCCCCGGGGCATGGACCACACAGTGTTTGTCTAAGCAGTCTATTTCCCAGCACGGACTCGCTGGGTTTGTCTCCGGCTTGCTCTCCTGCCCCTGGGGACTGGCGTGGGAGCTGTGCAGGCGGGGTGTGCGCAGCCCCACACCACGACAGGAGAACCAAATGGTCTCTGCCTCGCCAGCGTGGCGGGCCTCGGCTCCACGCAGGACTCTGAGCTTCACGCTCCTACGGTGGCTTCTCTTGCAGGGTTTTCGAGCAGCTGAGCACCACCTGCGGAGGACAAGATGTTTGGGGGAAAAATGAGCAGCGTTGGGAAGAAGCTGATCCGCCGGCGTGTGGTGGATCTGAGCTCCGAGGAGACGCGTTTTGCTCGTTGCCTCTCCACGCTGGACCTTATAGCCCTGGGGGTGGGCAGCACGCTGGGGGCTGGCGTGTACGTGCTGGCCGGGGAAGTGGCCAAGGATAGGGCTGGTCCCTCCATCGTCCTCTGCTTCCTGGTGGCTGCACTCTCCTCAGTACTGGCTGGGCTCTGCTACGCAGAGTTTGGGGCCCGCGTCCCCAAGACTGGCTCTGCCTACCTCTACAGCTACGTGACAGTCGGCGAGATCTGGGCTTTCACGACCGGCTGGAACCTCATCCTGTCCTACGTGATAGGTACGTGGCGCTGCCGGACGGGCGTGGGAAGCGTGCCGGCACTGTGCTGATGCAGCCCCAGCGAGCAGTGCTTTGAGGAGCGCTGGAGCAGGGTGCGGGATGGGTGCTTTGGGGCTCAGCAGGAGCTGGTGTCGGGGTGGGAGACCGGTGCTGCCACATGCCAGGACCAACATGCAGCTTTGCCGTCGGCCAGGTACAGCCAGCGTGGCCCGAGCCTGGAGCGCAGCGTTTGACAACATCATCGGCAACCACATCTCCACCTTCTTCATGAACAAGACCACGGTACATGTGCCAGGGGTGCTGGCCGAGCGCCCGGACTTCTTTGCACTGATCCTGATCGCGCTGCTGACTGGTGAGTGTGCAGGATTGCCCCGCAGCCCCGGGGGTGACACGGTGCAGGTGTGTCCCCCGCTCACACCCTCTGTCCCACAGCGCTGCTGGCCTTCGGCGTCAGCGAGTCTGCTCTGGTGAACAAAATCTTCACGGCGGTGAACCTGCTGGTGCTGGGCTTCGTCATCATCGCCGGCTTCATCAAGGGAAACATCAAGAACTGGCAGCTCACGGAGGATGACTACAACCACCTCGTGAGCCCAGACGTGTCAAATGAGACCAGGTGAGGAGGGCAGAGGGTCCAGCCAGCCGGTGCGCAGCGCAGGGCTGGCACCGCACCGTCCCCTGGAGCACTGTGTGTGCGGGAGGGGGCCGCGCACCCCGCCGCAGCCTCACCTGCTCCGCTTCTTTCTTCCAGAATAAAAGAGTTTGGATCCGGAGGGTTCGTCCCCTTTAAGCTGGAAGGGATCCTGACTGGTGCCGCCACGTGTTTCTATGCCTTCGTGGGGTTCGACTGCATCGCCACCACAGGTAGGGCCCTAGTGAGGCTCCCTCCGTGAGCTGCTGCCAGTGGCTCGTGGGGAGGGAGCACAGCGCTCGCTCCTGGCTGTGGGAAATGGCTCATCCTGCTGCTGTGGCAACTCCATCCCCAGTTGCACCAGCACAAAAGGCCTGGAATCGGGGCTCCCTGTGAGGCATGGTGAGAGCAGGGCTGCTCCCCACCTGCCTGGGCAGCTGCGGGGCTGCAGGGAGCCTTTCAGCTGCAGAGACGAGGCTGCAGCCATGCTGGGAATTGCTGGTGCTCGTGCTCATTTCACAGCCTCAAGCAATGTTCTTTTAAATGACTAAGTTCACGTAGAATCATCTTGGCGTGCAGGGAGCCCTCTTAATTTCCCCTCATTCCTCCAGGAATCTACTTAGCAGGTTGCTGGTACAGACTGTTCTGCCCAGCCTCCTGGCCCACGGGGCTGCCAGGAGCAGCCGCCTCCTGCGCCGACCGTGGAGCCCCTCGCCGGGGAGTGTGGTGCCGCAAGGAGCACATCTGTGCAAAGCTCAGGGCTGAGGGCATCGCGGCTGCCTTACTAACCCCGTACTTATGCGGAGGATCTGGGTACAGCAGGGAGCTGGAGCTGCAGGCGGGGGCAGAGGGCTGGGCATGGCTGCGTGGAGTGGGGACGGATGGGGACAGACGCTGCCTCTTCCCTCCGTGCAGGGGAGGAAGCCAGGAACCCGCAGCGCTCCATCCCCATCGGCATCATCGTGTCCCTGCTCATCTGCTTCGTGGCCTATTTCGGGGTGTCTGCAGCACTCACCCTCATGGTGCCCTACTTCCTTCTGGACAAGGGGAGCCCGCTGCCCGAGGCTTTCAAGGCAGTGGGCTGGGAGCCCGCCCGCTACGCCGTCGCCGTCGGCTCGCTCTGCGCGCTCTCCACCAGGTAGGACCAGCCCCATCCGTGGTGCCACCTGCCCTACTGCAGGGCTGGGGGCACGTGTCCCAGCTGAGCCCTGTGCAGCTCCTGTCCTGCTCCCAGCACAAGCCGGTCCTTTCCTGCCCTGGATGGTGGGTGCAGACGGCTCAGCTTGTCTGGCCACCACCCAGCAAGCCCTGAGCTGTCTCTCCCCACGGCAGCTTGCTGGGCTCCATGTTTCCCATGCCCCGTGTGATCTACGCCATGGCAGAAGACGGGCTGCTCTTCAAGTTCCTCTCCAGCATCAACAGCCGCACAAAGACTCCTCTTTCGGCCACTATCACCTCCGGGCTCCTTGCGGGTAAGGCTTCTGGTGGCTACCTTGTGCTCAGTCCCCCTGCAGCCCAGGGCTGTGCTCATGCTGCCCGTCCTCGTTGCAGCGGTGATGGCCTTCCTGCTCGAGCTGAAAGACCTGGTGGACCTCATGTCGATCGGCACGCTGCTGGCCTACTCCCTGGTCGCCGTGTGCGTGCTCATCCTCCGGTGGGTGCCTCCTCTCCTGCTGGGTCTCGCCTTGGGGTGGATGCTTCTTGCTGGCCTCGCAGCCAGCCCGGGGTTTGTGGCCACAGCTGAAGCCCGTGAGCTGGAGGCTGCGTGGTGCCTCCAGGCACATCCGTGGGGTGGTCATTACAGGGCTGCTGGCAGTGCAGGAGGGGTACAGTGGGTGCTGTTGTGTCCCTGGGCTGGGAATATCCCCAGGCTCTGCTGCAGCTTGCGCAGCACTGAGCAGGTCCCGTCTGCACAGGTACCAATCCGGGCAGCTGAACTCCCCGAAGGCCGTGGAGATGCTGGAGCTGAACGGGAATGAGGAGGAGAGGGTTGTCATGAACCCAAGCATCACTGCCATGGGCACCAAGGAAATAGAGAAGCCGTCCCTGACGACACTCTTCAACCCGCCCTCAGACACCCCCACAGCGCTCTCGGGGCGCATCGTCTACACCTGCGTCTGCGTCATCGGTGAGTGAGTGGGAGGCAGCGGCTGATGCTCCTGGCCTGCCCTGTCCTGCCACGAGGCCGGGCTTGCTGGCTCCTTGCTGGGGAGCAGCACTGCCCCAGGGCGTGTTGGTGTGTCGGTGTGTCCCTGCAGACCTGGGAAGGGACCTGAGAATGCTCAGGCTCAGCGGGTGATCCGTGCATCAATGGTTTCATTGTGCAGGCAGAACCAGGCAGCTTAGCAAGCTCTGTGTAGGTGTTGGAGCTGGGTTTGAGCCCAGCTGAGCACAGGCTTCCCTTGGCTTGCCAGGCTGGAGAGTTCCTCCTGGTAAAGTGCTGAGGCTTTGGGGAGGATGTTGGGTGATCTGTCCGTGACCAAGAAGAGGCTCAGCCCTGCAGCCCGGGGAGTTGCCAGGGAGGTGTGGATCTGTACAGCCACGCGCTGTGCAGCACGCTGACTGCCTCCTCTCTTGCAGCCACCCTAATCACAATCATCTGCGTGGTCCTGACCCTCAAGGTGAATGCGCTGAAGGAGGCCAACGTGGGCTGGATCTCAGCCGTGGTGCTGCTCGTGGTGGTTCTGCTCGTTCCCACCATCATCATCTGGAGGCAGCCGCAGAGCAACGCACGGTTGAACTTCAAAGTGAGTGCAGCCTCTGGGAGCTTGTTGTCTCCATCCCTCTGGACCCGAGGCTGGTGCAGGATCTGCCAGGGCTTGCTGCTGGGCTTCCACCATCCAGAAATGCCCAGGGCCTGGAGCCACAGCTCTGTGAGGCGCAGCCCCTGGAGTGGAAGCACCCAGGTGGCAGAGCACCTTCAGCCCCAGCTGGGTCCCTCAGGCACAGCTGATGTGGCACCTCTTGTCCCTTGCAGGTACCTCTCCTCCCGCTCCTGCCGCTCATCAGCATCTTCGTTAACATCCTGCTGATGGTGCAGCTGAGTGCCGGCACCTGGGCGCGCTTTGCCATCTGGATGGCTGTGGGTAGGTGTCCTGGAGGGGAGTGCAGTGCTCACATGGCGCGGGGTCTGCCCTCTGCTCCAGCAGGGTGGCCTCGTGTCCACTGGATTTGGAGAGGAGCCTGTGTGTGCTGGGCAGCCTGCCGGGTGGGCTGGGCGGTGTGATCCTGGTGTTCTGGCTTCTGCCCATCAGCGGGGCCTCCCCGGAGAGGTCGTTATGCTGGCAGCCCGCTACCGTGCATCTCACTGTAGGATCTCTTGCAGGTTTTATGATTTACTTTGGCTACGGCATTCGGAACAGCGTGGAAGGGAAGAATGCGGAGCCCCGTGCCGTGGCCGAGAAGCCTCTGCACCACCCCGAGCCAGACCTCAACCCCAGGGCCACCGCGGTCTGACGGAGGCGGCGGCTGCGATTGACACCGGTACTCGGAGGACTCTGCCAGTATTCCTGCGCTGGGACGGGGCTGCAACCCGCACAGGCATCCCCCAGCCCATGGGGAGCGAGCCCAGACCCCGCGGAGCCGGGCCGTGCGCTGCCCTTTCCCCTCGCGGAGCAGAGGCTGGGGAGCCGAGGCCCCGGGCCGGGTGGGCGAGCCGGTGGCCCGGAGCTGCTCCCTGCAATCCCCCCCCCGCCGAGGGGCAGCGACACCGGCACGGCCCTGTCACCGTGGAAGCTGCTGTCAGAAGTGCTGCTTTGCCTTCCCACGAGAGGCCCGTGTGATGGTACAGCTTTATTCGTGCTGCCTGTCCCTGTGGCCGTGGTCACCTCCTCTGTGTGCTTCCCACGTGCCGGCTGTGTAGGCGCAGTTGTGGCCGTGCCCGGAGCCGTGCGGGGAGGCTGCAAGCGGCTCGTCCTGGCACTGCCGGCGCCCTGGGGCTCTCCAGCAGCACAGGGCTCAGCCACCCGAGGCCCCACTCCAGTTTTGTGCCCCACGCTGAGCCCTGTGCCGCTGGAACCACACTGCTAGGTGTGAGCGTCTGGCTCAGTTGCCTGCGAAGATATCAGCAGTAGAGACGTGTCAGTGTCTGTACTCGTCTGCCTTTGTACGATTGGTGTTTTAATGTCAATTTTTATACCTATTAAACTCTAAGTGTTTTTTAACCGCTTTGCTCTCTTGGCCCGGCTGCGTCTTGCTTTAATGCCCGTGCTCTGCAGCCTGAGCTGGGGCTTGTGAGGGAGCAGAGCAGGGCAGGACCGCGTGCCCCGCTGGGCCGGCTGCCAGGCACTGCCGGCACAGAGCAGGGCTTGGCCACAGCCGGGGGGGTGGGAGAGAGACCCACGCTCATGGCCAAACCTCCCACGTTAGCTGGGAAATAGGCAGCAGTGCCCCAGGGTGGCCCAGCCCCATGCTTCTGGTGCCTGGGTGCAGGACAGCAGCCTGCTGTGGCCTTGCCCTGCATGGCGTGGGAGCGTGCCAGCAGGTCCCGGGGCACGGGCTGCGGTGAAGACCTTGCAGATAACCCCCAGGGGCTCCAGCACTGGTCTGCGGAGGAAGCGGGGCCAGGAGGTGGGCTGCATCCATGTGAGAAGATGATTTCCCAGATTCTGGTCTGGTCTAAATCAGCCCTGACAGATTATTTTGCGAAATAAACTAATTTAGGGCAGATGGATCTTGCGTGGATTTGGCATCTCTCCTTGTTTACTGGCAGCCGAGCAGGGTCAGCGCACGGTCAGCAGCGAGGGCCCCACACCATCGGCTCTGCTTGGCCCCGGGGCTGCAGCTGCAAGCCCTGCCCCAGGGCTCGGCGGGGAGGAGAAGGGGCTGCCCGGCCCCACGGCACCCCCTGTGCTGTGTGCTGTGCCTGTAGCCCCACGCGTGCCCCTGAGCACGGCCGTGCCTTCGTCCCCGTGTCCGTGCAGGGCAGTGCCCGTAGTAGCTGCCCCAGGAGCAGGTGCCAGCCCCATCCTCCCTGTGCCGGTGCCAGCTGGGTGCAGGTAGGTGCCTCCCGTCCCCGCGGGGCTGGGTTGGACCCAGGGTGGCAGCCTGGACTCCTGTGCCAGCCCCAGGGCAGCACCTGTGCCTTCTACCTGTTATCGGTCTCACAAGCTCCACATGTTGGCTGGGGAGGTGGATAATGAGGCTCCGGAGTGGTGTGGGCTCAACGGAGGTGCCTGTGCCGCTGCCACCGCCTGAACTGCTGCCTCGGCAGCCTGCGGGTTGTTTCTCGAGGTGCTGTGATAGGGATGTGGCGCTGCGGGGCCAGAAGGATGTTTGTGAAGTGGCAGACCTCAGCTCCCAGGTGTTAGGGGCTGCAGGGTGGGCTTCCCCCTTCCCTGCGAGCCCTAAAGAGCAGTCCTCTGCTCGGAAAATGCAGCAAAAAGCAGCACCCTGGAGCCTGGCGCTGCTGCCACAAGCCCGGGCCCTGCACGCAGCCACCTGTAGATATTTGTTCCTTTGCGTGGGGCCTTTCTGCTCCGTGGGGAGGCTCTGCCCAGCTGGGAGAGCACCAGAGGGAACCAAGCGAGGCTGAAGCTGCTCCCCTGCGTGTGCCTCCAGCTCTGCTGCTGCTGTGTGGGTGCCAGGCAGGCTGGGCACACATGTGGGCAGGGGAGCCAAGGGCTGGCTCGTGCCTTGGCGCCGTCTCCGCAAAGCCCTCGCTGGCTGCTGTGCTGAGGGGGAGCACTCAGGCAGGACCCCACCACCTTCCCATCGCCATCCCCTGGGTTTCAGAGGCAGCCCGAGGCTCGCTGTGCCCTGGCTGCTTTCGGCCCAAGCCATGCAGAGGGGCAGGTGGCCGGGGCAGCGTCCCAGCGAAGGCTCACGGGACGTGCTCGTGGCTGCGGCACCGAGGGGTCGGGGTGTGGAGAGCTCGTGGCTCTCAGCCTCCCTTCGTGGCTCCACCCCTCATTCCCCTGCGACTTTCATAACCCAGCGCGCTGCCACGTGTCCGGCGCAGACCCCGGCTGCCTCGGGGGGACACGGGGCTGTCCCGGCGGAGGCGTCGGAGCTGCTCTCCCTGTGCTCCAGCTGCTTGTCGGGGAAGAGCCTCTGCGGTCAGCCAAGGGGAGCCCATCTCAGTACGCATGCCGAGGAGGATGGAGGTGGAGGGCTGAGCTGCTGCACAGAGCTGGGGTTGGAGAACCTGCCCCACAAACAGCTCCCTTGCGAGAAAAGGGGTGGCCTGGTGCACGGAGAAGTAATGGCAGATTGGGTTCAGTAATCCATTGTGGGGTTAAACCAGGCTGTCTTGTCCTCACTGCTCCGTGACACCAAATACTTCAGCTCAGGTCTAGCCCTGGAGTCACCGCACCTTTCTCTTCCCTGTAGGAGCAGCGGGACAGAGCTGTCGTCTCCCTCTGCAGTCAGCAGGTACCGTCACACCCTCCTCCTCCTCCTCCTTCTCCCCGCGGGTGATGGGTGGTGGAGCCGGGCTGCTGCCGGGTGGGACACGTCCCACCGGTGGGGCTCGAGCCCTGGAATCCAGGGAATCCACCCCAGGGCAGGCGGGATTTCTGGCGTGACGGAGGAAACTCATCTGCTCGTGATATTGCTGCAGCAGGGCTCGGTCGCGCTGCTGGGCCTCGCCATCCAAAAGAGCTGCAGGAGATCAAAGGTTGGGTTAGATTCCCATCTCTGGTTAGTCACTCAGCTGCAGGCAGGTCTCGACCCCCTTCTGCTTTCTGTGGCAGCTGCTTAAGCACGCGCTCCCCGGTAGCTGGCACAGGGCCACGTGCAGCCGATAATCCCCCGGCCGCGAGCCGCAGCAGGTGGCTGGTGCTGTAAGCGGGCAGGCTTCATGGTCCCCTCGCTTTGCCTCTGCAGGTCTGGCAGGATGACTGGCTGCCGGGTGATTGCCCTCCTCCTGCTGTCCTTCCTTCCCGGTGCTGCAGCTGGAGGCCTGCTTCCTGCCCTCGTTCCCCAGTCCACCCTGCAGCTCGGCAGAGCTCGCTTCTCGGCGCAGCCCGTCCTGGAGCTGACAACACGCTGCGATGATGCATGCGCCCAGCGGGAGGCTGCTTTGGCCCCCCAGGATTTGCAGGAGCACCTTTCTTACGAGACCCTGTACGCCAACGGCACCCGCACCCTCACCACGGTGGAGCTGAGCCCCCGGGGGGGCGGCACGGAGAAGAGGCGGCAGAGGTGGCGCAGGCGGCGCAAGCGGCAGATTTACGGCACGGACGGGCGGTTTTCCATCAGCGGGCCCCACTTCTTGCTGGACTACCCCTTCTCCGCCACCGTCAAGATCTCCACAGGGTGCACGGGGGTGCTCGTGTCCGAGCGGCACGTCCTCACAGCTGCCCACTGCATCCACGACGGCAAAGACTACGTGAAGGGGGCCAGGAAGATCAAGGTGGGCTTCCTGACGCCGCTGCAGGGCACTGGCAACAGGACGGGGCCGGGGGGGCTGGCGATGCGCTGGGCTCGCGTGCGGCGCACGCAGGTGCCCAAGGGTTGGATTCGGAGCCCCAACTCGGTCAGCATGGACTATGACTACGCCCTGCTGGAGCTGCGCAGGCCACACCAGCGCCCCTACATGAAGCTGGCGGTGGCTCCAGCGGCGGAGGAGATGGCTGGGAAGAGGATTCATTTTTCGGGGTTTGACAGCGACCGGCCAGGTGAGCTGGTCTACCGCTTCTGTGGGGTGGAGGATGAGACAGCACACCTCATCTACCAGCACTGCGATGCCCGGCCCGGTGCCTCCGGCTCTGGGGTGTACGGCAAGGTGTGGGACCCCGTCCGGCACAAGTGGGAGAGGAAGGTGGTCGGGGTCTTCTCTGGGCACCAGTGGCTCGAGGTGGCCGGGGAGCAGCATGACTATAACGTTGCTGTTCGCCTGACGGCTCCGAAGTTTGCTCAAATTTGTTACTGGATCAAAGGGGACTATAAAAGCTGCCAGAACGAATAACTGCAGCCTTCCTTTTCCCCTCCCCAGTGCAGAAGGCTTTGAGCGTGGTGTTGCAGAGCAAATGCACGGCTGAGGAGCACGAGGAGGAGCAGCATCTCCTGCCAAAACTGCTGCACCACTGAACTTCACTTTGTTCTCTGTCCTGGAGGAACGAGGTCCCTGCACATCACAAGGGATCCAGTGGAGACTCACTGAGCCTGAAGGGTGCGTAAGCTCCTTTGGTTGGTGCTGGTGGGAACTCGGCATCGGGTTCTTTGCACAAAGAGCTCGGCTGGCAGTCAGGACAGCGGCCTCTGCCTCGAGCCGTTAACCACTTGGAGGCAGCCACAGGCCTGTGCTCAGCTGCACCGAGTTTCTCTTGGGTCTCACCAGGTCTCTGTTTGTGGGCTGGCACTGCCCAGCTTGGCACTGCCCCAGCTCTGTGAGGACAAAGGATTTTTTCTTCTAACAGCGTCTTTGTGTGCCGATGAAAGGTGCCTGAAAGGGAACCCTGCAGCCTGAGGCTTCTGGGCACGCTGTCAGCAAGGAGCCTGGCCAGGACAGGAGGGGCTGCTCCAGCGTGCTGGTGGAAGCAGCACGTGATGGCACTCTTGGAAAGGAAACCTCTTCCAACCCCTGCAGCGTGGTACCACGTGGGTACTGCCACGCCACAGCACGGGCTGAGATCTGGGAGCCCCCATTTACTTGTAAACCTTCTCATCTCTCTTTGGTTCTCTTTGGGATGCCTTTAGGAGGAAGGGACCCTGGCATTTACTGCAGCTGTAGTATTTGAGGTGGATTATTTTATGCAAATACGTGTATTTGAATAAAAGGCAGCACAAATCTCTTTGCAAAGGTTACGTTGAAAGGAGAGTGGTGCACAACTTGCCAACCCTGCTTTGGGACTTGTGAAAGCATGGCAATGCTCTCCCTTCAGACCAAAGCCAGCAGGACAGGTGGAGCTGGGTAGAGCTGAAATTGCAGGATCTTGCAAAAATAGGGACAGAAATGCCTCCCACAGTCATAACCCAGGCACCTGACCAAACAGCTTCCCACATGCTCTGTCAGATCCACAGGAATGATATGTCCAACAGGCCCTACCAGGCTCTCCCAGGAGCAAAGCAAGAGTTTGTTTTATGTGTCCCTACCTCACATACACAAGATTCTGTTGCTAATCCAAGTTTCATGGCAGATTTCCCTCCCTGTCTTCCTCACAGATTCCCTTTTGCTTGCTGTGTTTGCCCAAGCAATTCTTCTATGTAATCCATAACCTCCAGAAGGGACTTTGTGCTGATGCTGCTTTGCCAGGCTGGACAGATGACAAACTGAGCTTGTTTTTTGCTCTTGTGTCAACGTCCCCTCCTTTTCACTGTATGTCAGGGCAGCCTGCATCGCAGGCTTGTCAACTCTGTCATTCCTCAGGTCTGCTGAGGTCTAAACGTGCAGTTCCTTCAGGATTCGTGACAGTTTTACTGATGCAGCAACCTGACTTGCAAAACAAGCAGGTAGGAGACATTTCAACAAATTAAATGCTACACCCGCTCCCACTCAGTTCTAACATAAGTGTTAAAATAATTTAAATTGTATGCCTGGTCTGCACATGTGCTCAGCAGAACAGTATTCATTATCTTGGATGAGACAGAGCATGAAAAATCCCAATTACACATTACTGGAGAGGGAGCAGCTGCTATTATTTTCATCACACTAAACCAATTTACAGTCACAATTTAACTTGTCCAGCGGCATTGCCTACCCTGGCTGGAGGTGCTTAGGCAAAGATCAGTAGGTGTTGTAATCTCTTCTGCTCTCTTGTCTGGACCCTACAAACAGCTTAATAGTGTTAGCCATGCTCTTAAATGGGGAAGAAAGCACTGGGGGGAGGTTGTTAATAACAAACACAAGGAAGGGAGTTCCTTCCATTAAGTGCACATTGGACCTTTATATTGCTTCCTACACACCTCCGGTCATGGAACAGGTATCAGGACAGTGAAAGTTTTCCTGGAATCTGCTCACATGAAACATAAAGGTTTGTCTTATTCAGAGCAGCTGTACGCTTTATAAGCAACTTCCTTCTGGTGTCAGCCACCAGCTATTGCAAAAACAGAAGAGGAAAAGCCAGCAGCAAGAGGGAAGCCAAGAGAAATACAGTGAGACTTGCGCCCTCTTTTAGCATCCATCTTAGTGTTTGCAAGTGACAGCAATTTTAAAATACCAACAGCTGTTCCCCCCAGTTCTTGTCAGAGAGCTAACAGTTTTGATGCACAAACTGCAACAGGTACAGGACTCACTGTTTATTTAGAAAATTGAAAGAAACTTTTAACAAAACCACGCCGAACAGTGAGGATCTGAAAAGCCAGGCAGCACTGGGGGCATCATAAAGAGAAAGGCTCTGCAGGCCCTGACCAACCCAAGGGCTAGATGTGCAGGCAAGCACCTCCAAGTGGACAGTAAGACCTCACTGCGCTTCTCTCATCCAAACAGTGACACTGCTTTGTTAGCAGAGGACGTTGTAAATTAGAAATTTGCAACTCTCCTGCATCCCCACAAGGTGCCCTGGCACCTGGAGGGCTCCAGTGGTGGCACATTTTTAAGAAGTTCCATCTGAGAGCAACCGCAGCTGCAGTCCCTACTTGGAGGAAGCCACCTGCTTAGCTGCAACATGAAGAGTACGTCATAGCACAAGGTGTTGCCATGCTGCGTTTCTTCTTACCCAGAATCCTGCAGAGCTGTCCATTTGTTTCCCTCGTTGCCCTGCATCAGCACAGAACATCTTCTCTAGCCCAGAAGGAAGGGGGAATGAACACATGTATATCCACAGTCTAAGGAGGGTCACCTTTTGTTGGAACTTGGATCTCACTCCCTACCCCAATCCAAAATGCGAGAACAGGGCTAGCTCTGGAAGGACAGAACCCTCTACGAGCTAGGACCTATGAGGCAATTAATAGACTGCAGGCTGATGATTTGCCTTCTGCATCTGAATAATCTTGCCAAAGCCACCTCTTCCCACATCGTAGTCTGTCCGGTACTCATCTCGCACCTGGGGCACAGCAATGACACAAATATTAGCATCCTGCACTGCTCGTGTCCTTCAGAATCATCACCCTCTTCTCGCTCAGCTGGTGGAGAACTGAAGTTCAGATTAGAAGCACTTTGACCCATTTGAAATCTCTTCAAATAATCCACCAAAAAGGTGATGGTGGTGCAAATGACATGAGAATATGTCTGATAGCTGAGGTCCTTTTAGGTAATGACAAAGATAATGCCAAAATATTTTAATGCCAGGCTTTGCACCCCCACCCCCCAAAAAAAAAAAAAAGTCTGCAACAGAAACTTACCTTCTCACAGGACAAACTGCTGGCTTCTGAGATTGGCCTGACATTTGTGCTGCCCCTCTCCTTTCAAATTCTACACCATTTTAAGAGTACTAGCTTGGAATAGCAAAAATTCTACTTGTACCGTCAGAACTTTGGAGCCTTAGTTCTACTTCTAGCTCTTAATAGCATCAGTTACCAAAATCACCCGGAGTAGCTGTACTTCATTATCAGGTCCTTATCGCCTACACTTTGTTCTCCAGGAGACAAAACTAGAAAAGCTCTACACCGTCTTAGGGGGACCCGACTCAAGGTCTGAACTGATATTGCTTTTACCTGTCCTCCAGTCTTTCCTCTTCCATACTGCCGGCCCTCCTTAAACCCTGCATCCCAGTCTGTTCGAACGATGCGGTCGTCTAGTCGCGTGCCATTGATAAATCGCATTGCATGTTCAGCGTCTGCTCTCGTGTAGTATCTGAGACACAGTCTAAGGAAAACTACATGTGCTGTTTTGTTGGCTGCAGGGAAAAGAAAGAGAACTACTGCATTTGAGAGGCAGAAGAGCCCTGCCTTCCAGGTTTTCCTACTGTGCCTACTCTTTTCTCTGGGATCAAACAACTGCAGTCATGAAAACCAAGCTGAAAACAGCTCCCACTCCTTCCTAAGGTTCTGAACTTTAATGATAGTACCTGTACAGGCAAGAAATAGCTTTGGATCACTTATATCACAAGCAGATAAAACAAACATGTTAAAGCCTTGCTACGGGCAAGAAATCCATATGACGCCTTCTTCTATCACGCGAAACTTGACTAAACGTGAGCAGGAGGCGCAGGCCTCGCGGGAGAGCTCTGCAGAGACAGCTCACGGGGCAACTTGTACGAGCGTGCACCCCGTGCTGGGGAGCAGCACCACGGGACGCTCTGCGAGGCCCTTTAGGTGCGAAGTGAAGGCGAGAGGGCGAACAGAGGGCAAACACGAGCTCTTAGCGTTGGCCATGAGTGAGATGGGGCCTGTGCAAGTTCCACCTACACAGGTTGGGGGGAAGGAAGGGAAACGAATGCCCGGCAGTGGGCATTGGCGCGGGGTGGCAGAGCTGGCTGTGGCAGGCCGAGAGCAGGAGGGCGCGGGAAGGATACTCGACGAAGCAGAAGCCGCAGGGCGTCTTCTTGATCTTGTCCAGCCCCATGACGATGCGCTTGACGTCGCCGCACTTGGAGAAGAGCTCCTGGATCTGCTCCTCGGTGGTGTAGAACGACAGGTTGCCCACGTACAGCGTGGAGGAGATCTTCAGGAACTTCTCCTGCAGCTTCTTGCTACCCTGCGGGCACAGCGAGCAGTCAGCGGGTAACGGCCACCGGGTAACGGCCACCGGGCGCCCCGACCCCGCTCCAGGCCCCGTCCCCCTCACCACCCCCCCCCCAGCCGCCCCCGGTCCCGGCCGCACCCGGAAGTGCTGGTCGCGGTAGCGGCTGATCTCGCAGTAGGAGTCGCTGTTGAGGCCGCTGAGCGTGGTGTGCAGCAGCCCCGACATGGCGGCCGTGCCCGCGCCCCCCCCCCTCTCCCCACCGCCACCGCCGCCGCCGCCGCCGCCGGGATCCTTCCAGAACGGCGCCCACCGGCACCGCCTCACGGCCGGCGGGGCCGCCGAGCCTCCCTATTGGCTGCCGCGCCTGTCGATCGGAGGAGGAAGGCGGGGCGGACGCGCCGGCCGGCCAATCGCCGCGCGGACCTGCCCGTTCCTCCGCGGCTGTGGCGGTGTTGCGCATGCGCGGTGCGCAGGGCGGGAGGGAGGGAGGCGCTGAGGGGCGGCCCCGTCATGGCGGCGCGGCGGGCGGTGGCCGAAGGTGGCGGCGGGCGGGAGGCGGGGGCGGCGCTGCCCTCCCCTCACGGTGCTCTCTCCCCTCACGGTTCGCTCCCCGCCTGTGTTGCAGGACTGCTCCGGGAGCTGCTGCGGGAGGAGGCCCCGGGCCGCATCGCCGCGCTCACCGAGGAGCTGTTCCGGGCGGCGGGGAGCCTCGGCGGGGAGGCGGGGGCCGAGCCGGAGGTAGGGCCCGGCCCTGCGGCCTGAGGCCTCCCGGTGTTGGGTGTGCTGAGGCGGAACCCGGCCCTGCCGGCCTGGGGATGGAGCAGCCCCGCAACCCGGCAGGAATAAAGCAGAAAAGTGTTAAATAATAATAATAAAAAAGCGTTAACGGCAGCTCCCGGTGCCCGCGCCGCGGGTTTCCACACGAAAACGCAGGTGGCGGAGTGGTGGTGCACGGAAAAAGGCGTGGGAGCAGCTGAGGGGCTTCCCGACACACTGACTGGGGATAGCGGGTCTGGCAGGGAGAAAAACAAACAAGCACACCTAATAACACCTGCCTGGGGAGCCCAGCAGGGTGGGAAGCATTTTTTGTACATCACACCAGTGAATTAGGGTGTTGCTTATAATAACGATAGGGTTTTTCTTTGTAGGCCGTCTAGAGGACATTTATGAAGTGGTAAACGACTACTTTAAAAGGTCTTTTTCTAAAAGGAATCAATGAGAAAAGCTAACCTGGAGTAAAAATATAGCTAGCTGAGGTATTGCCCAAACTTTTCCTCCAAAATTCTATTCTGAAGCAAGATTTAGTTCACAGTGGTTGTCCTCAGAGGAAGACTGGTTTTGAAAGTCCTCAGTGTGCGACAAAGGGCAGGACAGGTTAGCGTGTGTCAGTACAGAAAATAATCCTAATGCTGTCTATAAAGAAGTACAGGAGCATAAAACTGGTATCCTTTGGTTCTTCCCGTTGGGCTAAATGAGTTTTAAAGAAAGGAGAAATTAATTTGTCGTCTGATCCCTTAAATAAAATGGTCCATAACATTTTTCCTGGTTATGCAAGAGCATATTTGTAGCCAACATGTCTTCTGGAAACTATGATTTGAGTGATGGAAAATACACTACCCTTCGAGATGGGTTTTTAAAGGAGCTTATTGGGTTTATGCAAGATTGCATCATCTTTTTAACAAGAATATCTAGTCAGGAACCTTTTTTCTTTGTCTGCTGATACCAGGAATTTCCCAGCATAGGAGTTTAAGGTAATTAAATGTAACATTCTGTAGGCAAAAGAGGTAAAGTCTTACTGCAGATGCACTTCCCAACCTGGTACAATTTTACAGTGCTTTTCCAGTCCCTAATTTTTCAACATCTGCTTAAAGCACACATAATGTATTCTGAAAGCTGCCAGTGAATCAGTTGTGTTGGACGTGCCGATGTGCTATTGCACAAATTTTTTTATGTGCGAGTGTTTTTGAGGAAGCTTCATCCCAGATGGATAGGGTAAGTCAGGTCATGTTTTGCGAAGTTTGGAAAAGGACTTGACAGAAACATATGTTAGGATATTTCAGTAATTTGACAGATTAATGGGATTTGTTTAGGAACATGCTTGAATGTTTCTGAAGTCCACCACTTCACATACAGAATTTGCTGGTTTGTGTAATTTCAAATTAGAGCTGAATGTTGACGTGACATACATGTGTGTACTACTATTGGTCTTATGATTACTTCTTTCTAGTTTCAGGTCATGTCAGCCTTTGATTTGCAGCCATGTTCTTTCTTAACTTCCTCTTAGAAACACTCTCAAATTTTTAGAAGATGTGAAATAGTCTTTTAGAAGACTGAGTGTATCTTATAAATGACAAGAATATGTGATTCCTGCCAACTGCTTATCAGTCTTCTGGAATACGTGTTCTGCAGAAAAGCATGATCCAAACTTTTAGCTGAAGAAAACCTGTGTGGTCCACTCAGCGTGCCTGTTTTGGGGTCACTATCCCAGCTCTCCCTGTGGAGGTGGTCAGTTCATGTAACAGCTTCAGAGAAAACTCAGGCCTTTGACATCAGTGTCAAAGGTGGTTGCACAAACGTGGACAGATCATTAACATGACGAGCATGGAAGGTGGTTCCTTATCCAGCAGTGAATTTGAAAGTGATCCAAATCTAGGACAACATCAAATCTAATAGAATTTTCCTCCTCAGGTTGAAGAAGGTGCAATCAGCCTGTGGAACTGGGCTGTGACCAAGCACATGGGTTCTGTCATCAATGACGAGCAAAGAGCTAAGCGTACGTATGCGTCCTGTTCCTTTCCAAACACATTTGTGTGTTGCAGGGTGAAAAGGAAAAGCTCTTTGCTGACAGGTATATGTGCAGCACTGTGGATTTGTTTGGATATTTGCAGGTAGGGTAGAGACAGAGGAAACTGTACAGCTAGACTTAGATAAACCATTCGGGATCACTCTGGTGTAATGGTGATCTAGTGACACAGAATCAGGATAGGCATTTTTACCACTCCTCCTTCTGTGCATGAGCATCAATAAAACAATGGTGTAGCCAAAGGAAAGTGTAGTTTGCCTTCTAATGCTATGTTTTTAATCTGAGAATGTATGGAAATAAAACTGACGTACATTTTAGACTGTTGGTCAGTTAATTTATAAAAAGTGAGACTGTTTTTTAACATAGCTATCTCACTAATGTTTACAGAAAAAATCTAAATCTTTTTTTTGACTCCCCTGCCTCAGCCAGGCACACAGCTGGTTGGTTTGCTTTAAGCCAGAAGCAGGGCTGGGGGAAATCAGAAGTGAGCTTTTGGTCTACTCTGTCATCCAGTTCCTTATGTGGTTCTGCAGGATTGCAATATCTGGCCTACATTTTTGTCTTGAGGGATTATAGTCAAAATTATGTACACTCTGCATCATATAAATGATGTCAGGGGAAGGGAAAAGGGTAAGTTTACACAAAATAAATAATAATTACCGTAGTGTAATATTCTCAGATCTTATATCACAGCTGAAGGGCCAGGGAGAGGCTATTTAAAATATATTAAGCAGTGTCTTTTCTATCCCTGATGTTTAAGAAAGGCCAGAAAATATTTTTGCTTTTTACTTTGAAAATGTAAAGATTATTAAACTTGATTTCCCTATGTTGCTGAAGGCTATTTTGAGGCACTCAAGGCATGTTACTGTGAGCACCTGTAATGTAATTAAGTCTTTGAATGCTGTGTCTTTAACTTAGGTATTTAATAGGTTTAATAGGTATTTTGAGGAGAATATCTTTTTTTTTTTTTCTTGATGCCTAAAAGGCAGTTTTAAAGTGCTTGGCTAAAATTCAGACTGAAGCTTTCAAATTTTTCTTTCCTGCAATTTTACATGGTAAACCGTCTTTTGGATATGGCAGGGCCTGACTTTCTTAAGTAAAAAAAAAAAAAAAAAAAAAAGACAAAAGGAAACTTAAGAATATATTATACATTGTTTTCCTGCAGTGCGATTTGTTGCTTGTAGACTGGTGTGCCTTTGTGAAGGCAGTGATCCTCCGGAGGGGACTATTCGAAGACAGATTTTGGTAAGGCTGTTGGCAGGTAAGCAATGAAATGCAGTTGATCACCAAGGGAAATCTTACAACCTTATTACAATTGCTTTGGAAAGTGAGTGAAATAAGCCTGTAATTCTGGGGAGTGTGCATGTTGAAGGTGGGCCCATATCACAGGCATACCTTGCTGAGTTAGTGCAGTTACAAATTTCTTAACAGTGCAGTTAGCATCACATCTTTGTCATATGTTAAAATGTTATGAGAGAAGCATTACTACAATATCCTATAGTACTGTGCAGTAGGGCACTCGAAGTCCTACACTGCACCTAGGTGCTATGGAGTTAATTCAGATGCGAGAGGCACTTGTCACAAATTAAAGAGCTGAAATACCTCTCTCCTGCATAAGATATGTGCGTTAACAAGAAGAAATTTAACACTGCTTCTTCGAAGTGACTAAATTGTCACAAAGCACATATCATTTTCTCTTTCAGATGTCAATGAAAACTGGTAAAGGATGGATAGATATTGGAAAAGCTGATCTTGCTGATGAATTTCTAGAGATTGCCTTGAATGTAAGTGCTTTTCTCATTCTAGTTTCTTATAAACACACCTGTTTGTAAGTTCATGGGTGATGCTTAAGCTTTGTTTTCCAGAGCATAGAAAAACTGTACACAAAATTACGTAAGGGGAGCGATGGTGAAGCAGATATTCATGTGCACAAAGCTGATGTGGAGAAGGACCTCTTCAAAGTGCTCTCTTATCAGGCTGAATCAGTATGTGTTCTTCCCTGCTTTCTTTATAAGTCACTAGGGGGTACAAAGGAAACTCTGACCCGTTTATTAGATGTATGAATGCTTGGCACCGAGGACTTGCTGAAGGATATATTTCCTTTGCTTAGATGTAAGATATCAGACGTGATGTTTGCATTCAGTGTTGCAATAATTTGATGATTTTTAATTTGCCTGGTTTATCGCAGTCATTTCTGCTGTGTTGTTTATATCTTCTAGTTCAGATTTGTTGCTCTATGATTTGGCTAGCATGAGTGTTTATACAACAAACAGCTGCCCTTCTGAGTCATAAATGTTTTGGTTCCAAAGGTGCCTTGTGCTTACTGAAGAAAGGGGAGCCTGGGTCCCCAAAACTGTGTTTGTGTAATAGGCACACAGCAAGACTTGCCACTTTTTGGGCAAATTTGCATCAAACGTGCAGCTGGCCTGATTGAAAAGTGCTTCCCTAAGCAAACCAAAATGCTGGCCAAATTTTTTCATTAGCTTCTAATTGATAATGGAGACAAAAAGAGTACCCCACGTTACTGGAGAGGTGTTTTAAGATTTGCTAGTTTGTTACATCATCTAACATCTGAATGGTTTGGTACCACCCATCTGTCCCTTCCACACTACAGCTGGACGGCAGGGTACTTCTGAATGTCTTTGTCATCTGGGAATATATAGAAATAAACAGAATTATTGTAGCACTAGAAGGACAGATATCTAATCCCAGATTTAGCTTTAGTGAATGTGAAAAATGTATGCAAATCCAAGTCCTTTTTTAGAGATTGGTCTTTTAATGAATTTTAGAGGCAAGCAAGTCACTTACAGTCTGTTGGCATGTTCTACTGCTTTCCTAGGCAGTTGCTCAAGGGCATTTTCAGAAAGCTGTGATGTGTGTGCAGCGCTGTAAAGATATGTTGATGAAGTTGCCAAAAGAGGTTAGTGAAATCATACCTTCTTTATCATTCCAAAGTTTGAAAATCTGCTTTCCTATCTATATGTTAACGAGTGGCAGATGCCATATAAAATTTTGAAAAATACTTCGAGAACTCTTTGTGTGTATGTGTTCTGTGTTTTTCTGCTTCTCTGAGATTTTCTTGCTACATATTTTGCATGAAAGCAGCATTTTTTTTTCCTTCAAAGTTCAGTGTTTTTCTTTTTTGCTTATAGTTTATCATTTGAAATAGAATGATAAACTCTTCCTAAAGAATGAGTGAAAACAAATCATCTAGAAAGGCAAAAAGATTTCTGTATTGAATATGCCACCTACTCTTCTGCAGAAACAGCTGCACTTCACATCTTGATCTTCTCTGTTGCTTCTTCCCTTTTATGTGTGAACTTTTGTCTGGAGGCAGGTGGGACAAGAGAAGAACTGAGCTTCTAGGCTTTTCATATGCAAGTTAGTACTAAAATCTTCATCTTCATGAAGCTGTAAGGCTATGAATGGTGGTTTCTCATTGTACTAAACTGTGTTTTTTGTAGTTCTTATTTCACAGAACAATGTCCAAAGAAAACAAGCTTTGACATATGCAGACTAGTCCTTTGTTTGCAAAGATAAAAGGCTAATATGTTTGTATCAGAATAAGCTTCCCCACATTCATTTTCATTTGCTTATTTTAATTTTTTTTCCCAACCTTTAGGATTTTTTTTTGGTACAGTTAGGAAACATTTTGTTCTTGTCTCTGTGGTACAGGTAATAAAATCCAAAGGGATAGATGTGAGTTCTGAAACAGAAATATGGCACTGTTTATGTTATGGTTGGTTAGTTTAATTTTTTTTTTTATTGTTTTTGTGATCTGTTTGCAGAGTATCTGAGTGACTAAGTCAGCTGTGGGGGTCTAACTTTCATTTCAATTATAAGAGCAGTTTCTCACTGTTTGATTTGTTAAAGATGCTCACTGGGATCATCATGTTTCTGTTTCTCATTTCATTTTGAATGAATTTCATGCTTTCCATTTTAACTCCTCCATTAAATAATATTAAACTTCTCATGGTGAAGGCTCTTCAGAAACCATGAGCACTGATGCAGATGAGGAAGAGGTTTCTGATCACAAGAGATGCAATTCACCACTGGTTTAAGGAGGGGTATTTAAACAATGAGAGAAAAAGAAAGCGCTAGCAATTTCTCTGAGTGACTTTGGAATTTCTGACCACCATGTAGTTGTCACTCCTTAACTCCTCCAGAATCACATCTTACCAGAGAGCACTTGCGGAGTACCACACGGAGGTTGTTGCATTATGGTAATGGATGATACCACAGATCAGCTGGTGAGGATTTGCAGCTTGTGGATCATCAGTGGTCTTAGGAACCACAATGGGGAACTGTAGCCCTAAAGGATGAAATGCTAGAATCGTTCCAAACACTTAGTGTTTGGAGTGATGCCAGGCTTATGGGAATATTTAGGATTATGCTTGATGTCTGGAACACATTAATTCATTAAAAGAGTATTTTAATTATGAGAGTGATTTTTTTGTTGTTGTTGTTCATCCATACTGAATTTGCACTTTTGTGTCTGGATGGCAATGAGATAAAAAAAAAATGTTCAAAGCAAAATGTTGTTCTGTGTCTCTCATTCTTGCCCGAGGATTTGAAGTCCCTTGCAAGAGACACTTCTTGTACTTGGAGAAGAAACTTACTCCAGTGGCAAAGTGAATGCAAATATTAGTGGTCTGTTAGCATTTAAAACAGCTTTTTGTCTCCATTTGGACAGCATTTGACAGTTGCAAATTATTGCAATGGAAAGACATGTTGGTATGAAGAGATACTGTCAGGGCTGACTGATAAAGCAGAAAGCAACAACATTCTGAATAATCAAGCATTCAGAAATATTTTTCTGCTCACATTGGTAGCGTGGATCATCCTTTTATAATGCAAAGGAGACATGCTGGGAAAAAGCCTACTGTGCAAGAGGCGGAGTCCTATTTATTTAACTGTGCAAAAGTAAAACCTTTTAGTCATTTTTAAAAATGAATTTGTAATATGCCATTTTTTCTTCCTAGGTTTTATTTTTTATAATTTACTATGCAAGGTTTAGTGCTTTCAGGTTGGTTTCTTGAGGAACTATTCTACTTTGTGTGTTTGAAGAATTCCCCTGTTTTGCATGTCCCAGACTGGTTAATATTGCTGCACTTTCCCACGGAACAATACAATTTGATTCTAGTCATGTTCAATACCCTCCTCAAATATGGTCAGAAGTGATAATTGTAGACATGTCTTTAAAGTAAAAAACGTTTTAAAGAACCTGAGACCAGGTGCCATAGATGTATTGATGTTTCTACAAGGACACTATAGAAGCAGGAGTCTTTTATTACAGACCTGTTACCTGTCCATCCTCTGTTACAACTTTGGGGTGGAAACCTATGAACGGAAGAAGTATGAACAGAGCTCCTTTTGGCTCAGGTAACGTGCAAAGGGAAACAAAATAACATCCTGCGTTTCAAATGTAAATATCTGTGTGAAGAAGAGGGGGAAGGAAAGTAGATATTTAATTGAAAAACAGAAAACACAAGTTTTTAACTCAACCGTAGTGGCTGAGCAAATACTAACTTAGTGACTGTCTTGCTTACAAATGCTATTGCCTAGCATTTATGTCTGTTTTCCACACTGATTTTCATGTCATTAAAACGAAAACTTCCATGTGGGAGTCATATCCATGGTTCTCATCAATTCTCTCCCTAACTCTTCTTCCAAAGAGATTACTTTAATGAAGAGGCTATTCGCAGCTCCTGTGCCACTTACAAACAATATTGAAGGGATCTGAAAACTTTAGAAAAGTGTAGAGGAATTCTTCTGGCCAGTTTGAAATGAATGTGTTTTTATCAGTACTTGAATTTCTCAGAAAGGAGGCGCTTCATTGACAGCAGTTTCTTGACTGATGAAATACACAACCACCAAGGTGAAAAACAAATAGTTTGAGATGGTTTAGGTAGGTTCCAAATAAGTAATGTGTTATTGCTAGGGGAGAAAATATTTAGGCTATTGGGAATAGCATCTTCATGCCAAGGTCACAGACTGAGCTCAGAAAATTTGCTTTTATTTCTTGTTCTTTTTGTTTTAAATTCTCTGAAGAAAACAAATGACAACACCTCTAATTCAGAATAGTTACGGTCACATGCTATAAAAGAATTTTTAGAAATGCTTAGAATTAATTAAAGCTGGTGCTTTGTTGATTATTTTATATTTTGTTCTTGTAGAATATTAAATACTGAGTCCTGATGGCAAAATTTGAGGAGGAAATAAATTTCTGCCAAGTGCAAATATTTATCTGGATATAGCAATTTAGCTCCACCTAGTGGGTTAAGATTTCTCTGTAGTGAGAGTGTATTATATTAGGAAACAAATGTCTGGTTGTTCTGTTTTTCTTTTAAAAAGTTATTCCTTTGCACTGTTTGCCATCAAATCTGGTTTTGTGGACCTGGTGCATTTTCTCTGGGTGGTCCTTTGTGCTGTCATTTAACTTTCAGGAAAAGAGTGATGAATCATGACTCCCAGGTTCTGTTTTTGTGCTGGGATCTTAAGACTGGGTCAATTATAACTTCTGTGTATGACTGTATTGTATATCAGGTGAGAATAAGAACAGTGACTTGCTCAAAAAGCCTACTAAAATGTTTGAATAGAAGCTGTTACAGAATGTGGTGCACTAGGTTGAAGGATGTGGTAGAGTACAATTTTTGATATGAGGGTTTAGGAAGAAAAAATCTTTTGTTCTCTGGTTAAGAAGTGAGGCAGAATTGGAATGTGGCACATACCAGATGCAGGGCTGTTATAAACGTGTCAGTCTTCAAAATATAATCAATATAGTCAAAACTTGGACTATAATCAAAGTTTACAATTTATCAAAGGAATAGAGGTAAGCAAACAGCACTGGTTGCGCTGGGAGTCTCTGTTCCACCAAGATGCACACCAGTTACATCAAGCAGCTGATTTTTATGCTCCTAGGCTAATACATATTCATTACTACTTCTAAAAAAACCAGGGTTATTATAATTAGTTTCTGGAATCCAAACCCTCCTACTGGAGCCTGCGTATCAGTCTCTGGTGGTCCCTCTGGGGGTCTGTGGGGATCTCTTGTGCTGAAGGCTCATAGTCTTCCTCCTTCTTGTCCTTCTCAATTGTCCAACTTGGCTGTATGTCAGAGACTTGTGCAGCGTCCCCTGCAAGCTTTGTCTTTTAGTCGTTCTTCAGCTTTCCCCTTCTCCTTAATCTCCTGGCCAGATATCAGAGACTTGCATAGTGTCCCATGCAATAGTCATAATAGTTAGCAGTTATTCTGAAACCCCCCAGATATCAGGAACTTCAAGGAAAAGCCTACAAATACATTTCCCTTCAAGCTCTCTATTGACATGAATTGCTAAAACATTCCTCTACAAGATACAAGAACTATATACATTAACCACTCTGTTTTTCTTAGACTTGTGATTATACAAGGGTCTGTAGGACAGAAGGTCACATTCATCATTCCATGCGGCCCTAGTATTGTTCCATATTGACACAAATCAGATGAACACATTTCACATATGATATGAGGGTTTAGGAAGAAAAAGTCTTTCGTTCTCTGGTTAAGAAGTGGGGAAGGATAGGAATGTGGCAAATACCAGAAACCTGGCTGAATTTATTTCTGTCATCCCATGTAACTTTAACCTTTTCTTATCCTTGGTAGCCAGAGTTATGACATTGGGAAGATGGATATGAAATACTCTGTTGGCAAAGAAATACGGGTAAGAAAAAGAGAATTTGCTGTTTACACACAGGAGGATTTTGTTAACCTGACTCTAGTGCTACTGCTGTGCCAAATCTGACCAGTGATTCTCTGGCCTCTGTTTTAGTATTGTTTGCTATGAAGTTTGGCAAAGTTGCAAATCCACTTTCTGTGAGCATCACAGCAAGAGTTGAGTCACTGATGAGTGCCCTTAATCACATTTGAATCTACTATTTCACAGAAATTTAATTTTGAGAAATAAGACTCAGACTGAGAGGCCATCTCTTCTTCCCTCCTTCCCCTTCTTTCAAGGCATCATTAGGTATAGCTGTGTCATTTCTGAGAGATGTTTGTCTGTCTTGTAGGCCTATTACTCCTAATACTACTGACGGTGGATATGGAGATTTTATTCTCTTCCCCTTTATATAAATCATTTGCATATTTTCAGGCCACTGTCATGTATGTCTTTGTGTTTCTCAGTGACGTAGGTAGCCCCTGTTCCTTCACTTTCTTCTTTCTGTTTTTCCAGGTCTCTGCATTTCCTTATTATTGTTCTGTTCTCTGACCTCTCTAGCTGATTCATGTACTGTGCGGGTTGCAGTGCTGAAGACCAGACCCAGCACTCCTACTGAGGCTCTGGAGCTGAGCAGCCACTTTATATGTCTGATCTCAGACAGGCATTCTTTTGACTCAAAGAGCTTTAGGTTTTGTGGCCTTAAATTTTAAGTCTTTTCTGTTGATACGTGTGGTCACAAGTGCTTCTCCCCCCTGCCACTATGCAGGTAGGATTTAAAGTCTTAGTTTGTTTTTCTTTCCAGGCAAAGGTGCTGCGACTGTTAGCTACAGCCTATTTTGAGTGGGATTGTAAGCAGTATCTTGACAAGGCACTGAAGGCTATAAGCTTGGCAAATGAGGTAGTAATGTGCAATTATATTTATGTGCAATAACTGAAACTCAAGCATTTACTAGTGTAATAATACAGACCACGTTAATCATTGGTGAAAGTGGCTTGGATTAATTTTTAGCTTCTATTTCTTCAGGTTACTTAGAGTAACTTACATTTAAAAACATTGTTTCTCTTTGGTTGATTGTTTTAAAATTTCCATTATTTGTTTCATTCAAAAGAAATTCAAAGTATAAAATCCTATTTTAAGTGAAAGTTCAAGGTCAGTTTTTTACATGCTGGTAGGGCTTTCAGACAGATGATAATGCACGTGCTGGTGAGATCAGGATAAATGGTGGTATAAACCATTGCACCCAAGCCCTTTGCAGTTTTTATTGTGTTTATCTTCACAAAGCTTTTTTAGATGTAAGAGTGTTTTTGTCATCAGTGTTTGATAGTTTATATTTTGATAATAAAATGGATTTGAAGAATGCTGTGGAGTGTATGGGGTTCTGTGTTATGAATGTGTTGTACTCTCACAGAATCTGTATTCTACAGACAGTTGTCCAAGTAATGGATTGCTTTTCATTGTGCAGGAGAATTTACATCCAGCAGGGTTTTTTCTGAAAGTTAAAATTCTTCTTAAAAGTGGAGCATCAGATGAAGAGATCAACTCAGGTATCACAGTTCTGTTTATGTTTCACAGTAAGGTCATACTACTCCATATCCAAGAAAAGACAGCCTGAGTAGTGCACTGGAGAGAAAAAAAAAAAAGGAAAGAGAAAAGCCAAACCTTTCTTGTGTGTTTTAGAGGAATCATCATTAGTCAAATGTAACAATTCTGGTTTGGTGTGTGGGCCGCAGAAGTCAGCATCAGAGGACAATATAATAATGAAATTATAATTAAAGATGATTTTATTTTGTTGAGAGTTTAAATATACTTGCCAGAAATAAGGAAAGGAGAAGACTGAAGCCTGTTAGAGTGAATGCAGCAGCAATACAGCAATGTAAGAGGATGGCTGATTTTAGTCATACGCCTGAGGTTATTTAGAAAGGATGGATTGCACTCAGCATAGAAGAAAGGCTTGTGAAACATTGCTGTTCTGTGTGTGATGTTGCACATTTTGGCCAAGAAACATCAAGTGCTGATCGATGTGCCAGTGTAAGCCTGTTTTACCAGAGTTTACTTGGTTTATAAAGGACTATGTTTTATTCATCAAATTTGTAATTTGAACAGAACTGATTTTTCTGTTGGCACTTGAGAGGAAGAAAGTTTTCAGGGGAGACTTTAGTATAAAAAGGTTAATGTATCGGGAAAATATTATTTACATAAATAATGAAATCTTAAGGAGGAGGGGCTTAGTGCTCTTTATGTTTTAAAAGTATCAGATACATAACAAATAGTCTGAGAAATAAATGTACAATGAAATAAGCAATTTCTTGCAGAAAGCTGGATGATCTGACTGCTGTCAGACTAACAGGAAAGGAAACTCCACTTCAGATGGCTCCTGGTGAATTTCAGCCAGCTTCCAAGTAGACAGTTATTCCAAATTTACCATTGGAATAGCTGGTTTCTGTTCTACAATCGGAATTGTGAAGCCATGGTGTTGCCTATCAAAACACACACTGCTTGTAGCATGTTACTGCTTATAGCAGTGGCATGAAGATTCCAGTCAATTTTTGAAACAACTTATTAATAAGTGGCTGTCTCTCTTCTGTTGGATGGCTGGCAAAAGAGTGTTGTATCTATGTGCTGCAACTTCGGTTTCCTTTGAATGAAGGTTCCTGCTAGGTTTTAGGCATTTGACTAAAATCTTGTATTATGCTCTTGTACACAGCTGCCTTAGAAGTGCTTTCTGTAACAACTGTTATAGCCACATTACATTACTAGTGTGTTCATTCTCTTATCTCATTCAAGCTATGAATGTATAAATCTTGTTATTAAACCATCCAGCACAGTTTTGCAGTTTTTAAACTTTATCTGAGTGTTCCAAAACTGATATCTAGTTATCAGCACCAGTAAATTCAATATTTTCCTGTCTGTCTAAGACTGGTGATGCTGAAGACCATTAGACTTAAGTAGTTTCCATTGCACTGCCATGCCACCACACAGCCTGAGTTCTGTCATCATCTTAAGTGGTTCCTTCTAGATAAGGATGAAGCATTTTGATGGAAAGCAGCTTGAGGCAAACATTTGTGCTACTAATGCCTGTTCTGTTCCTGTTTAGAGAGACAGAAGGCTAGAATTCCAGGGCTGTCAGTCTGTTGCATTTCTTTAGTATTACATTAACTGTGAGACAGAGAAAGGAAAGTCAAAGCACAATGGAGGTATCTTATTCTTCCTTGGTTTTAGAACTATATATTTATATATATATATTTTTTTTTTTCGAAAGATGCTGTAAGACCATACAACAAGCAGTTAAGTATGTAAGGTGATTGGATAATCTCAATGTCATTGTGTTCTGTCTAGCTGTTGCAGAATTCATGCACCATGAGTTGTCTTTAGACTTTTGTTTGAATGCTGCTAAACTGCTGCTGGAGAATGGAAGGTATGAAATCATCATCAAGTGGAGCGAACACAATATTTGGGCTTTGTAGCTATTCTTCTGTAAGCAAAGAACACCTATTATGCAGTGACACTTTATTTTAAATAAAAGCTGACAGAGGTAGGTAAACATTTTTGAGAGGCAGCCTGTCTTCACTTTCTCAAGGTGATACAGTGGCAGAACAGGCTGTGAAATAATGTCAAGTGGCAATCTGCAATACCAAGCAAATACTTAAGAATGATTAAGATTGTCCCTATGCAATTTTAGTAGTTATCCTGGGTCTGGAATTACCTGAAGGAAATTTTTCTTCCATATTAACGAATATTCAGAATTAAAGATTCTGGAATCCCAGAATCATTCTTGTGAAAATCAGTATGAAGCTGAACGAACTGCAAAATAGAGGCATGAAATTTAACACTCTTGAATGCTCCATCATGATTACCTCCATTTACACTTCTATCTTGCAGTAATTTCATGCTCTCATTGTGAGGGGTAAGCTGTCTTATGAATACTGTAGAACAAGCATGTGCAAATAGGAAGTACCTACGGAATAGATGCACTGCAGTAAATTCATACCTTGGCTCACTCTGTCAATGTGATTGTGTGTCAGTAGTATTTTGATGAGAAACATGCTGTATAGTGTGATTGTTACACTTCAGAATGGAAAATTAACAGCTCTTCTGTGCAGCTTCTTAAAATTCCATCTGTGTGAACAGGGAATCAGTTGGGTTTGATTTTCTGAACTCTGTTGCTGGACGATTTGAATCTTCACCTGACCTTGGAAAAATAACCCTGCTCTACATTGAGTTCCTGTTGCAGAATAAGAGGGAGCTGCTTGCTAAGCAAAAGGTTGAAGAAATTATTATAGGTCTGTATCCATCTTTTGCTGTCATTTGCTGAAAGTTGGTTTTAGCTGGCTAGACTTGAATTCATTTTTCATTTAAAAATTTTCATTTTTAAAATATATTCTCATCTTTCTTTTTGTTTGTCTGTTTTCTCTTCTGTTTCTTTTGCACAGCAACTCAACTTCCATAATAAATGACAGTTGTGATAAAGCTCAGGGTTAAATTCACATGCTAAAGCAGCTCCTACTTTTCAGTTTAGTCTGTATGATTGATGTATGTGGGATCATAAAATATTTACTAGGAATTCTATGTAACGTTAATACTTTGTCCCTCCAGCCCAATGCGTTTTTGTTTGTCACTATTAAAACAGGTTGCACATCCTTGTTTGAGCAGCTGAATTAGAGGTTCTTTTCAGGTCTTCTACACCTGTAACACTGTGGCATTTTTTGACTGTCAGATCTGCTGGAAATCAGATTGTGTTTTATGTAGCATCTAGCTAGGTGCAAAAGCCATGCTGTCATCGTTAAAGCATGGTGATATTTATTCCCTTGCTCACTACATTTTTTCTTTTCAGAAGCAGTATATGGAACACTGGGTCATGGCTGAAGATATTGCCATGTTACTGTTTCTTGTTATAGGCTGTGGGACAGTCTTTCTCAGATTGCTCTTAAGGACTTCTCTGAGTGGGGTTCTTAAAGTTCTTATAAAGTGATGATTTGCATTATCTTTTCAGGTCATTATACTGGAAAACAGCTGTTGTCTGAAACCTTGAACCAGCTGCACATCATCTTGTGGGACACAGCTGCCAAACATTATGAGGTTTGGGACCAAGTAGTGTTGTTGTTATTTGTATTAGTGAAAATGAAGATCTGATTTTCCTGACCTCTTTGGTATGTCTATTTTTGGTTGGAGCTTAAGGTGTTATTAAGATCCTTATTCCAGTTGCAACTAGTTTTACTTTCATCCCAATATGTGCTCTTTCCCACCAAAATATCAGACTTCATGTAGTCTCATCTCAGAGTTTGTACATGGGAACATGGGCCCTTCATTCTGGCTTTGTCCTGGGAAGGGTGCAAAAAACCTTAAAATATTCTTTATATTGAGATGTTCATTTTGTTTTGCTACAACAAAAACTATGCTAATGACACAGCTTGCTTCCTCCTCATTTTAAAATAAATTCTTCCCCTTTATTGCTGATTTTTTTTTTTTTTACTTCTAATCAATCTGAATTCACTTTTCTTATGAGAATCCTGTATCTATGGCTTCTTCTAATATGTTCTGCTTTGTAATACCCGGGATGGCCATATTCCCCTCTGGAATTTCAAGGCAGGAAGTGAAGAGAGGTGTATAAAGATTCATATTTTGTTTCTTGCCATGATTAAATCTTGTGGGCTCCTCTGTCAGCCAAATAATGTCCTGGCAGTGAATTTTTTGCCTGTGCCAACAGAACTGATAGTGTCTTCATTTGTGGCATCAAGGGACCAGGGAATATTGTTTCAGCTGCCTTCTTGTTGTCTGTCTTTATTGCAGGCTGTCATATCAGTGATGTTTGGCGCTGGTCTGAGCACCAAATGGTGTCAGATTTCATGCCTTTGTTTGGCTTCATCTTCTGCTACCCATTTTTATGGTGCAAAGAGGCTTTCCCTACTACCCTCCCTTTTTCAACCCAAGGAATCCTGCAAAAGGAAACTGCACTTTATTACCAGATTCTGAGGTGCGAAGTCAAGTATCCTCGCTCTCTTATTAATGTTTTTTCATGACCATATTACCAGCAGTACTGACTGTTTCCAAATTTTGCGTCCCAGAGCTGCTGCCTCCATTCTTATTGTTAGCACCAAAGTCCTGTTTTTTTCCATTGGTGATAGATTCCTCAGTTTATGGGTTTGGGAGGTGGGAGTATGTGCAAGGTAAACTGATGCCATTGTTTGTTTGATGACCCTTTTTGGATCCTACTTGGATTAGGAGTTCTGATAGCACAGGCTGTTCCTGTCTTGAAAGACAATTTTACAGGGATGTTCTGGTTCAAGTCACCTGTAGAAACAGTGCAGGGACTTAAAAGAGTACACGTGACTCAAAGTATATTCTTCCTGAGGAACAGTCTTCCTCTCTGTATGGTTCTAGAGATCTAATGCTTGGACAGTGGCAGTTAGACTGATTGTCCATATTAAGGATATCACCCTGGAACATGCAAAAGCTGTTTGTCACTCTTAACAACATTTCGGTCCCAGTAGACACAGGATTCTTCTTTATCCAGATAATCCTTCACTAGCGGTCTCTGCAGATTCGGTGAAGTGACAAGACAGGACTTGTGACAGATATATAAAAGCTTGATATGAAAAAAAGGTTGTATTTCTAAGCCTCTTTATCTGCTGGACATAAGCTCTTTAATAGCTTGATTTCATGTGTCTGCTTTCTTCCAGAATCTAGAATTTGTTTTCTCTTACCTAGTTTCCTGCTTTTCTTCCACAAGTGGGGATAGGCTGGCTCACTTATACAAAGAATAATGTACTGGGCTCACTGGCCCTAGTATAGTTTTCACAGTCTGTCCAAATTGGAACTGTAGTTGGGAATGCACTCTTCAGCCTAGTATCAAGAAGTTCATGGCTAAATGGCATAAAAACTTGTGTCTTTTTCTCTTACTTTCTGACTTTCACTTATTTTGTATCTTGAAGAGAGAGGGATTTTTTTTTTTTTTAAATAATATTGTACTTAGTTATATAATTGTTCTTTCTGGATTAGGCCAATGACCCATCTAGTCTCCTAATGAATATGCCTGCATTGTGGGACCAATGTTTGCTCTTCTGGGGGAAAGATTACACTAGAATATACTTGACTATCTAAATCTTTCATTTCCTATGATTTGTTTTAGGAAAACATAGACCACTTAATCACTTTTTTTTTTTTTTTTATAATTTCCTAGGCAAAAAACTATTCTGAAGCTCTTCACTGGTACAACTATTCTGTCAGCTTCTACATGCCTGGGCAAATAGATCAGAATTTGGCTAAGTTGCAGAGGAACATGGCTTCTTGCTATCTTCATCTGAAAGAAGTTGACAAGGTATGTTTATTTATGTATTTATTTGCATTGCTTTTATATTTGTAGTTATATAATTTGGACTTGATTTACAATTCTGTTAGTGTACCTCTTGCTTTGAGAGAGGGAAATGTTTTTGCATGTCTTTCATGATCTGGCAGAGATCTGTTCATCTTAGCTGCTTTGGGAGCCCCTTCTAATCACCTATCATTCTAAACAGTACACACGTTGTGTGACCATGCCCCAGTATATTGGGTTTCTTCTCAGATTAGAGGCCATTCTCTCTTCAAAACAGATGAGCCTCAGCATGAAAAATGTTAGACAGGTGACACCAGAACTTCCCACAACAGTGTGTTAGCCCTTACCTCTGTGGAGAACTGCACCTGCTTTACCTGTTTAGGTCTTCTGTTCTGGGGATGTTAAACTTTGTAATTCAAAGTGGCAGAAGGGAGCTGATTTTTTCAGCGTCCTCTTGCTTTCTAATTCTGTGGCTCTAGTTCTGAAGAAGCAGGAATTCTAGTCATTGTCAGCTCTAGGTGCCATCTTATGCTCTGATCACTTTACTTTTCTTTCAGGGGAGGTTGTTGCCAAACCAATTTTGTTCAGTAATTGTATAAATATCTCTAATGTAGCCATTAAAATTTGGCATATCTTTTTAACTCTCTTCTCTTGCAACCTACACGACTGATTACAAGATGCCATTACTGAATTCCTACAATCTTTTCTGCATATAGGCTAAAGAGGCAGTTAAAGAAGCAGAGAGGTGTGATCCAAACAGCATCTTTACCCAATTCAGTGTCTATAAGATTGCAGTGATGGAAGATGATACTGATAAAGGTAGAACTTGAAAGATAAAAGGGTCAACTACAAAGACCAGGAGTGTCAGGTGTCTTAGAAAACACTGAGCAGACCTGGACTGTTCATTTTGGGAAAGACACAATAGAGGGAAGATAGGAGAAGGATCTATAAAATCATTAAAACTGTCAGGCTGTAGATTTAAAACTGTCAGAGGGGGATGCTTTAGCACATGGCATGTAATATGTTGCCACATCTGGTTACTGTTTGGCTGGAGCCTCTGGCTCGGAATTCTGTAATCTTCTTGTGGACAGAAGCTAGAGCAGCATCCTGAGATTAGAATCACTGTATTATACTATTCCTAATACTCTTTTAAAAGCATATGCAGTTGCAAAAATGCTACTGAGCTAGATGATCCTTAATTGAACCAATATTACCACTCTTGATTTTTCTGGTCAAGTAGAAGTGGAAGTTACGAGAAAATAGATGAATTACTGAGATGACCTACAGAATGACAGATCTCTATAGACTTTTTATTCTTTCTAATGAGTTCTGCCATTTCATGTTTTAATGAGAATCCTAGCTCAAATAATGAAAATTGAGAAATATAGTCTATAGTTAATTAGAATACAGAGGAACATGCAGAGCTTATTTTCCAATGAGTCCTGTGCCAATTAATTATTCTGTATACATCTTTTTAATGGCAGCCTAATTTGTTCACATAATACAGAGTGGTAACCACAGCACAGTGGGAGCATAAAAGCAGCAGCACCCTTAACATAAGCCAAGATGTGGGAGCTTGGAATCTTGCCCAGACAATATATTAAGAGAAAGTCTTCTGTGACAAGCAGATATTTAGCAGAACAAATTTAAGGATGTGAGATAGTTTCATTTGTGTGGCATCCTTGTTTCCTTAGATTGGTAGCTTGGAATGCTTTTTTGGCATTTCTCTAGGAAGAAATGTGTAATTGTGGAGAAGTGCTGGAATTGTCAGGTTTTCTTGCCTTGTTTCATATTAAAAAAAATAAAAATACATCCTTTTGTAAGTTGTGTCTAAAGCCTTACTAAAACAGTAGAACTTTCCACCTTCCTTTTTTTTTTTTTTTTACTAAAAACAATCAAACAAACAAACAAAACCCCCAAAACTAATTTTTCTGTATGCATTTTTCAGCTGTGGAAGCAGTTATTGAAATGGGGAAGCTAGCAGAAAAGTCATCTCAATGTGAAGACAAACCGACAGTGGATGAAAATACAGGCAGTAACCTCCTGAGTTTAGCTGCCCAAATTGCTTTAGAGGTAGAACAGATAACATTGTCTTTATTTTGCTTTATTGATATAAGAACAGCTGTAAACTCTGTAATATTTTCTACTTTCAGTACTTCTATGTATTTCATGCATTTCTGAGTATTTCATGCTTGTATAACCAAGGTCTCACTATACATTTTCAAATGCATTGTGTAAAGCAAAGTAAAAATTGATTTCACATATGAAGAAACTGTTTTTTTTTCCAGGAAAATTAGTGATTCTGAATTGCAAAATATTGATAACTAGAAATGACATTGCATATTGCTAGTGAGGTTCATACAAAACATGTTTTAATTTTTTTTCAGAATGAACAACAAGTTGTGGCTATCAAAGCTTTGGAGTATTTATCTGAACATTCACGAGACTGCCGACAAGTATTTGCAGCTCTAAAGTGAGGATTCAAGTGATTTACAAGGACAGAGAACTCTGATTTCTCTTTCAAACTTAATTTGTTTTGTTGAAGAAAGTGGAAAACAGAGTAGATGAATGATTAGTTAGCAGTGTTTTTGGTACTGTAGATGCACCTCAGTCCTGAACTCTTAGCTGCAAATATTCCAAGTCTTTTTCCAAGCTGATATTAATAGCTCTGAATTTTATGACATTGTTGTGTTTGAACAGATGACCAACAGCAACTCTGAAGAGATTGCAACAATATGTCTGGTGAAAATACAGGTTCATTTGTATCCCCTGATGAAGTACTATCTTATTGTTGAAACACTCTATCACTTTTATGAAAACAAATGTTAGGAGAAAGATCTATTCCTTCCAGTTTTTGCTTAAAACTTTTATGAATGTATATTTATTTACTTACTATTACGTGATTTAACAACATGGTATCCAAAAAAAGGCTGTAGGGAGGGAAATACTACAATCTTATTCTCAGTTTGATGCTGAATTCTGTGAGTTACATGGATGGGTGGTGTAAAGAAGAAAGTGGGATCCTTTCTGAAACCTGAGGTCAAAGTACACTGTTGGAAAAAGTTATCTTGTTTCTTCATTGTTGTTTTTTCTCATATTCAGATGCTTGGTTCGTCTTGTGTTGTCAAAGGTCGTAGTAGAAAATGAAGAGAAAAGGTGAGTACATTTGCAAAACTATATTCCGTGGTGGATATCTTACACAATTAGTGTACTTATACATATATGTATATACATAGCTTATTTTCTTACAGAGTAATCAAGAGATTAGTTTTTATGCTAGTTAAAAGTTCACACAGATGACTTCCCAATTCAAGCTAATGATGTCACAAAGAACATCTACTTGCATAACGTTTCCTTTAGATATTTCTTTTTTGCGTTCCAATTTTATTAATGCCTAAGACAGTTATTGTTTGATGGAGAATGTGAGCTAAGCAGTCTCATTTAACTTTGACCCTGGGATAAGCTATCTTTCAGCTGTTCAAGAAAACAATGTAGTGTCAGTGAGATTAGAAGTTTAACCTGCAGCTGCTAACTGCAACCTAATAGCTGAGAAAACCTCCCACTACACTCGCACAGTGACCTTCACTGCTGTAGATCAATAAAACTTTTTGCAGGCCTTCAGTACTCCTTTTGCATCTTCAGATACTAGAAGTTTGTAATGCCTGAGACATTTGTCAGAGGAAGAATGATTATATCCATATTTGTGAAGCTGTTGTATTCCAACATCAATAATGTGTTCTGTTATAAGAAAATTAATCAAACGTTTTCTAAAACTTGTTTTTTCTTCCATTCTAGAAATAAAGATATCAAGTCAATGCTGACTTATTTAACCTTAGGTATGTTTTTGTTTTGTTTACATTTTCTGTAGTTTTTCCATTTTTGAACATTTAATGATATAATTAGGTCCATACTGCCCAAATGTTCAGAATCCTTAGTTCAGTCTAGGTTCTCAACTTCCCAATTCACTGAAAGTTAGGGATCAAGTTAACACTGGAGATTCAGCAGTGCTGTCAAGTTGGATCTCAGTGCTACAAGTTTTTGCTATGGAAAACTTGTAGGGTAGTGCAGGAAGAACTGTTTCCAATAGAGCCTTTTCTTGGCAGCTTCTTTGAGACAAAGGGCTCTTTCTTCTAGGCAGTTTTGCTGTAGGAAGGAGAATTTAGTGCTTCGTAAGGCCACGCATGCAGGCAACAGATATTTGGGCACAAGCCACAGCCCCTGTGGCCTCAGATGACTGTCTCATACTCTGACTGCATTGGCAGGAACAAAGTTAGTATCTTTAGTAGCAGGGCTACCACAAAAGGAAGAAGTTTGGTTTTGTACTCTGAATTAGCAGCATGACTTTCTGTTGGCATTAATTAAATGCCAATAATGGTCTTTGCTCTTCTAGCTGTTTAAAAGGAAGGATTTTTAAAACTAAATTAGTGCTTTTTTATTTCTTATTATTAATTTGTTTGTTTGTTTATTTTGTCCTGGACAGTTTAGAAAACTGCAAGGAGCAAGCAATTTGTTGAATGACAGGAGATGCTTGTCAAAATTGATGGCCACTTTTAAGTTTTGCCATCCTTTGAAGTACAATTGTCTTATTTGCATTGTATGAGGTACAGTGGTTTTACAGAGTACTTCTTTTTTCCATCAAAATAAATAGTTTTTTTTTTTTTTTTTTCACCAAATCTTTTTTACCCCCCTCCTCCAACCTTGGAAAAGAAAATTAATGAAATTGTAGAACTTTTTCTGTACTAGTCATTCTTAACTGCAACTCAGAGAAGAGAAGGATGAACAGAAGAAAAAAAAAAAAAAGGTTCCTTAAAGAAAGGCCTTAAGTAAGAGCTATTAAATTTAATCCCCACCCAACTTTTTGTACAAATTAAGTAAAACTCCTCTACATTAGGCTTCAGTGTCAATAAATTGAAGAGGCAATACCTATTAGCAGCCTTATGTATCTTACCTTAAATGCTGTTTAAGGCACATTTTGATGCTTTTTCATAAGCTTTTCTAGTCAAGCATATTAGATTTAAGTTGTGAAAATAACTCTTCATTGGGAATTACAAGGGAGTTTTGGAAACTGCTGTTTGTAATGTAGTTATTAGACTTGGAAATGTTTTTATTCTGCCCAGAAAATGTAACATATATTGAACAACACATTTTCTGCAGCTCACAGGAAACTTGCTGAGCCTTTCACAGAAGAGAATTTGACAAGGGACATAAGGACCTTTGAAGCCCACTGGTTTAGAAAAGTTGGTAGGTTGTATTCTTCAGATCTAAACTGAATCACCTCCACCTTCAGTTAGCCAGACCTTAAGGAAGAAAGAAGCATTTAAAGATGCAGTATTACAGAATTTGTCAGCTTTGGCAGTCTCTGCCTTAGTGTTAAAGTTTTGATGCATTTTCTATCTTTGGAAACTATCTGGTATGCCTCATATTAGAGATGATATGTCTCTCCTGGTCTTTGTTAAACTGTTTTGGTGAGGAAGTTAGTGTATTTGGTGCCTGTAAATAAAAATATGAGGGTAGGGTAATGAATTGAAAAAACGTTTTAGATTTTTGCTTCAGCCAGAGTATACAGGGAAGAAAATAGTTGAAATCAATAGCAGAAGACATCTGTCAAGATGAGCGTTTGCATACATCCTCTGTAATGTAGCAGTGCTCTAAAAGTAGCAAAGAAGGAAGAGAAGCCGTAGAGGTCAAATCCAGCAACACAAGTTGAATGGAACTGACCTATGGTGGCTGTGCTCTTTCCAAGGCAGCATTCTCATGCACTGAAGAAACAATTCACGCACTGCAAAAAAAATGTCCTAGGCAATAAATTAATGTGAAAGTTAGAATCTGCAAAGTCACTGTAGAATCTAAACATATAATTGGGTTGGATTCTCATACATAATACTCAGTTGTCTTTAGGTGGCTATGGCTAAACCATTTACTAATCAGAGCTGTATGATTAAGTGTATGTTTAACTGACCCTGCTGGGATAAAATGGAACTTTTTTTTTTTCTCCTTGTCTTGGGAATATTAGTCAACACTTTTATTCAGATTCTGATCTTGTTTACTAACAAGAAAGTGCTCCTTCCAATTCATGCTCTTGTGGGTAGGGTACATGTTAGAACAGATACTTTATTGTGATAAAATGATTAAAACAAGATTTGAAAGCATGAAAAAACTATGTTAACAAATCACGAATATCTCTTGCTATTAAATGAGGTGTTGATATTTTGATTAAGAAATTGAATTGCACAATGTGTACTGCTTATTACTAGAGATTAGATGGGCATAAGCAATAACATGTCGAAGGTTTTTATTCTAGTCTCCATTTTATGTCTTTGTTAGCTTGGAACTTAGCTGTACAGTTCAAGGACTGCCCTGAAAAGATGAGGGATTTTTTTGTGCTGTCTTTCAAGGTATGTACTCTTGCTTATAATATCTCTGATAGAGGAATATTGTCATCTGTCTAGTCCTGTTAGAAATTATATCCATGTAATCAAGTATCTTATTGGAGACGTGTGTCTGCTCCAAAGATGGAATGCTGGAATGCTTCCATCAGAAGGCAATTGACTTGTAATAAAAAAAAAATTAAGCATTATTTTCATACTTTGCATTCTGTTGCTTAAAAATATTGTAAGAAATTTAGACTTCAGTGAGAACTTCCTAAAATAAATAGGATCTGATGTTTGGGAACTGTATCATTAATAGGAATATGTTACACAAAGAAATACTTGAGTCCTAATCAGAACTTCTACCAACAATGTACTTTTTGTACGTGTTTGTAGAGAAGTTCTTTACTGTTGTAAAGAATACAACACTTCTGTATTCTTTATATTTAAATAATCTTCTTGTGTAATTTTACAAACAATATTGCAATATAAATATATACCATTCATGCCTGATTACTAGGTAAGTCGTAGAGGACACTTGGCAATCATCTGTTCAAGAGCAAATTGCTTTATATAGTCAGAATTCCCATAACTTCTTCCTATTTTTGGTTTCAGTTGTCCCAGTTTTGTCCTTCTGACAAAGCTGTTCTAATTGCTCAGAAGACATGCCTGTTAATGGCAGCTGCGATTGATCTTGAACTGGGGAGACAGCAAGTAACATCTTCTGAACAGGTAGGGCACTGTTGTTACCTGATTCGGTAGGTATTCATGAAATGAACATTCAATGCAGTATTTTTTTCTTTAGATTTTGAAGTCTCCATTGTTTTACTGAGAACAGGATATTAAAATGTAGGCATGGTAACCTTCCATGATTAATTTAAATCAATACACCGAATGCTTGTCAGGCAATTGAAACTGCTGGATGTCTGTAAAGTAGTTCTGTTGACTTCAGTGGATCTGAACATATTTATATCAGCAAAGGGTCAGGACAGTGTCTTTTCTTAAAGGAATTTCAGTTTCCCTCATTTATTACGTGAAGAGTCTGCTGCTAAATGTAGGATTGCCAGGCAGATAATTACTGCATCTTTAGGATTATGCCATCACTGAAAATAATTACCAATGTTGTTATATGGTTATGAGAAAGCTCACCTTTTTATTTTTTCATACATCTTTTCTGACGGTTTGTTACTTACTGTGGAAAGAAGGAATTTGTTATGTGGGATTCAGCGGTTTTGCAGTCTCAATAACACCATTTTATGTTTGAGAGCTAAAATAAATTAAGCCCCATAGGGACAGGTATGGCCCTTTCTGGACTGATGGAACTTTCCATGTGAAGAGTCTTTGCCTGAAACGTGGAGGTCTTTGCAAAAGAGAGAGAGAAGAACAAAACAGTAACTTATGTAGATGATGTATTAATTAGGCTGGTTCTGCATTTATTATGTAATTAGATATGGAGAACTCTCTTCTGTTGTTAGTTGTGAATTGTATATTCCTTTTACTTATAAAATTATGACAAAAATTTATTCTAAAATTTGTGAATTAGATGGAGTTTTTGACTCAGGCTCTTCAACATCTCCAGGCATGCAAGGAGGTATGGAAAGTTCTGAAATTAACAGGTAAGCTGCAAGGTGTACAGTACACGTGACGTAGTCACTGAATTCATTGAAAATATAGCACGTGTGGAATTACTTTTTTAGCTGAGGAGTGTTGAAGCAGATATATGGCAATATGATACAAGAATTGACAATGACAACTATGGGTTTTTGTATGTCATTGCAGGCTTTTTATTATATAGGTGCTGTGCAGTGGGGAATGATCTTTCAGGGTGAATTTGGTTGACTTTTCTGTCTTAACTGTTAAGAAACTCTATCTTTTTGCTGTAGACTAGCCTGGTGTCAGATTATCATTTTTTTTCCAGTCTAGTCTTGTGAGGGAGTAAGATGGTTTCAATAATTTTACTGGACTCTTCCCATATAAGGCATTAGAGACTACAGAAAGACCTATTGCTGTACTTTGAAGTGCCAAAACCCATCCTCTGTTCCTTGACTATTCTGTGTCCTTTTAGATCAGACTAATCACAGGAGTCAGGAGTGCTTTCAGCTGACAGCTGAGATGCTGTGTGACTGTTAGCTTAGAGGCTGCATGCTTCCCCTTTTTGGTAATAAATTGGTAGAAAAATTTATGCAGTCCTTGTCTGGCCTGCAGTCCAGTTTCTTTTCAGTGTTAGGTTTTGGACATTGTGGAGTTTCCATAGTAAGATGCATTTATATTTAGCTTTTGTCAAGAAATTTACTTGCTGTAAAATGTTACTTGAATAAACTTTATTGTTTCTGAACTAAAGTTTCATTATATAGCTTGCATTTGAATTCTGTGTATTCCTATGCTCAAAACCCATGGGGTTGATGACCTCAATCCAGGGACATTTCACTAGATTGGAGTTTTTATTGCAGAGTTTTGTGGGATAGTAGCCTGGTGTTTCCTTTACTTCTTCACTGGACCTTAGCCAGTGTGTGGATAAGTCTGTTGCCCTGGAGGAAGCTGAAAATGTTCTGCTTTGGACGTCTAAGGCTCCTCTCCAAGACTGTTCCTATATTCCACTTGCTCTACTGTTACATGAGTACCTTAATGATTTTGCTACCTGTTGGAAGCAAAATGTGTACCTTGTGGTACAGCATATATATATAGTTTTAAGAAAATGAATCATTGCAAACAGGCAATTCTGTCTTTCTTGTAGGAGATTTTGCTAAAGATCCCACAGACACTTTGTTGCTGCTGTATGAATTTGAAGCAAAATCCAAACTTAATGATCCAACACTCAATAGCCTTATGGAGTCAGTATGGGAGCAGCCACAAATAGAGGTCAAGACACTAGAGATCATTGCATGTAAGGACTGCATTTGTACTTTCATAGTTTGTACTTTCATAGTTCTTCAAGCCATGAAAAACAGCTTATGTTACTCTTTCCTGTTCATTTGAGGTGACCAGAATTATTGTGTATTGCACAGCATGCAGAAAATGATGTTCTTTTGTCCTGAAGCAAATATGCTTTGGTTCTCAGCAGTATTAGGAGATCTGGTAAAAGAATGGCCCTAGTTGATTCATGCCCCAAGACAGAAGTTTTAGGATGTGTACTTTGGCTAGATTTGGAGTTTCAACTTAGCATAGTTAATTTGTAAATAGCACTTCTCTATATTATACTGTGCTTTTTTTTAGTGACCAATGAGATTAAAGTCTGGCTCCAGTCACTTCTTTCTTGTTCTCTATTTTCTTTTGTTTTTAAGCATTAGCAATGGAACCTCCAGCTCGATATCCTGTACTGTGTAAGAAAGCTTTGCAGGGTGCACTAAACCTTCACAGGAAGCAGACTGCCATTGATGCTGTGAAATTTAGGTTAGTGTTATCACATAGCTTTGCCATGAGTCTCTGATGGGAAATGTGATAGAGATATAAAGCCTGCAAATGGAAAAAGTGGGTTTTAGCTTATTTTCAAAGTTTCACTAATCGCTGGCCAACCAACATACCACTGAAGTGTGACTGTCCAACAGGTGCGTTAACTGCAACCTATTTGCTAGGCATATTTTCTGAAACTGTTATATTTTCAATAAATGAATGCATTGAGGATAGAGAATGAAAATTAGATCTAGAAAGGATCTCTGGCTGTTTCTTGTGATATAGGTGTTCATTGCAAACGTTGTTCTGCAGCAGTGAACTAGTGAAGTACTGAACTAGAAAATTAAGACAAATTAAAAGCTAAGAAGAAAGCCAAGAGCTATAAGTTAGCGATGCCATAGTACGTACATGAATTATTCTGCTGTGTAGCTCTGCAACAGACGTTGCTGGCGGAATCTGAAAAACAACCTGGTGTGTTCTTCTTTCTCAGCTGTATCTCATAATGGATTTTTTTTTCCATTTTACCAAGTTCTGTGCAGTAACTACTGGGCAAAAGCAACCATTAATACTACCTTTCTTACTTTGCATTGCGAAAGAAAGACCTGTTTTTAGAACCTATGTATTGTTACTGATTCTTTGAGGATACTGAGTACTTAGCTCTTGGTGAAATTAGGAAAGTTGTCTTCTCTTTTTCTTTGCTGCTGTGTATAGCAACCCATGAAAACATGATAAGCCTGAGTTACTTTAGAAATTAATTTCTACTTTCATACTCATGTAAATAAAGAAGTATTTACTGCTCTTGGTTCCCTTTTTGCACAGGCTGTATGAATGAGTTCTGATGCTAGGAAAATGTATGTCTCTGCTGTAAGATTGTGAACGTAATAAGCACAGGGGTGGACATGCCAGGATGGCAATCATAGATGCACAAATTAATGCGCTGCTAGTGCTAAAATGCAGCTGTGTGTTCTGTGCATGTGGTATTTAATGTTTCCTCTTTCACTCTGTTTTGATTAACAGCAAATGCTTACATAGTTTGATTAATCTTTCTTTGCCAACTGGAGTAACTGACTTGGATGCTTGTGTGCTGCAAGAGGTATGGGGCTACTTTGAAGATGCTCTGAGTGTGATCAGCAGCACAGTAAGTTGAACAGGAAACAAAAGATTGGGAAATTCTGAACATGTTTAAAAAAACTTTCCCATCAGATTGAGTATAGTTAGTAGACTGAACGTTGTATAGTGTTATATATGAAGCAGCTAAGACTTCAGTAAAAGATGCACTGAAATTACCTCAGAATAAATGGCTTTTGGATATTTATAACTGAATTATGTTATGTTCCTAGATTTTGGTAGGGCTTTTTTAGAGATACTTAAGGCCAAATTTTCAGTGCCTCTTTTATAAACATTCTGAGCTAGAACATCTATCTTTCCTCCTCTTGCTTTCTACATTCTTTTGCAGAATGTGGTTTTGTAAATATATTGCTTTTCTGGATTGTTTTAAAGCCAGGTAAAATTTGGATACCAATCCTGCTTTTTTTTTTCCTTGTCCCCTCAATGTTTTGTAGATGCATTCAGGGACTTAGTGTATTACTGTTTTTTTTTTTTTTTTTTTCCCGAATGACCTAGAACTAGATTCCTGTGCTGTCAGTACTTATTGAGCCGCATTTGTTCTTGAGTGCCTTGTTTCTATGACGACAGGTATATGGAGAAGAAAACCTTTCCTTCTGTAAGAATTGTTGGTATTCCTTTCAGGCCTGAAGAATGTGCTGTACAGCGAAGGCAGCTGTAATGAGGCAGTCAGATATTTCTGATAACAATCGATAGCTCAGGAGTTAATCAGTTAAGGAGTATTCCCATTATGCAGGACTAGTGGAACCAATACTGTTTCATAATTTTATTCCAGTGCATGACTGTTTCTTTAGTCAGGTTTGAATGTCTCTTTTTATAAAAATAATATAAAGTTATGCTGTTCCTTGCTTACCAAAAAAGAACATGCCCACATTCATACCTGCCTTTCATTAATGTTCTCATCTATAAATTTGGTAATGTTCTTGTATAGAACTTCATGTTCATATCGTGAGGGGTGTGAATGGTATGTTAATGTGGACTGATATTCATAACTGCGTAATTTCATCTGTACTAGAAGGTCTTCTTTTGCAGTCTTGCTTATGGCTGCAGATACTAATTAGTACCATGCTAAGAGAAGGACCGTGGTGCAGCACAACAGAACATTGTCAGTTAGAAAACTGGGATACCACTCATGATTTATACCTCCTATTCAGAAATGGATGCTACAGTTCAGAAATTCACTCTGAGCCCTCATACTTAGGATGAGAAGGATCTATCAATCCATCTGCTTGTCCTTGCCTTCCCTAACTGAATGAGGTTTTAGCTCCTTTTGGGTACTTCAGCTTCTGTTCTGCAGTTATTATTAAGGGCTGCTTTCACACTGGTAAGGCATTGCCACAGCACCTAAAGAAATTCTGCACACTTCAATAACTGCTTTTGGTCTTCAGTGAGCAGCTAGGTCCTGCTATACAGTACTGTTTGGATAAACTGCTAAGTACTGCAGCAGTAAGACCAGCCTGTCTGCAGATGGACTGTAGGAAAACAAGCTTCCATTCTAGCATTTTCCCAGTCCCACAGAATTGTATTTTCTGACCTACCAATAAGTAACTGCAACATGACTTATCCATGTTGGAAACAAGCTGTTTGACAATAGTGCAGATAGACTGTGAAGTACAGAATAGCTCTGAAAGAATTCTCCTTTGTTTAGGAGAAAAAAAAAAAATCCCTGTTTTCCCACTCGAAAACTAAACTCTGATGTACTCTTGGCTAGTCACGAGAAAAGTCCATTTTCTGATGAGCTGCTGTTTGTCGTTTGCTACTCCAGGATGGTTACCCAGAGATGGAGATCCTTTGGTTGATGACAAGAGCCTGGAATACAGGAATATTTCAGTATACCATTGGTAAATATAAGGAAGCAGAGCAATGGTGTGGATTAGGAATGCGTTTCCTCAATCATCTAGGATCTCTGAAGAAAACCTATGAAGGCCATGTAAGTGTAACCAGACAGGTATTAGAAATGGGGGTGAATGTCTAGGTTGAATTTGTTAGGAATAGTTGGTAATGGAAGGGAGGAAGTGAAGTTTCACTTTGAAGAAATGGATTTAGGTGAAAAAATCACTACCTATGATTTTTAAAGTTTCAGAAGCAGCATGGTACCCAAATATTTTCAGGGAACTTGATGTTAAAAGATATTTTTCGAAATGAGGCCAGAATAGATTTCTACACAGTAGAAAGAGTAACATAGCATCTTTTTACTGGAAGGATTGCACAAGTGGCTTACTGGAAATAAACTTCAGACTATTTGTGGTTGTGGGGAATTCCTTGTACCTCGCCTGCTTTCACTAAAGGCAAGATGCTGTACCATTTTACTTAAATCATCTGTTGCATGAATACTTTAAAGCTTGGTTTCCAGTATGATCTAATAACTTATAATTAGGGTTTAAGTTGAAATTAATGAAATCATTAATGCTCAGGAGTAGCTTAGCCACTTTCTGTGAGGGGGTACTAGCTCTGAAATTTCTCCTACAGAGAGCAGGAACATTTTTTCTTACTCTGTCACAAGTAAGCTTCTCGCTATAGTTTTTGGCTGGTGCTCTTCATGATTGCAACGCAGCACAGCCTGGTTGGTGTTATGTGGCCACCATTCATTCTCTTATGCACAAGCCTGGTTGCAATTTTTGTATTATTTCAAGTACATCAGTTAAGACAGTAAGAATAGGTTTGTTAATTGATGAAAACTTGGCTATATCAGTATAAATAAATCCACCTTTGTGAGGTGCAGCTGATTTAAACTAAAGCCCCATATTTAAATCTTCACATGAATCTAAAATTGTTTAATTTTTTTACATGAATCTAAAATTCAAAATTTAGAAGCTGGTTGTAGTCTCCCACCTCTTCCCCCACTCCTCCTCCTTGCCATTTCTTTAAATTATCTAGTTGTATGATACTTTACCCATCCTTGCTGACTCAGACAAATATGGTGCTTATCTTCTGCAGATGGTTGGTCTTTATAGTGAGGTTCTGGACAAATTGGACAGAGCAAAAGGGTTTATTCCAAATGAAGAATAATGATAGCCATAACTGGAAGGAGGACAGCAGTCTCTTGGAAACATCCTGCTGACTGAAGGAGGCTGTTAGCTCTGCAGCAAGGCATGAGGTCACAGGAGCAGTGGAAAAGAAACCAGGATCTCCCTCTTGTTGGTGATTAAGTTGTATACTTTTTAGGAAGCATTTATTGAATAAATGTAATTGTTTTCCTCTAGGGAAAAAGTTTCATTCTGTGGATCTGTATAACAGAAATAAATATATAGCTGTCTCATGAGATGGGCCTGCAGTCGTGGAACAGGTTAATTTAAATATTAAAATTTAAATTCAGTAGTAAGTGGCACTATGAACAATAAAAGTATTCCAAGACCACGCATCTCCTCTGGATGCCATAGATGCCTTGCTACGTAAATATTTATTAGATTGTTTAGTTTTCAGTCCATTTTGTTGTGGATAAGAATTTAGAGCTGTTTGCCAGGATCACAGTTCAGTTAGAATATAAAAGAGCAGGTGCTACAGAAAAAAAGCTAAAGCTTTAACTTGGTACTACTTTTGTATAGAATCCTGACTGGGACATGCCATGCATAGTTCAGCATTGTATACATTTGTATAATTTTTAACTGGGCATACATCCTATAAATGTTTTTTTCTGCTTTTTCTGTAAGAAAATTCAAGTTCCCCTGAGGGACATTGTCATTTTGGGTTCTCTTTGTTTGCTTACTAGAGAGCTGTAAGTGTGTTGCTGCTTGTTCTTTACAAACTGTACACAGAAGGGAGGGCTGATAGACCAGTGTGCTGATGGAGCAGTATATTTCAGCTATAAGATCATCTGGTTTGTGTTTAGTATTTATCTAACTTCATTAAAAAAATATATATATTATTTATGACCAGATTATTAAAGCCTATTCAGAAAGAGGACAGCTACTAACAGCAGGATGCTGACTATAGGAAAGAAGAAATTGCAGCAGTTGTGCTGCATTCTGAAAGAAGAGCTTACTGTGCTTAGTGCAGTGGCCTGGGCCCTTCCAAACAAGAAGTAATTAAAACCGTTACCTGCACTGCATCCTCTAGGTTCCATGGACATCTTCTTTTCCCAGTCTGAGCAGACCAAATAATACGAGTGATTTCTGCTTTTCATGTGCACCAGGCACCACGTTGAAACCAGCCTCCAGCATAGCTGCCACATCCTCTTGCCTGTTACGCAGATGGATACTGGCTCGTTTCCTGAAGGCAGATACGTGCAGGCGTGTGGCAGCGTGGCATTTACAGCAACCATAAGTTGGAACATATTGTACCAGATACTTTGCAGTGCTGCATGGGTCAGTATCAGCAAAGGTATTCCTTGCTGCTTGTGCATCTCTTTGGTGCCTGCCAGGCCACCTTTAATTATGGTTCTTGGTTTTGACTTGCACAAATAAACAGGTAAAGGTGTCAGACTGCACCAGAGGAGGTCACGTTTGCCCAGGAAGTATTGCAGGTAATTACATACAGCCACAGAGGGGCATTAAGGGTGTTTTTGCCTACAGCCAGAATTGTTTGAATTCTTCCCTTGGAGATGCTCAGTTTGATTTCTATTATACTACAGACTTTACTAATGAGTCCAAATCAGATCAGTTATAGACACTGCTGATGGTACATCTTAAATTGTCACTGCTTGTTTTAACATTGTACACTTCATTCCAGACATAAGCTTTTCCATAGGTTTTAAGCAGGGCAAAAATGCCTCTTTTAGTTGAATCAGACCTTAATTAGATCAATTTCCAATGACCATTTCCAAGAGGTAGTTTGCGTGCAAACACCCTGCTTTGTAGGCTGAGTTTGCTAGCATAGATGAAGGCTGATCCATTTAAGTTGGTTTCAAGTTTTATTTCACTAAGCTAAACATTGCGTTATAGCTCAGTTGAGCTAGGATGAGTATGGGTATAAATCTTCCTAAGTCAGCAAAAGCTGACCTGAAAAAAAAAAAAAAATAAATTGGTGCTGTGCTCTTTACAAGTCTTCTCCTTTTATCAATCAGTTTTGTGCAGTGTGGTTTCACCTTAGAGGATTTGGGTACCTACCCTGAGATACTCACAGAGTGCTCCAGAAGGTGGCATCGCAGCAGCGGTTTCTGATTTACACATCACTGGAAACAACAGGGCGTGCTGGTTGTGTGCTCTGCAGCTGCAGTTTCTCCTTGCTTCTGAGACCATAAATGCTTCCTCCAGGGCAGCTGTTCCCAAATCCCCCCCCCACCCCCCCTCGAGCCTGTATCTTGTGCCCTTTCTTCTAATCTGATAATTTCTTAACTGTCTGGGAAGCAGCAACAGTCTAGATGAGCAAGGGCAATGCAGGGTGTCTTGAAACCTTCCCCTTATGCTGCACCTAGGGCTACCTCCCTCCGTACAGTTTAAGAAGTGTTTCTCTGCTAATGTAGTGCTTGCACTGAGCGTTTTGGAGAGGCAGGAAGAGGGGCTGGCCTGGCCTCTAGCACTTAGGTCAAGCCCAGAAGAACTGAAGCAATCACAGTAATCAGAAATCAAGGTAATTGGAAGAGGACCGAAGCTCATTAGAGGATTGGGCAGAAGCTTTTGTCAAGTGCTGCACTGGAACTAAGAATAGGGAGGAAATGCCACTGACAGCTCTGTGGTGAGCCAAGTGTGGTCCCAACAAGATATTGCTAGTCACACAGTCATCGCCTTCTGCATGCTTGTACCATTAGCTGCTGCTACGCTGACTGACCCAAACAACTCCATGTTCTTAATTAAGGTTAAAAATGTCAAGTCAAACAACATGCCCCTCATTTTGGAGGCAAGGGATGTAAACAACCACTGGAGAACAGGCAGTGCTTAAGGATTCTTCAAGGAAAGAGACTCCTTTAGTATGACAGTGACGTTATCTTCCTCACAGCAGATGCTTTAGAGCCATCACTCCTGCTGTGAAGGGCTGAGGGAAGCAGAGGAGAGTAATCCGTGCAGCTTATGCTGCCAAGCGTCAGTAGCAAGAGAAGCCACATATGACAGCTACCCAGGTGCCTGCATCTCAGGCACCAATGAGGAAAAAACTTTCAGAGAAAGCTGTTACTAAATTCCCTGTAAAACCCTCTCCCAGTAGCCTCACAGATACAGTGCTCCCATGCTTAGTAAGGACCAGAGGGTTAATTAACCAGAACCACAGAGACAGAAATGTGCAGTTCCAAAAGAAAAAAAAAACCTTCAAGGTTTAAGAAACAAAAATACTCTCACCTTTGAATTAACTCAGCTAAATGATGAAGCAGATTCAGACAGGAATGTATAATGACTCCCCATTAGGCACACTTGTCTTCCAGTGAATACTCCTGTTCTCTGTATTTTAAAATACTAGAAAAAGATAATTGTTGTATTTACAGCTTGTCTTCTGCTGTATAAATAAACCCATAGAAGGATGCTCTGTATCAGCTGGCCTATGTATACACACAGGCATATATACACACACTCTGCTGCCTTTCCATCCAACACAGAAACAACGATGTAGCAGCACACAAACCCTATTACTTGACCCACCTTCACAGAGCAAACTCCATACGATTCAAGCTGCGACCCAAAATACATTTACTGCGTCAGCTCATCAAACTGAAATCAACCGGTGTGACAGCAACCCAAGGGAGTTTTTTGGTGGCCTGGTTATGGCTGAAAATAAAGGTGGCCACTTCCTTTTCTCTTTTAGGCTAGTGCTCAGTGACCACCTCATAGTATGAAACTTCTTTAAAACAAAAGAAAACAAAACAGCACGATGCTTTCAACACTTAAATTTGCTGTGGAGGGACCTATGGATAACTGTTAAGACCAGCATCAGAAAACAGACCTGGCACACAATGAAAGACTCCACAAGAAGGTCTCAAAGACAGAGTTCTTTGCAACTCTCTGTTTATTAAAAATATACGTCTCCTTGGAAGAAACACTGGTAACCAACTAGTGTTGTCATGATCGATTCGATACTGTCAGCTATGCCATGGAGTACATCAGCTTTTTCTCCATGTGACTTAATGAGAGGGAGACAGGCTAATAGAAAAAAAGACGAGACAGGAACCAACCGTGTGTCTAGCATCTTAAGCACTTTTGTTTCACTTACTCCACTTCTCCAGAGACTGATGTCTACAGCCCCTGGAGCAGGACCAGCGGGGCAGGGCGCTGGATGCTGAACAGGGATCCAGGGCCAAAAGTTCGCTCCCTTAGGGCAGGTCCCGTTGGCAGCAGAATCCTTTCTCCGCTCCCATGTGAGCAGCACCGCCTCTTCTGCAGCCCTGCTTTCTGTCCCAGGAGGCTGCTCAGTCCCTGCAGGGCTCCTCGAGGCAGGGCAGCGTCTCACCAGAGCACCCGTACAACCTCACAGCAGTTCTGAGCGCTGTGCCCTGTGTGCTGCGCACCCACTGACACCGCTAACCATTGCCATCGGGGACAGGGCCTGGCACCCAGTGCATTCACTTACCCCTGGATAAAACGGTGAGGGAGAACGGGCCAAGACTTACCTGCTTATGCTCGCAGTGACTGCCTTTGTTCTGGTGCATGTCTGAGAAACAGCACTGGCAAGGTCTGTGTAAGGACAGAGGGCTCCTCTACCTGTACTATGAGTACCTGAAAAAGCAGCTCAAGCTCAGCAGCTGTGAGGGTTTCCCCACAGCTCGCCACAGGGCTCTCTTCCCACAGCAGAGCCCCACCCCAACGCAAAGACCAAAGTTTCCTCCAGGTTGGACACTTCTGCATTTTGGGCCAACTGTCTCAGCGCTTGCAGCTGCCTCCTTTGAAAATTTGCAGCGCACCGAGACCAGTGCAGGGCTGCATCGCCCCGTCCCCACGGCAGGACAGGTTCCCAAGGTGAACTTGAGCCAGGGAGCAGAGCCCAATTTCAGTTAGAGGATTCCTGCAAAGGTGTCAGGGGCAGAACCAGGCGAGGTTCTCCCTTCCCTGCCTGTCCCCAGCTCACAGCACAGGGAGCATGGCCCTTCCTCCGGCAAGGCCACGGCCGCTCGCACAGGAAGCAGAGCGGTGAATTTGGCACGCAGGGAGGGGGGCAGGGAGCTTTTCTGTTGCTGCTCAACTGTTACTGATCTGGAAAAGCGTGAGCGTCCATCCAAGGCACAGCCGGGGGCTTTTCCTGTCAGTGGCTAATGCCAGCGTGCTGCCACAAGCCAGAATCCCTGCGCCTGTGCCCGCCGGTGCAGGGCCAGCCCCTCTCCCAGGTTTTCCACAGCAACACAGGACAGCGAGTACATTTGTTTCATGTGGCTGGTAGAGTATTTCCTAACTAAACACCGCAGGTCTAGATTCTATTTACAATAGAGCCAGCTTAAAAAATAAGTTAAAAAACTGGATTTTATACCCGTTCAGTTCATTATTAACAAGAGAAAAAAAAAAATGGGATAATGAAAAAAAAAGCCAACACAGCAACACAATATGGTTTTGGTTTAACATCAGCTTAAAAAAATAGAACCAAAAGGAAACCTCTCATGCAAACACGTACGGTGGTGTGTAAAACAATGTGCAATTTAATATGTAGCATCAGCCATTCTCTTGCTCTGCAGCCTCCTGCTCAGTCAATGCCTCCCGGCCTCACCCAGCTCAGCGGCCGCTGCTCCTTGCTGGGTCGCTCCGGACCTCTGGTCCCTTCTGCAGACGCAGCGTCCCGGTCTCTGCTCTGCTCACAGGCCTGGGGTGGCTGGCAGGAGGCCGGCGCGGACGGGAGACGCTCCCAAAGCACGTGGTACCGGCTTCATCTCTTCCTGCCCAAGTGGACTCCCTGTGCCCAGCGGCTGGGACAAAGAAACTGAAAGATCCTTGCAGTGATACAGTACCTTTTAAGAGGTCCCTCAGGTTTCCTAGTCCACACACACACACATATATATAATATATATATAATATCTTTCTCTATATTATATATAAATTACATATACAGATAAATAAAATGCCTTCTGCTGCCTTTCTGTCGCACTGTTCAGAGCTGCTAGACAGTCACACTTGGAAAAATGCCCCTGGAGCTCTGATACCAGCTCATGTTCTCAGAGTCCGTTGTTTCACTTGTTTCTTACATTAGTCCTTAGCCGCCTCCTCCCATCTTGATTCTTGGTTTAGTTAATAATAATAATAATAATAATAATAAAAAACAACTCTTGAATGGGTTCTCGTCTGTCTCTAATGGAGCAGTGGGAAGGTCCATGCAGGAATGGTAGGAACAGTCACATGATGAATGAGATCAGTTCATCCCAACAAAAGAAACAGGACTAGAAAACTCAATTTTGCGACGATCTAAAAAAGGGGGCAGGAATAGTTTTCATATCCTCCCCCTTGGGGCAGAGGGCTCGGGTGGGGTGGGATTTCAGAGGTCTTCTGCTTACAGGGAAGCAGGTGGGGGTCATCTTCAGAGTTTCTCTGGGGACGGGACCCAGATGTAGTGCCCGGACTGGTCCTCAATGATCTGTTTGATTTTGCTGTAAATCTCTTCAAGAGAGTCTCCTTGTACGATGGCTGAAAGAGGAGAGAACAAGGAAGACCTTGAGCGTGGGGCAGCGCTTCGGCTTCTCAGCCGGGAGCTACGGGAAGGGCCTTCACTCTGCAGCCAGGGGGCCGGGACAGTGCAGCCAACGACCAGCACAGCCCGTGTCAAAGGAGCTGTAACAGGCACGCGGTGACACAGAGGGTTAAACCAGCGTGTCCAAGGGGATTAGCAAGAGATTGGGCTGATCCCACGCTGGCACAGCTACTCGCGCGTGTGAAGTGCCAGCCAGGCTCTCCACAAGGGCTGCTAATCAGCTTTGCGAACCGTGTCACCCAGCCGTGCTGAGGCTCTGGGCAGCTGGCCGAGGCTCCACGGCACAGGGCAGGGTGTGAATGTGCAGCAGCACAGCAGCTCGGCCAGAGTAATTGCCTCCATGCTCACCCCTGCTCTGCTGCGATGCGCAGGAGGAGCCTTGCTCGGATTATCCGGCGCGCACCAAGCGCATACCCTCAGGTGCTGGATTTGTCCATCCAGTCTGGTCTCCTGCTGAGGACTCCTCGTGTTTGTTACTTGCTCTACTTCGGGATGGGAATTGCAGCACTGTCGTGCTGGAAAAGGCCAGCTTACGTGTGTTGCTCCCAGCAGTAAGGCTTTCCCAAAGACCAGCTGCAGTCCTGCTGCTAAGCACGGATGCAACGCTAAGAACTTCACCGTGTTCCCTACATCAGGAGAGGAAGATGTACACGGTGGGCCAGCACTTTCTGGTAACTCTGCCTACCTCTGCAGCCAAGCCAGGGCTGTCCTCCAGTGTCTCTGTTCCCCAGAGACAAGTTCCTGGCACAGAACTTCCTACTGCACCCAACTTACTGCCTGTTACTGACTGCTTTCAACTGGGCTGGGGCTCAGCCAAGAGCATTCCTTCCTCAGGTCAACTGCAAGCTTACTGCCGTCGTGCAGCCTCACGTGGACATGCTGAGGGTTTGGCAAAACTACGGCATGTGTTTCCTTTGTGTTCTTCCTGGAAAAGCAGCCTGCAGCTCTGGAAATGCTCCCCAAGAAAGGAGTTCTGGGGAAGGCGTTTCTGCTGTTTGTGCTGATACATTTGCAGAGATCCATTTTTGGAAAACATTCTGCCTGTGATTTTTCGTGGTAACTGTTAGGTGGGCAACGCAGTATTTGACAGGATTATCATTCCTCAGCTTTAGAGCAAACAGTTACCACAATGGAGAACAGAAGGAAGACCAGTTCCTCTGCCTCTCTGCCTGTCCGTGATTTTCCAGAATTAACCACATGCTACAAACATTAGTTCCTTAATGCACTAGGATGCCTTTGTCATGAGCAGCTCATCCCTGCAAGCACGAACTACCAGGCAGCCCCTGACTTTCAGAAAACACTACTTAGGAAGTCAGCCAAACTTCCAGTCCTTTTTGGAAGATGTTTTGTAATAACTCTGGACAGTCTCCACCATTTAGGTCACTAATTCTTACATTTCCTCTTTACAAGGACTCTTCTCTTTTTGGAAATGCTCCCCTCTCCTCTGTTTAGGGAGTTTTATTTCCTGCAGCCTTATAGCACCTTGAATCTATGCTGTGCTTCCCTGAGCTGTTTTTTTTTTTTTTTTTTTTTTTTTTTTAATTACTGTTACTAAAGTTGGTGATAGGCTTTCACAAACTCAAAAAATCTTGCCTGACAGCTCCTCTCCTTCCTCTAGAGCTGGTTTACTCTTATCCGCTGATCTCTGAGCGGTCCCTTTGCACAGCCATGCTGGCAGAGCGCCATCTCTTTTTGCTTTGATGAAGCTGGACATTTTCTCATGACCCTGCAGTAAGACAGTGCTGGCAGAGGTCACGGCTGCCAGCTAGAAAATATTAAATCAGACACAAACCTACTCGGGACGCTCACCTGTAAAATACTCTCCAAATTCTTGCTCGAGTTTCATGGCTTTGTCAAAGACCTTGTTGGCCTGTTCGTACGTCTGTCTCCGGTTCATCTCCCTGTCACGCACAAAAAATAGAAACTCAGCTCTCTTTCTTAGCAACGAACAAAAGCAAAAATATCCCACAGACCCAGGGTGCCTGGGAAGCCTCCGCACATCAGAAATGGAAGCTGCATGAGACCCAGTTTACAAAGGCAAGAACCTTCCCCACACACTCTTTATTGCCTTGGCAGTTCAGCCCAACTTCCAGCAGCGAAGTTCCTCCCACTGCACCATAACACAGAAATGCATGGAAGTCCAGGCAAGCCTCTGCATTTGCAAGACCACTGCAAAAAATGTCCTTGCTTTTCCAAAGCCCATCACCACCCTCCTTGCCTGGGTTCCCTCATGTTCATGTAATACCAGAATTAACAATTCTACCACTGCTGCCTTGAGAAGGGGTTTTCCCAGTTCCCTTAGTACCAGCAGAGCCTCTTCTGACCTTAAAGTCCATCTCTAGCTACAGAATTTCCCCACAGATAACATTCTCTGTTGATACTTGGAAGATTTGCAAGCTCAGATCTCACACCCTTCCCAGGGCCACAAGCAGCAGAAAGTTCCCCTATGGGGCACAGGAAACGCCTCCTCCAGCTGTGATCCATCACCCTGGGCTATCAGCAGCTCTCCTGGCTGGTCTCAGGGCCCAGGTGAGCAGGTTACATTAGGCATATTTGGGAGCATTTGTACACTGCCCACAGAAAGTCCTCTGGTGCAAACAAAGGGCTTTAAGCCACAGCAATACACGGAGCCTGGATGCACCACGGCATTAGATGTGGAAAAACACCGCAGAGACAGTAACGAGCCCAGCAACTCTTAAGGAAAGAGGAGCTGAAGGAAATTCCAGCACCAGCAACCACCTCTGCTGCTTTCTAAAAAGCAGAGGCAGCAGAAATACGAGCCCTTGACTTGCCAGGGCTGCTCACCCCGGAGAGGCAACAGCAGGTGTCGTTACACTTACATGAGAGCTTCGATGGATTTTGGTTTGATGAAAATGGCAATGGGATAAAGTTGTGCTTGTTGCAACCTCTTGATAGCATTGCCAGATACATCCAGGATGCAGTGTTTCCCCTGGAAAGGAGACGATCAGGATCAGACCTACCCACACAGTCTGCTCTGTGCAGAAAACAGCTTGCTCATACAGACGCGCTTGCAAAAGAGGAGCCACAGAGATGAAACACCAGTCCCGAGACACGGGCCAACTCCCAGTGCCCTCACATTCCCATCTGCTTAGGGCAGGATGGCAGCGATGTGAGGGGACTGATTTTTTCTCTGAATGCTTGAAAAGCTGTTCACGAGTCATCAGCACACCCCAGCACAGGGAACATTTTGGCTCCTCTGTGAGCAGCCAGGCACCTTTGTCCTGTGAACTCCCAAACATGAGCTGGGATTTTGAGCATTTTTTGGCCATGAGTTGGGCCAGACCCCACCTGGCACAGTGACAGCCCCAGCCTCAGGAAGGCTCAGCCCTTCACACTCACCCTCTCTGCGACCGCCCGCACCGACTGAATGCTGGTCCCGTAGAGATTGTCATTGAACTGCCCGGCCTCTATGAACTTATTGTCCTGAATATCCTTCTCCATCTGTTCTCGGGATACGACGAAATGGTAGTCTTGCCCATCCACCTCGTTCTCGCGCCGAGGCCTGGTGGTGTCTGGAGGAGAGCAGGCCTCAGGAGCGACCCCAGAGCAACCCACACCAAACTTGTGTCCCCACAGCCCTCCTCCTCCTCCTCCTCCTCCTCCTCACGCCCGGACCCGCAGGTCGCCGAGCCACTGCCCTCCCCTCCCTGCAGCAAGGCCCAAGCAGCTGCTGGGACTTACGTGGCACACAGGAACCAAACTTGTGTGGGAATTCGGAGATGAGGTCATCGTTAACTCGGTCCTTCGTCGGCCCCAGGATGATCACTGGCCTCGCATAGTGAACTGCGAACACAAACCCCACTGTGAGACCAGGTCTGCGCTCCAGGAAGCCCCACGCAAGTTTATCTCCTCCTGGACGTGTTCAAAATCCTTCTGGTCTGACCCAGATGATCTGTGTGGGCAGGCAAAATGCTGCTGTGAATGCATCTCCTCATCTCCATCCCCCTGCCAGCACGAGGCTGCCCAGGGGAAGGAGCTGCCCGGGGCAGCACTGCCCGCCCGCACACCGGGGAAGGTGCCGAGGGTCTCACAGGTCGCAGATCAGCCAAGCTGCTCCACTGCCCGGGGTATGAAGCAGACAGCCAGGACATCTGGAGGTGAGCTAGAGGGCTGTAAGAGTCTGATCCTGCTCCTGGCAAGGACAGGCTGCTGAGGCAGGGACTAGAACAGAATCACCGAATACCCTGCCTTGGAAGGGACCCACACGGATCATCGACTCCAACTCTTGGCTCCACACACAACCACCCAAAAACCAAACCCTACACCTGAGAGCGTTGCCCAAACGCTTCTTGAACTCCAGCAGGTCTGGGGCTGTGACCACGTCCCTGGGCAGCCTGTCCCAGTGCCCAGCCACCCTCTGGGTGCAGAACCTTTCCCTAACCCCCAGCCTGACCCTCCCCTGTCCCAGCTCCATGCCGTCCCCTCGGGTCCTGTCACTGTCCCCAGAGAGCAGAGCTCAGCGCCTGCCCCTCCGCTCCCCTCGTTCAGCCTGTGAAAGGGGAGCTGAGGCTGAGAGAGGGAGGGGACTGGAGCAGAAGAAATGATCCCACCCTCAGCTGGGGACCAAAACCCAGCTCAGTTTTAGCTCTGGCTCTCCCTTGGCTGTTGTTTGACAGACCAGGTTGCAACTCTTCTATGGTGACTACAAAAGGGTTTGTGAACAAGGGCAGGGAAACACCCAGAAGGCGGCGTGCACGCAGGTCCCCTGCTGCATGCAAATGCCCCGCACTGAAGCAAGCAGCCAAGAAACTCCACTGATTTTCACTCTATCTCACCACAGGGGCAGGCAAGATCGTCCTGGCTACCCACACAGTGCAGCTGTGAGCAGGGACACGGGCTCTGATGCCCATGCCCAAGCAGGACAGCTTAGCACCAGGACTTACTTTCTTGCCGTGTCACCGGTTCGTATGACAGGATAGTGTCCTCTTGTCCTTCTGAAACAGAGCCAAGGAGAGGCACGTGAGCACCAGCAGCTTTCCAACCCCAGCCACCTCAGACCCTGGGGACGGGCTCTCACGCCAACCCAGCAATCAGCCCATTATTCACAGCAATTATTCACACATCAGTTCTAGGGTTGGCCTCCTCTTTCCCTCCCCTCCACTGCACGCTCGGACTTGGGCAGGCACAGCCAGTGGGTGTGCTGCAGGCATTCAGAGGACCTGCCAGGGCTAACGGGAGCACTGCCTGCAGCTGGACCCAAACGCTCTCGGACAGGCTCAGGGAGCCACTCGTGCTTCAGACCCAGCACCTGGCCATTGCTGAGGACAGGTCCTCTGTGGGCTGGGAAATCCACCACCAATTCTGCATGGCCAGGGGAGCCGGGGAACCAGCCAGGCTTGCTCCTGACCCCTGGGAAGGGAGCTGGCCACAGCATCTTGGTGTCACCAGCAGGAAGGACCAGCCTCCGAACAGAAATGCCACCGGGACAGGACGAGACGAGAGCACACACACAGACACGGAGGTGAGACAGCAGGAGAGGTGCACACTTACTGGAACTGCTCTCGCTGTCACTGGTGTTTGATGTCACGCCCTCTGCAAAGCAACCAGAGAGACCCCCTTGAGACCGAGCGCTCGCCACGGGCACAAGAGCTGTCGCCCGGCGCTAGTGACGGAGGGCAGGGAGCCAGGCGGCACGGAGAAAACGCGTCCTGGGAGCGGGGTGCCAAGGCAGGATGGCATCTCTCGCCCTTTGTCGCTCTCAGGGGGAAACAGGGGACGTGCAGGGGGAGCTTCTTCTGCTTGGCTACTCTGGAGGGATGGCAGAAGGAGCCGGGAGCGGGGCTGAGGGGCAGGGCTGGCCCAGGCGCAGGAGGGAGCGGGTGCAGCATGCACACGGAGGGCTGGGGACAGGGGAGCCTGCCTGCGGGGACAGGGCTGGGACTCACAGAGACAAGACAGTGACAGGATGGGACAGAGTTCGGGGCTTTGCTTGCTTCGGTTGATCCCAGTGCTGTGACCTCCCCGCAGAGGCTGGCGGCCGCCCTGCTGCTGCCTGTCCCCAGCCCCACAGGGGCTTTGGGAACGCCGTGAGTGGGAGCTGCAGCACAGCAGGGAGAGCCGAGGAGCTGTTGTTGTGGAGCTCTGAGTGCACAGGCAACCATATGCCTCCAGAGGAAGGCAGCAAGATGCTTTCACCTGCCCCTGAGGGAAGCTGGCTTGGGCACAGCCACCTCCCCACCAGCAGCCAGCGGCTCCAGGGCTCCGAGAATGGAGCAGAGCCAGCAACCAGCCCGGCTGGGTGCAGGGGAGGAGGCGCAGCTCCCCCCGGGTGCTGCGGGCAGTCCCCTCACACGTGCCTAGGGCATGGCAGAAATCCCCAAGCAACCTCCCCGTCCCCTCTCCCGTGCAGCAGGCAGCACCTCCGAAAGCCCAGGACCCTCCGCTGGGAGAGGCAGCAAGCCCGCGGGGTTCCTCGTGCCCTGCACCCAGAGAAGCACAAACCTCCCCCAGGCACCACCAGGCATGCCAGCAACGGAAAGTGAAGGATGCGCATCGAAATTCGACTTACTCAGGTTCTTTGCTCCATAATAATCGTCACTTAACCCAGGGAAGTCCTGATTTCACAGACAGCGAGAAGAGGGAGAGGGGCAGAGGAGAGCGCGGGAGAGGGGCGGTCAGAGAGAGGGGAGAAGAAGACAGAGCCAGATGAGCATTAGTGACAGGAGTGCGGAACGGCCCAGAGCTGCAACTGCAAGTGAGGTTAAGAAACGTTTCTCGGAGGTGACACGGGCAGCACAGTGCCGACGTCTCACCTCGTGCTGCCGACCCCCCCAGAACACCTCACACCCAGCCAGGTGCGCCCACGCTGCCCCCCAGCCCCAGAGGCCACTGAGGGCCCCTTGCTCTGCTGCTCCAGGGCTTGGTAGGGAAGCGTGGCCGGGGCAGAGCTGCCAGCAAGCAGCTCCGAGGTGTTTCTCTGATGCCCCACTTGTTTTTTTTTCCATGAGGTACAGAAGATCTGTCTCCCCTAAGCCTCTCTAGAGGGGAAAAGCACACTGCTGTACCTCCAATGGCACGGCAGGGGGGCAGATTTTTCCCCACGTTAGCTGCCTGTGCTCCAGCACTTGCACAGGCTGCAAAAACCAGGGGGAAAGGACCCCCCTGCTGCAAGCAGCACACCGGGACAGGCAGCGCAGCAGCGCGTGGCAAGGGAGCTGGCTGCAGGCTTCTCTGACGTGGGCTAGCGAAGAGCAAAGCCTGCCCCGTGCCCATGCCATATGTCCCTGTGCTGCAGGGCTGGCTGAGAGCAGCACCTCAACAACCTTCAGCTACAGGCACCACGCTCACCTGAGCCTGGAGGGCTGTGACACGGAAACCAGGCTCTGTCAGCACCCCTGCCCCGCACCAGCTCCTCCTGGAGCCCTGCTGCTCAGCCACCTCCGGCACAGCAGCACAGGGTGCCCACACCCCGCCACAAAGCGAGGGGAGCCAGGAGGGAAAAAGCTCCCTGTGGCTGAGCCTGTCCTCTGCAGACAGGTCTGATCGATCAGAGATTTTCCAGCATGCCACAGGCAGGGGTCTGCTGTGAGCCCAGCTGGTTCCAGGACACCACCAGCACCAGGCTGGGTGCTGAGGTCACGGCCACCCGCTGGCAGCCTGGCTGAGGGACACGGGCAGTGCCCCGGAGCAGCCTGGCTCCAGCCACCCCCCTCTGCGTGCAGCCCAGGAGAGCAGCTGGAGGGGATGCACTCACTGCGCTGCCACCTGGGCACGGCTCTGCCTCGCCCACCTCCTCTGCTCAAAGCTGCAAGGACTGCAGCTCTCCCTCCCCACGGGTGCTTGCTGAAGGAGTGGATGCAGTTTAGCATCTGGAAAGAGGAGGAGCTGGGTGAGGTGAGCAGCTGTGCCCGGCAAGGGCAGGCTGTTCTGTCCTTGTGCTGGAGAGTGGGGAACGAGCCCTTCCCAGCCCTGTGCTCGGTGCAGGGGGAGCTCTGTGCCCGGCAGCTGCCTCTCAGCTGCTCCGCACCAGCCAGCTTTCCCCATGCTCCGGGCCCCAGCCTTCCTGTTGTCAGGATTTTGGGGCAAAAAGCCGAACGTTCTGCCAAATTAAAGAGCAGCTCTCAAGCCTGGAGGTGTCCCCGGCTTACACCCCCCTTCTCCCACCCTCCTCGACACCCGGGATGTGTCTGTGCACAGCCCGGCCTGCAGGGAGCAAGCAGCAGCAGCAGCAGGAGCCGCAGCACAGCCTGCCCTCGCTGGGAGCCCCGGGGCCCAGGTGAGAGCTGGGTATTCCCCAAAATTTGGAGCCAGCTCCCGAAGACGTGCCTCAGCCGCTGCGTGTGGGCAGCGCCTCTGCCAGCGAGGGCACGCGTCCCTCACGCCCATGGGGTTTCACCCCTGGAGGGGCTTTGAGGCTGTCAGGAATCCGTAGCCCACAGGCACGTCTACGGGAGGCAGGAAGCACAGGCAGGGCATCCCCAGCCCCTCAGCCCCTAAAGGACAGCAGACAAGCTTCTGCACAGCTCAGCCGGGCCCTGGCTCTGGGAGGGGAGCAGCCCTTGGCAGGCAGAGGGAGGGAGCAGAGCCCACAGCACACGGGAGAGAGCAGGAGGAGGCAGAGCGGAGATCGAGGCGAGTGTAAAGTGGTGAAAGGATGAAGACATCAAACATGAGAGAGAGAAAGAGAGAGCCAGCCCGTGCATAGGGACACGGCCAGAGGCAGCTGGACTCGCAGCAGCTGGGAGAGCCTGCCTGTGCACAGGTCTCGTGGCTGGGACTTCAGTGGGTGCAAAGGGACGAGAAATTCAGCGGTGAGGTCCCTCATCCGGGTGGCATTTGCCCCAAGCGCTACAGGAGCCGCCGCTTTTATTTCCAGCTGGGGCTGTTCCCTAGCTGACGGCATGGCTGCAGGGCACAGAACCTGATCTAAACCCCACACGGCCACCGAAGGGGAGGCCAGACAAGGTGTCAACGCTTCTCCCACCAGCATTCAGCAAGGGGGAAGCTGCTCCTTGGGTCAAATCTGTGCCTGACTGTGCTGGGAGGAAACCTGCCGGTACTGCAGGACACGTACCTGGCCTCTGCCTGCCTCGCAGGAACAGCGCTGTTTGGCCAATGCAGGCAGGTGCCAGGCTCAGCGGCTACAGAAAAGTGCCAAATCTCTCCTCCCCGAGGCAGGAGAGGGGCCGGGGGGGTTGCACGCTTGCCCTCTCTGGCCAGCTGCTACTTACGTTCCTGTCCGCTGCTCTCCTGGGCCAGGTTCTCTTTGCTCTTGTAAAATGGAAACTTTCGAGAGAGGCGGAAACTCTTTTTACGTTTCGTTTTGATCGACTGTGAAGAACATGGAGATGGAAGGGAGGACAGAAAAAACAATGGTGTTTAATGCATGCAAGGAAAATTAAAATGAAGAGACAATGAGGAGCCGTGTCAGGGCGGTTACCCTTAAATGAAATCATGGAGATTACGTGAAAACTGTAATGCAGGAAAAAAATTAAGTGCAGAGAAAAATGTGTTTTTAGGGATGTCGGGAAGCTGATGAGCCAACGAGCAGTTCTGCAGGAGGAGCAAGGCCGTTCTCCCTGCCTCGGCCGTTCGCTCAAGCGCTCCGTGTGAGGGAAGCCACGCTCTCCTGCACCAGCTGCCTGCAGTCAGCTCCCAGCCACCAGTGCTCTGCCCGGCCCACAGTGGGATGTGCTCCGCTCCCTCACCACTGCCACCACTACGGGTGGCCTTCACCAGCGCTGTCACATCTGCCCGGGCTCCTCTGCTCACCCTCCTGCTGTCGAGGGGACCCGTGCCTGAGGAACCTGAGTCCAATTGCGCTGCTCTTCCCGTGGGCTTGCTCCAGCTGCTGCCGGTGGGAACACGGCACTGGCTGCTGGCACTCCTCCTGCCCCCGCTAGATACCGGCCCCAGCCCCAGCACTTACCCGGTTGGACTCTATCATGCCGGTCCTGGCGTGGAACTTCACCGTTTTCAACCGCGCCCTCTCCTTCTTCTCCACCCTGATGGGGAGTTAAATGAGGGAGATGCTGCTGGTCCTGCACACCGGCTGTCCCTGCCGGGCCCAGCACGCTTCCCCTCGGCTGTCGGGGTGTCCCGAGGCCTGGGGGGCCTCGGCCCTGTGTGTGACAGCTCCTGCTGCTGGGCACTCACCTCTTCTTGCTGGGGATGACCCCGATCTGCTCGCTCTCGCCATGGGGTGTCACGAGCCTGGCTTGCCACCACTCGTCGTCTGAGGCATTGATGACGTGCAGGATGTCCCCGTAGGAGAAGCTGAGGCCCTGGCTGGGCAAGCAACTGTCCCGGGTCCGGTCATAGTCAAACAGAGCTCTGTGAAGGAACAGAGAGGAGTGAAACCTTCCTCTACCGAGCCTAGCAGCATCAAGGACCACAAACAAGCACCAGCACTGCAAGTCTCCTAGGGCAGTGCTGCCCTCACAGCTTTGAGGATTTAAAACCAAACTTTTGGGAAAGCTTCTCCTGCGTGTGACTACGCCGTGCAGCCACCAGCACACCCCTTCTAGCCCAGGGTGAGGTGCTTGACACGAACAGTGTGCAACACCGGAACAACAGTCCTGGACCAACAAACTAGCTCTTGACTTCAGTTACAAGAGACACACAAACCACAGAAATGTTGAAGAAGGCTGTGGTTAGAAAGCAGGTAGACAACCAGCCAAAGCTCAGCCACCTCAAGAATACAACAGCACATATGCGGTACCCCAGGGCAAACTTTCAAAAAGCCCTCCCTGCTCCCCTCCGCCCACTGCCCTGCATCCTGTAAGCTTACCGTGCCCCCACCAGCCTTATGACACCCTCCCAGCCCGGCTGGGCACGGAGAAGGCACCTCCTGCCCTGCTGCCCATCAGGAGGACAGCACGGGAGGAAACCCCCAGCTGCCCACTCGGCTCCGGGGGTGAGCTGGGTCTCAGGAGCAAAGCCACAGGCCGGCAGACTGAGCATGGAAAAGGGAGCAGAGCGTCTGCCCCGCTCCTCTGCCACGACCAAGAAGGCTGGGGAGGCGAATAGGATGCTATAGGATATGGCCATGCCCTGCTGCTGGTGAGCAGTCACACAGAAGACGACTGCAGGGCACGCGGAGCATTCGCTTTTATTTACGTACACGGCACTTTATTCCAGAGGCTGAGGATTATGAATGCCTCTCAGTATTTATCTGCTCCTCCAGCTGTTCCTTTTCAGACTTTTAAATACTTCCTTTAAGGACAAAATTTTAATTTACAAGAGAGAAGCTTCAATATTCTTCAACTATCCAGCTACAGAGGAGATGATTATTTTTTATACCAAGGAAGAGGAGCACTAATGCTCTTCCTGTGCGAGTTATCACACCCATGCTGCAGCTCTTTGCCACAAGCTGCTTTCAGTGGCTTCCTAACTCTTTCTACTAATGTCAGATCTCTAATCAGATCTATTTTCCTCAGACTTGTCCATCCTGCAAGAAATGGAAACACAGGAGCAGTCACGCAGGGCCCTGCTGCTGGCAGGGCAGCTGGGAGCCCTGTTTTGGCCCCGTTTTTCCCCTGTGGCAGGGGTTGGGGCAGGGCTAGCACGGGTGCTTACTGCACCAGCAGCCAGCCTCATCCAGGCAGAAAAGAAAGGGGAAAGCCACAAGAACAAAGCCCCTCTGCCCTGCTCATCACCCCCTTCCTCTACAAGGAACCCGAAGGGGGGTCTGAAGCGACACAGCACAAGTGACATTGATCTTCGAGCTGAATCCTTTTAACCGTGGCTCCATAAATAGTAAAAGCAACAGGCATGCTGCGCATCAGCCTCCCGCAGGGTTAGCTGCCTGGATAACGCTCTCAAAAATCACTTCCCTGCTACATTTAACAAGACACCTCTCCTTGCCCGGCACGGCTGACAGGAGTCAGGGCAGGTCTCCCTCCCGGTGGTGGTTGGCAGCTCTGGGTGAGCCGGGGCTCCTCTCTCCAGGGAAGCAGAGGCAGCATCAATTCTTGCACCATCAGGAAAGCTGCCCCTGCTCCCGGCTTCTCCCACCTGTCCTGACCGGCTAAATCACCACGCGGAGTGGCTGCAGGGGCAGCTCCAGCCTGGTTTGCCTCTCACTAAGGCACCGAGCTCGACCTGCAGGACATTTTTTTTGGTGATGGTGTCAATGGGCAAGCTAGGAAGTGCCAGATCGTCCTCCAGCCCAGAGGGAACCTTACCAAAGGGACTGCCCCTTCTGAACATGCCCCGAATTGGTGTCCCGAACACTCCTCCCACCCGCCAGGCACCACAAGTGGGCAACAGCCCCCTCCTGCATGAGAGCTTGTGAGTTCAAATACCAGATGTCATTCGCAAGGCTGCAAAAAAAAGGATTTTGGCTGGATCAGCCCCAGGGGCAGCTCCAGCAATAGCCCCAGCCTCCAGCCAGGACAGGAACAACCCAAGGACTGCACGGCTGTCTCTTATGAAGCAACCTGAAGGCTGGATGAAGTCCTGTGTGCGCAGGTTCGCTCAGCCAGCAGGTCACCCTCCTTTTTCCAGCTTGCCCAGGGCCGTGGCTCACCCGCTGTAGCCGAGAGGCTCTCGTGCTCGGTCCCGCAGGAGAACAGGAACGAGAGCGGCCCCCAGGCGCAGCACGTGGCACCAGAGCCGGCAGCGAAAACACTGCAGGGCCCTTCAGCTGGAGGCAAGCAGCCCTCACAGGCACCTGCTCCCTGCCAAGAGATAAGGCTGCCTGCGTGCCTGGCACGCCCCTGCCGGACCAGTGCCATTAGGAGCAAGGAGAGAGCGCAATTAGGAGGAAAGAGAGCACAGGGAACAGGCCAGGCAGGTTCCTGAGCCTGCACACAGGCTGCGGGGAGCTCAGCACCAGCCCTGAGCTCATTTTGCAGCACGGGGCACTGACAGCAGGCCCTGTGCACCTCCTCTGCCACCAGCTCCCTGAGCGCACAGTGTCGTGCCATGGCCTGGGGAGGGGAGAAAGGGCTGGGGGAAGAGGAGACGGCACCGGCTGGGTGCTGCAGCCCTGCCCCGTGCTCAGGGCAGCCCTGCCCCGCTCCTCCCAGTGCCTGCACGGGGAATTCAGCACCAGCAGCCCCTGTGCCAAGGTCAGGCTGCAGCCAAACGCAGCAGGAAGAGCCCCAGGCAGGTCTGAAGCACAGGTCACCCAGGTGTTGTGGGCAGCAGGAGGGCCCCCTGAGCTGGTGGGTCACAGAAACGGGTCACGCTGCCAGCTCCTGCTCCACGCATGGGCACAGCAGAGGCACCTCTTCCACAGGGCCCCAGGGGTGTTTCCCCAAGGCGTCTCCGCTCCGTGGGGCCCACCCTCAGCGCGCACGGCAGCGCACACAGGATGGCCACAGCCCACCACAGCTCCAGGCTCCGAGGATTTTGCCCTGCAGGAATGTGATCCTGTCCCCAAAACACAACCTGAGCACCACGGGGTGAGGAGCAGCCCCGGCAGCCGCAGGAAGGAGCTGCACGAGGAGGTGGCGTGCCCAGCTCCGGGCCCCGCTGACGGGGCGCACCGCAGCCTCGCGGGGCTGACTCAAGCAGTTTGGTAGCAGGTCCCGTAATTGATGTCCTGTCCACAACACAGCAGCTCAGCCGGTTTCAGGGAACCTGCGCTCGAAACCACCCCGCCCAGAAGGGCTGGGGCAGCCCTGGCAGCTCTCACACGCTCACGGGGAGCGTGCGGCAGCCGCCGGAGCAGGGCAGAGCCCCGGGCTGGCCTCTGGTGAGCTGGGGGAGCCAGCGAGGTGCTGCCCAGCTCCTGTCTGGCACAGCGCTGTAGATGCCCCCAGAGCCACGCAGAGGGACACAGCCATGCCCCCTCCTTGTGTAAAGGGCCCCAGCAAGCAGCTCTCAAAAGATGTGGGATGCTAAAAGGGAGAGTGAAGGGAGCCTGACAGCGGAGCAGCATTTTTCTGCAGGCCTGCCCTGGCACGTGCAGCAGCTCTCCAGGCAAGGAACAAGAGATTTGCACGCTCATTTCATGCTGGACCCAGCCTAAACCCCCGCTCCATTTATGAGGATGTCACTGCGACAGCGGATCTCGAATCAAGCAAGGCTCTGCAGAGCCTCGTGCAATTGTGAGCTGCGGGAGCCTGCTGCTGCAGTTCTCCCCTGTGCCAGGCTGGGCTCACGCTGGGCACGCCGCCCCCTACCACCCCAAGCCCCTCCGCACAGCACAGCCACGCCGCAGGAGATGCAGGCTGAGGCTGAAGCAGCCCCAGCTCTCACCCTCCTCACCACAGGGAAAAAGCAGCGTCCCTTGCTGTTGCCAACCCCCATCTGCAACAGGCTGTGCAAGGTGAGGATTTATGGGATTATTTTAATGAGCAAGTTAAAATCACTTGTTAGCTGTCACCACGCTGACTCTCATTGCAGAAGGCGCTGCAGCAGGCTGGGAGACAGCAGGGGCAGCAGGCAGGAGCCAGCAGCGAGCACGGGGCCGCGATGGCCAGGACGTGCAGCAGGTACAGAGCCAGCGCCACGCGGCCGCTTAACCCCTGCCTGCTCCGCACCTGGCTCCAACCCAAAAGCACATCTCGGGATCAAAGCAATAATCCTCCTAAGGGCTCAGCTCCCCTCCAGCCAGATCCTGCCGCAGGACCAGCAGGGGAGGAGACAGAGAAGCCAGTTAGAGGGGAGCAGTTAGAGGAGAGTGCGCTGCTGGGGCACAAGCGGGGCTGCTCCGGCTGCTGGAAACCCCAAGAAATCCCAAGCTGGGGGAGCCCCCCACCGGGCTGGGCTGCCCCACAGCTTGTGGGTGGGTGGCAATACCCAGAGGGGCCAGGCACCGCTGCCATCAGGGCCTTAACCAATTGCCCACACCACTGCCTGCGTCCTCCCTTGGGCCCGCTCCGTCCCTCCAGCCCCTGAGTGCTCACCCTGGGAACAGCACGGCGCAGCTCCCAGTGCAGAAGGCATTAAAATGCAGAGCACTCAGCCCTGAAGAACCCCTGCAAGAGCCCCTGCTCCATGCTGCAGGCTTCGTGCCTTGTTTGTAGCACTCCCTTCCCTTGCCCCGCAGTGGCAGGGGAGCGTGTCCTGCGCAGAGGGGCTGCACATGCGCAAGGATGTGATCCCAGCTGGCGTGGGAGCACTGGCCCAGGGATGCATTGCTCATCTGTAAGGCCACACTGCCTTTTTCCTTCCTCATTCCCAATTGCCGGGCACACCCAGGGGAACCGCAGACACCTCCTGGAAGGTGCACTCGTGTCAGCAGCGCTGGGTTTGCTGCGCTTCCCCCAGCAGGCACAGCATTACCCTTGTGTGTGTGTGTGCTCAGTGACGGGCCTCCCTGCCAGCAGAGCTGTGGCAAAGCAAGAGTGGGTCCCACGCTGAGACACAGCCAGCAGTTCCTCCCTCGGGTGGAAGGTCCACCTCCTCGACCCAAAGCTTGGCACGAGATCAGAAGCGGAAAGCAGCCACAGAGCTGGGAGCTGGCACTGGGTGTTCTGCCCTGCGTGAGATCTCACATGCGTGCAGGGACGAGGGAGGGCCCCTGTAACAGCTCCGCTCAGCTCCAGCAGCACCGGGGTGCAAAGCCAGCCCGGGCTGAACCGTCCCACCCCACATATACACCCAGGGGACGCGGTGGGACAGCATCCAGCTGCATCCAGCGCTGGCAGCAATGACAGGCAGGGAGATGGGGGAGCCTTACCGGACATAGAGGGATCTCTTCTCGCTTGTCCGGAGCGAGCCAGAGCCAGAGCTCATGCTGCTGTTCATCATCTGCTCTCGCAAGTCGTGGATCTTGGACTCGAAGCGGCTGTACTCTGCGGAGAGACAGAGGGTCAGCACAGGCAGGGGCTGCCTTCAAAACTCCACCACCACCCCAGCGAGCAGGGCGCAAGCAGCACGCCAGGTTAACCCGGTAAGCACTGAGAGGCAACCACAGCCTGGCCACAGGGCATGTGGCAGGGGGCAGCAATCGCCTCCCTGCACGAGCTGCTGCCCTGCAGAGCGAGCCAGAACACAGGGACAGAACGAAACCTCGCAGGGGACCGTCACCTGCTGGCCAAGGCGACGTGGCATGGTTGGATAGCAGCTGCCCCACGCCACAGGTCCCAGCCCACCAGTGCCTGGCAGCAGAGCCCCAGGCACGCAGCAGGCACAGGGGGACGGCTGCCACCCGGCCACCGATGCCAGCACAGGGTGAGGGCTCCACACGCAGCACCACAGCCCCCAACTTGGTGGCAGCCCCCAGCCCGTCCCTGGCTCAGGGTGGGGGACAAAGCACACCCCGCAGCCCTAGGAAGCGAGAGGGGGGGATTCACCTGTTGGCACCTACATCCCAGGCAGCACGAGACCCTCCAGGAGCCCGCGGCACCTCCGGCAGCGGCAGGACGGGAGCTGCCACCACCTGCAGCTCCTCCCTCCCTCCCCGACCTTCAGCTGGGTGTAAAGGTCAGCCCCAAAGCGGAGGGCGGAGGCTCCGGCCCCGCGCACCCAGGGCAGAGCAGGGATTGTTTGCTCCCGTGCAGCCAAAGGACAGGAGGAGAGCAACAGAGGTGGCCCTGCTCCCTCCTTCCCGATAGCACCCAGCAAAGGGTGTTTGTCGGTGTGACAGATCAAACAGCCTGCCGGGGAGCACCGGGCATGGACACGTGGGTTACAAAAGCCCCCAGGGTGTCACGAGCCATGTGTGTGCACTGGGGGTGCTGCCCCCAACGCCGTGCGGATCGTGCAGGGTGCTGCCCAGCCCGCAGAGCTGCATCCCGCACATGCAGGGGGATCACTGCTGAGAAATGCACCGCGGGCTGTTTGAAAGTCAGCCCCTCGCTGTGCACGGAGGGAGCCTGCTCCGCTGTTGTCGGTGGGGTTGGGGTTACGCAACTGTGGCTTGGCATTTCCTGGCTATCTAGCCCTGAAGTGTGCAGCCAGACCCTGCTCGAGACCTCCTTTCTGCACAGAGCTGTCGAATTATACTCGACGACTACAGGAGGAAAAAAAAAAAAAAAGATACGCACCAAAAACCCCAACCCGCACATAAAAATTCCACAGCCACGTACAGGAGCCGTGCTGCAGCCCCAGCCTCTGAAGCCTGCTCTGCTGGTTTTCTGAAAACCCCAAACCCCAGCATACGCAGCACATGTGAACCTGCCGTTTGGGACAGCTTGACAAGCCATCTGCAAGCAGCCTGCCGCTGCACTACCCTTGGCGGGCGTGCAGCAAGAAGGGGAAAGCAAGCTGGGTTTCCTCCTCTTTGTGCCATCTCAAGCAGCAGCTCTCCTTGCGCTCCCCTTTCCCGCAGCCCCCCCTGTGTGGCTCGGGGGGGCTACGTGAAGGCTGTGGCCCCCATCCCCTCCTGGCCCGTCTGGCTGATGGATTTGCTGTGCCCTGTGGGAAGTTTGGGAGCGTTGCTCCTACCTGTGCCACCATTTCACCCCCTAACACCTGCACTGCGCAGGGAAGGAGGCAGGGAGCCCAGGGCAGGGGCAGAAAGGCAGAGATGTGCTCGGAGGCATGTTAAAATTTCATGGACAACGCTCCCTGACTGCAAGTTCCTACTCGGGGTGTGTGATCCCAGCAGCTTCTCGCTCTGTAAGGGCCGTGGCTGTGCTCAGGGCGCTGCTGAGCCACTGGGGTTTGTCCTATGGGATGTTAGAGATGGGGCTGCCGCCTCCCCAGCTGCGTGTTAAAGGTTTTCCCTCTGAGAAGCAAGGGTTGGGGTTGGTGCTGCAGATCCCAGCCAGCACAGGCTGGCTGCAGCTTACCGGGACAAAGGGAGCCCCTGTGGCAGCAGCCCCCAGACATCAGGAGGCAGGGGCAGCCTTACAGCCAGCACAGGCAGACGCACAACGAGGGCAACGCTTATTCCAGTAGAAAATAAAATTATCACACCAAAGCAGCACTTCACACACCCCTAACTGCGCCCAGAGCTGTACTGATGCAGCACCCAACAGACAGAAGGGAGCTGAAGCCTGAGCTAAGCCCTGCTGGCAACCTCTCGCCCTGTGCCAGGGAGGATAGCAGCACCCCCAGCACGGATCAGGGGCACGACCTGCGCCGAGGAACCCATGTCCTGGAGCTCTGCAGGAGCGTGGAGCGGAGCTGGGCTTCCTGGCACACCGCCGGGCCCCACGCCTCATTTGTTACGGGGCTCCAGAGCAGCGAGGAAACTGCGACAGCAAGCACGGAGCTGCTCACTGTGCGTGCTGCGCTTGGCAGCGGCTGCTTTGCACAGGTTTAACCCCAGAGGAGCTCGGGCTCCGTGCCAGCTCCCAGCACGGGCAAGCCACCGCTCTGCCTGCACTGCGGCCACGTCCCCCCCTCAGCCAGCACCTCCCCACGCGCTGCCCTGCTCGCTGCTGGGCCACCTCGTCCTTTCCCTAAGTGCCACCCCAGCTGCTGGCTCGACAGCGGAGCCAGAGGGGAGCGGGGGCAGCTGTGGGCACCCTGTGCCCGGGGCAGAGCCACTCCAGGCACCCTCACCTTGCTGCACGGGCACTCCCAGGCGGTGCGGGAGGCTGAGCGCTGCACGGAGCGAGCCCAGATGTCTCCTTGCAGGGTTCGGCTCTGCCAGCAGCGGGGTGGCAGGGTGCCACCGCTGCGGGATGGAAGGGAAGCAGGGCGAGGCGAGAGGTGCCAGCCAAGCAGCAGCTCGGCAACGCGGGGCGGAGGAGGAACAGCCAGCTGCAAAAGCAAAGCCGGAGCCTCCCTGCAAGCACAGGGGAAGGCAGGGTTACCCCAGGAGCGAGCATAGGATGTGCTCGGCTGCAACCGGGCCCCCCTTATCTGCGTGCTGGAACAGCCTCCTCGACAATTATTGGCAGGTAACCCCCAGCGAGCAGCACTTCTGTCTCTGTGCACTGGCTCATATCCACCTTGCCTCTGCATCCTGGAAGGAGAGCTGCCGCGCAGCAGAAACTCGCCCGGGAAAGCTGCCCGCTGCACAGCAGGGAGGTGAGCGCCAGGAGCTCTTACTAATCCCCACCTCCCCGGCACTCCCACAGCAGCCGGGCGCTGGACGTGTTCGGGACACACTTATCAAGATCGAAAATATGCAACAGGTGAACTCGCGCCTCTCGTTTCAAGTGCCACCGCCTCACTGCTGCTGCAAGAGGTCCCGCTGTGGGAGCCTGACGCCAGGAGGAGCAGCGCTTTGTTATTTCCACCTAGCGAGGTGGTGAAGCAACGCCCTGCGCCCTTGTGGCCCTTCCTCCAGAGCTGGTCCCATGCAGGTGCTCCTGGAGAGGGGCTGAGCCCGCAGGGCACAGAGCAGCCCCCCCGTGGCCCCAATGCCCTCCCAGAGGAACCTTTGGCCTCTGCATTCTTCCACGAGAAAGCCCGAAGGGATTTCAGCTGCCCAGGTTTCAAAGCGTTGGGATTAGACATCCACAGGGTCATTGTCTGCCGCTCTCCCTGCCTCTCCACCCTCGCAGTGGAAAACGCATCCTGTTTTCAATAGCGCTGGCTTCAGCTCCGCACGGGCTAATGCTCGCTGTGATCCCCCGGCTCATTTCCCTGCAGAGCTGCTGTTTCTATGGCAAACAAGCCCAGCAAATGGAGCCGGCACACGGCAGCGGAGCCAGAGCGTGATGGAGCCGCTCCCTCCCAACCTGCTCTCTGCTGCAGCCCCGGCAATTGGGCTTTTTCCTTGTGTCCAGAGCACAAAGGGAGAAAGTGCAGTGAGAGCGCGGGGAGCCGCATCAGAGAGCGGTCCCTGAGCATGCACAAAGCCCGGTGCACGTGCACTGCTTTAGGCACACAAACGCCTGCCTGGCTCAGGCTGGATCCGGCCATCAGCAGATCCCGGGGACCTTTCAGCCGCAGGCTCCAGCCCGGCGCCTGTCACACATGAGATCTGCAATCTGCTCCATCGCTCCTCTTCAGCCAAGCGTTTTACTGCCCTGAGTCCACGCACCTTGGAGCTGGGGGGGTCAAAGTACAAACACCGCCCAGGCACGGAGAGCACGGGCCCAGGGCACGCCGTGCTGCACGCTCAGATGAGTGGCACCGAGCACAGAGGTGCCGAAAGCTTGGCAACTTCTGGAAGTCGCTGTGAGGTCTCAGCAGTTCCCTGTTAGCAGCCAGCTCGGAGGAACGCCACCACTTGAGTTTTTGCGTTTTAAAGCGAAGGAAAATCAAAGCCGCGCTCTATGGGGCTTCAGGAGGTGTAATTGCCAAACCTGAGTGCTTGTGATAACAGCGGACAAAGTTCACAGGGAGAAACGCTCTGAGGAAAGAGCTCTTCCAAACAGCTCAGAGGCAGCAGCACACGGAGCAGCCTCCTTGCAAGACAGCTTGGGGCAGTGCCAGGTACGGGCGCTCAGAAGTGAGGCAGGACCGTGACTCCTGCCATCCTTCCCCAGCTCTGTCTTTGCTCTCCTCCACTCCCAACCACTCCCGGGACCCCACCAGGAGGGCAGCTAATCCACGAGGCTTATACAAGCGGCCTCGCTGCTGCCTCGAAGCCGCACGGAGGTTAGACCCTAGAGCAGAGCACAACTTGAGCACGTGCGTGTTCATCCAGCACCCTGTGCCAGCCCTGCTCCTGCTCACACACAGCACACAGACGAAAGGCAGCTCTCCACGCACGGATCCGCTCCTCAGAGCCCCTCCTGATGGGCCCTCAGGACCTGCCTTTGGCCAGCAACACCTCCCGCCCTGTTTTCAGGCTGGGTTTGCTGCAGCCAGGCTCACGCTTTGCTTTGCATTGCTATAGGTGCGATTCCCTTCTGCACAAGCAGGTCATGATTTTGGGAAGCCAGCACAGCCAGCACACTCACTGGAGCCACTGCTCCCCCTGGGGCACCCACAGCCCAGCTCTCGCTCTTCCACCAGCACAGCCCCGTGCCCTGCATGGGCAATACAACCACTTGGCACCACGCACCCCACCCCTCAGGGGGATGCCGGCCCCACCAGCCCCTTCCCCGCAGGGCTTGGGGTGCCCAACACAGCCCCGGGGGGCCCCCAGCTGAGGCTCGAGCAACACCTGGGGGGCTCCCAGCGACCCGTGCCCGGCACACCCAGCACCCCCCCGTGTCCCCCCCGTGCCGGAGCTCACGGAACGAGCGGCACCGGGGACACGAGAGCCGGGAGCGCTTCCTGGAAGCGAGGAGGAGGGGAAAAAAAAAAAACCCCGAGCAGCCCAAGCGCTCCCCCGGCGGTGCTCCCGGCCCCGCTCCCTTCCTGCCCGGCGGGATGCGGAAGCGGGGCCGGGCGGGGGCAGCGGGGGGCGGCCGGGGCTTGGCCCGGCGGCGGCGGCGGCAGCGCCCGGGGCCGCTCTTTGTCTGCCGCGGGCGGCGGGGACCGGCGGGGGGCGGCCCCGAGGGGGTCCCCGCCCCGGGTAGGAGCCCCCCGGGCCCGGCTGTGCCCGGGATACGGGGGCTGGGGGGGGGCCGGGGACCGGGCCCGTGCTCACCTGCGGCCGGCGCGGAGGGCGGGAGGGAGGCGGCGGCGGCGGCGCCCCGGCAGCAGCCCCGGAGCCGCCCGGGCCGCACACACAAAGCCGCGCAGGCACCGCCGGCGGGACGGCGGGGACACGCCCCCTCCCGCCGCGCCGCCCAATCGGAGCCCGCGCTTCCCGCCTCGCCCCGCCCCCCGGCTCCGCTCCCAGCCAATCCACGCCCACTCCCTCCCCGGGCCCGGCGCGCCACACACGGCCACGCCCCGTTCATTTACATAGACCACGCCCCCCTCATTTGCATATGGCGCGCCGCCCCGTCCCGGTGCGGGTGCGGGTGCCGGTACCTTCGGGCCGGTACTGCGCGATGATGGTCACCGTCTGCCCCGCCCGCTTCAGCGCCGCTGCTGCCTGCTCGTGGGTGGCGTTGCGCAGGTTGACGCCGTTCACCTGCCGGGACAGCGCGGCTCCGTCACACCGGGACAGCCGCTGCACCGCCATGTGCCTGCGGGACCACCACCCCGCCCGGTACCCACACACCCTGTACCCACACCCCCAGTACTGACACCCCCTGTACCAATAACCCCAGTACCAACACCCCCAGTATCGACACTCCCAGTACCAACACCCCCAGTACCAATAACCCCAGTACCAACAACCCCAGAACCAACACCCCCCGTACTGACAGCCCCAGTACCATCACCCCCAGTACCAATAACCCCAGTACCAACAACCCCAGAACCAACACCCCCCGTACCGACAGCCCCAGTACCAATACCCCCGGTAGTGACACCCCCAGTACCATCACCCCCAGTACCAACACCCCAGCCAGCACAGAACCGGGGCTGCCCACCCCACCAGCCCCTGCTCTGTGCCAGGACCACACCGGGCAGGGAACCACAGGGCCCCGCACCCAGGGGCCTCGGCCACACCAGCACTAAGGGATGGATGGTGCTGTACCACGTCCCCGCAGCCCCGGTACCCCCAGACATGGGTCTGCCCCCAGGTGGGTGCCCGGTGCCCGTCCCTCCCCGCCAGGCCAACTCACCGAGAGGATGCGGTCTCCCCTCCGCAGCTCCCCGCTGAGGTCGGCAGGGCCTCCGGCCAGGATGAAGGACACGAAGATGCCCTCTCCATCTTCCCCCCCGACAATGTTGAAGCCCAGGCCGGTGGAGCCTTTGTGCAGGATGATTTTCCGGGGCTCTCTGGTGGGACAGACAAGGGACATTTGGACATCAGGGTGAGGAGAAACAACGCGGGTGATGGGGCCAGGGGCTGGGGCAGGGGAGGTGCACCGCACAACTGGGGCTCACAGTGACACAAAGCAGAGCACACACAGGGACAGAGCATCAGCTGGGGGCATCATGCACAGCATGGAGGCACCGGGAGCCCAGACACTGGGGACGGTGCCAGGACAGGGGAATCGCAGCCCCCCGCACCCTGCACGGCCCTCATGCCCGCAGCCGCACAGACACACACGGCGCAGCCCCGCACGGCTCAGCGGCGGCACACCAGCAGCCCTGAATTTTTCAACGATGACTTAATTCTTCTGCAGTTCAAACAATAGGCAGGCACAGGCAGAAAGACTGCCTGGCATCGCAAAAATCCAGCGCCGATTTTTCAGCTAGGAAAAAAATAAGCGCGATAGGAACGGCGGCAGCTCCCAGCTCAAGGGCTGCGTTCAAAGCACAAGGAACAAGTGACGCCAGCGAGCGCACCCTGGCAAAAATGCACGGACCAACAGCAATTGCCAGCCGACGTGGCATCGGGGACCATCGGCACGTCAGCTCGGTGACCAGCATGGATGGGCTGGATATGGGGTAGGTGCCGCAAGGCCAGGGAGCTCAGCATCCTCGCCCACCCACATCCTCCAGGACGTGGTAGAAGTGGTGCCAGTGCCTCAGGCAACACCATGACACTCGCGGTGGATCCTACAATGCTGGCAGCCCCGTGCCAAGGGACGGCTGGGGCAGGGGGCTGCTCCCCGAGCTGCTGTGGCAGGTAGGAAGATGCGGGCACCCAGGGGAATAACGCTTGGCTCAGCAGCCAGCACGAAGGCCTGCAGCCCAGCAGCGTTCTCCCAGGTGATTCTCGCAAGAAAATGTCTTCTTCATCCCCCCTGGCCAGCCCGCAGCATCAGTGCTGTCACCTGGGCTGACTGGGGAAGGTTTTGGTGCTCTCAGCACTTGCAGGAGGCAGGTTTTGCCTCTGGGGACCCAAGCCATCACCCCAGGAACCTTCCCTCCCCTTTGGGGAGTCCCGATGGGCTGAATGTCACTCAGACAGCTCGGGCTGTCACCTTATAAGGAGCAAGGGCAGCAGGAGACAGACAGACAGACAGACAGACAGACGGAAGGACACCCAGCCCTGCCTGACCCTCCCAGCTGTGAGCAGCTCCTCTCCCCGTGCCGCCTTCCCTCCCGGTACCTCTGCTCGCACTTGCTCCCGTGGCCCCGCTGCTGCCTGGCAGGGGACGGGGGCGGCTGTCCCCGGTAGGACATGGAGGAGGAGACGTTGACGGTGAACATCGCGGCGTGGTGGGGCCGGGGGGCAGGAACACCCCGAGCTCTGCACCCAGCGCTGGTTCTCTCTGCCTCCCGCCTGGCAAGGCAGCGGGGCACTTGGCTTCCCGGTCCCATCCCCACACCCTGGGTTTTTTTAGAAGCACGACAGGGATGCAAGCTTTGGCGCCTGCTAGACCCAGTGGGCTTAACCCCTTCCTGTCCCCCTGGAGCCTTCTCCTCTGCCCCTGGAGTGTTGGTGGGGAGGCTGTGGGGCCAGGCAGGTGCAGGGGGCTGCCAGGGGCAGGGAGGGCTGCAGCTGGTTGTCCCTCTGCAGCAAATCCTTGCCTGGGGCTAGAGATTTTCCTGAGGAAGAAATAGGTCAGGTTTCTGGGTCTGCAAGCCCGTGCTTCCAACCAGCCGATGAACTCGCTCTGCCCCTTGCTTTTTGCTGCTGCCCTTGAGGAAGCATCCCCAGCACGGATGAAGGCAGATGGTAGAGAGGCACCACAAGAACCCAGGAGAGGAACTAAAGCCCCAGGCAGGTAAGTCGTTTATCCCAGGTCTCAGTCACGGTACGCACTCCAGGCATCCTGAGCGGGACAATGTTCCTGCAGACGGATCCCACGCTGGACACTGCGGCACTGACACCCTGACCTGGGCACACAGCGGGGCTGTGCCAGCTCTGCATATCCATGGTGCAGCTCATGGGGAAGCAGCTGCTCTGCTCCCAGGTACTGCAGGACACGAGGGTCACTGGGGACATTGTGTGAGGAGAGGCTGAGGTCCCTGGGTTTGTTCAGCCCCGAGCAGAGCAGGCTGAGGGGAGGCCTCAAGGCAGCCTCAGGAGGGGAGCGGAGGGGCAGGCGCTGAGCTCTGCTCTCTGGGAACAGCGACAGGACCCGAGGGGACGGCATGGAGCTGGGACAGGGGAGGGTCAGGCTGGGGGTTAGGGAAAGGTTCTGCACCCAGAGGGTGGCCGGGCACTGGGACAGGCTGCCCAGGGCAGTGGTCACAGCATGGAGTACAAGAAGCATTCGGATAATGCTCTCAGATATGTGGTCTGATTTTTGGGTGGTCCTCTGTGGAGCCAGGAGTTGGACTCGATGATCCTCGTGGGTCCCTTCTAATTCGGGCTATTCGATGACTCCATGATTCCATGTCCCTGCTTGCAGCAGCACGCGTGCCTGCAGGAGGGGAAGAGGCAGCAGCTGGGGCGCTGGGCTCAACGTGCTGCGGTGGGGCCCTCGCAAGGCAGCACCATCCTCTAGCGGCCGCCGGCTCCTGCTGCACCGCAGCCACCGCTGCTGGGTGGTGCCTGGGTCGCACGATGCTCTCGGCCCTCTCCGGCCTGCCAGCAAGGCCATCAGCACGTGTGGGATCCGCGGGGATCAGGGGTCCTTGGAGGAGGGCCAGATGGTGCGGTGGCGCTGGGAATCAGTCACCTTCTGTGGTGCAATACAAACGGAGAAAGCGGAGCTCCTGCAGCACAGCATCCTCCTCCCCCGGCACCCGGGCAGCTCGTGAATGGCTGCATCCGGAGGGGAAGCAGCACGGGGACAGGCTGTGGGACCGGTGGTATCGGTGCCGAGAGCACACAGGAGACGTGGACCCGGATGGGGCGAGCGCTGCAGAGGTCGTGGTGCACAGCAGAGCCCACGGAGAGGCGAGGAAGGGATGGGGTGGACGTGATGGCAGGGGCTCTCCGAGACCACCTGCCTGATGCCCGATGGCACATCAGGGTCTTCTGCTCTGGGATCCTTCAGCGTCACAGAACGGGACCGTCCCAGCCCGGACGAGGCTGCAGCCTCGCTCATAACCACGGAGCCAACCCTGGTCCTGACCCAAGCATCAGCCCTAAACACGCAGCTGGAGCCCAACGTCCAGCCCTGGATCACTGCTCACCCCAGGGCTCGCAGCACCTGGGCGGAGGACTGGGGTCCCAGGCTTGGGGAGCACGGGGAGAGGAGCTGTACTAGGACCGAGAGCTGTGCCCCCCAGCCCCTCACCCCCTGCACGGCACCCACAAACAGAGGCTGTCAGCCACGGCTGAGGCTCTGCATCCTCTACAGCAGGGTACGGGCATGAGGTGAGGGAGAGAAAGGGAAGGAAGAGAAGGGGCAGGCTCTGGGGATGCCCGTGCCTGGCTCTCACCTGGTGAAGTCGTCGTCCCCAATCATGTGCCGAGGGATGGGCGAGTACCTGGAGGGGGTCACTTGCGGGGGGACGGTGTAGGCAGGTTTGTTCTCCACGCTGCCCAGGTAGCCCAGACTGGAGTTATGGCTTATGTGGTTGTCAGCCAAGGCTGAGAAGGCTGCAGGAGAGGAGACAGGCATCAGGAGCAGAAATCGGCTTCAAGGCGGATGGCAGAGACCAGCCCGGCACCTCCCGCCAGCTCCAGCACATGCCATCCCCCATCCCTGCTGTGCCATCCCTTCTGTCCCCGCAGAGCCCCGGGGCTGCCCCACGGGCAGCGTACGTACTGCTGGCGTAGTCGGGGGGCGCGTACATGTCGTTGAGGTGCAGGCTGCCGGGTTTGGCCACCTTCAGGTACACCATGTCCGAGGTGTTCTTCAGGGCGGCCACCGCCTCCTCGTGCCGCACGTCCTGCAGGTTGGTGTTATTCACCTGCCGGGGGGGGCAAGGGGGGTGGTGAGATGGTGGCTGTCCCCTCCCGCAGCACCGTCCCAGCAGGGATCCCAGGAAAAGGGACCAGGGATGGGCACCGTGGCACTGCGGGTGCCTGGCTGCCCACCACAGGCGCGGGGCTTACCGCCAGCAGCCGGTCCCCGATCTGCAGGCGCCCGTCCTTCTGGGCAGCGCCTCCCTCGATGATCTTGGTGATGTAGATGCTGTTGTCCCCGGGGATGTGCTGGTTCCCGATGCCCCCTGCGATGCTGAAGCCCAGTCCTGGGGATGAGCAGGAGGGGAGGAGAGGGTGAGGGACCCTGCTCCCGACCCAACGGGCCCCCTTCTCACTGCCCAGCCGCTATTGGCTTCGCTGTGGGGCTGCCCCACACCCTGTGCCACGTAGCATCCCACCCTGCAACGCTGGGGCGGACACCCAGGGGACACCCCACACCAGCCCGTGGGACTCACCTTTGGGTCCCTTCATCAGGTTGACCTCCATGATGGTCTCCGGTGGGGGCTGCCGGCGCCGCACCACGAGCCGCACCACGGGGCCCGCTTCCTTCAGAGCCTCCACGGCTTTGCTGTGCACCACCTCGGAGACGTCCACGTCGTTGACTCGCAGCACACAGTCATTCACCCTGCGGGTACAACGTGGCCCTGAGCTCCCAAGAACCGCCAGTCCGTGCTACCACACTCATCTCTGCCACCCTCCTCTGGCTGTGAGGATGCTCATGTGAAGGGGGAACTGCTTGAGCTGGCCAGATCCCACTCTTTGGGATGAGGAGGTTTGCAGGAGTAAAAATGTGGGGTGACAGCGGGGTCCCTCCCCAGGGGGCGGAGGCAAAGGGGGAGGCAGTGAGGCTGGTCCCTGTGCTGTCACCCTACTGGAGAAGGGAGCTGGGGGAAGGATGGATCCTGCCCCAGGACGCACAGGGAAGGAGGGGAGCCAGAGCCAGGGAGGGCAGGCAGGATGCTGGTGGCAGGGGGATCCCTGCAGAGGTGACCTGGCCGTGGGTAAGGGGCTGGGAGGGAGCAGGGGTGGGAGCTGACCAGTGGGGCAGACGGAACCAGGATCCGGGGTGACCCCCCCCCAGCCCCATACACTCACCCCAAACGTCCATCCATGGCTGCCGCTCCCCCGGGGATGATTTTGGTGATGAAGATGCCCGGGTCATCTGGAATGTGGGGGTTGTCGATCCCTCCTGCTATGCTGAAGCCGAGGCCGGAGTTACCCTGCGGGAAACCACAGGCGGCGGCTGTCCCATGCGGCCACTTCCTCGCTGGCAGCACCGGTCTGACAGCAGCGAGCCCCCCCTTATAGCATCCCCCCTGCTCCGGGAGGGCAGTGGGTGCGTGGCTGAGGGGAGGCCGGCGCTCGTCAGCCCGGGTGCTGGGCGCTGAGCACCCAACAGATGGAGCGGGAGCGTGGGAGCCGCCAGGACCTCCCTCGCCGCCACGTCTCTGCCGAGAGACTGAGGCAGGCAGCGTGCGGGGGGACGAGGGGGTGGTCCTTGGCGGAGAAAACCTCCCCTCGCTGGCGGCTCCCCAGGAGGAGACACTGAAGGCACAGCCCGTGTGGAGAAACGGGGCTTGGACCCACCACCAGCATCTGTCCCCTGCGCCCCCCGAGGCTCCTGCAGTGCTGTGCTGGGTCTCGACACCGTGAAACAAGTGGCTCCCTCGTCAGCCCCGCGGTGCTGGTGCCAAACTCTGCACCAGGGCAGTGGAGGGGGCTGTAGGGATGGAGATGAAGCCTGAAGAGGAAGGAGGGAGCCACGCCGTGCCCCTGTCCTGGCACACTCACTGTGTCCCAGCAGCATCCCACCATCAGCAGGCACTTCTGCCCAGCCCCGTGCTGCCTGCCCCACTCGTGGGACCCCACTCGGTCACACACTTAGGGGCACTGCTTCCCCTGCCGTGCCTGATGCAAGTGGACAATTACTGATTTTTTTTTTCCTGCTCTGCCTTGAAAATCAGATGGCTTGTTGCCTTGTTTTCTCATGCGGAAGAGCTGACACTTAGTCACATCCTACCGTGCCCGCCTCTCACACACAACTGCGCTCAGGCCAAGCACTGCCCCTGCTGCCCAGGGCCCCCAGGGTGCTGCTGCTCACCCACAGGTGATGGGGAGCTCTGGGAGCCCCCTGATGGACCCATGGTCAGGAGGGCTGCACCCACACAAGGACACCAGGAGGTGTGGCTGCCTAAAGCGGACTCCTGACTTTGCCTCTGTCCAGCTCTGGAAGGGTGCTCTGTGATGCTGGCTAAGAAATCTGGGAATGATCCAGGAGGGGGTTGGTTTTATTCTGATAAACCAGAAGAAATCAACTTCAAGAGATTTCTTTGCTGGCATTGGGGCTGCTGGAGACGTGGGGGGCAGCACCTGCCGCAGACACGTGCAGTGCCCATCAACCCACTGCCATGCTCCTCTGCGGGCACAATTTTGGTTATTGCCCCAAAATGCTGCTGCCTTTGCCCTTTAAAACAAAGACAGGGATCAATCACAGAGAAGTGATGCTGGGATGTGCTGGGGTTGTCTCTGGGAGCTGAACATCCTGGCAAGGGGACAGTGTCTCACCTGCAGGCAGCAAGGAGCTCCTCCTGCAAGGAGATGGGGCCGCAGTGGTCCCACCGGGCCAGGGAAAGGGGACAGACATGGGTCAGGTCTGTGCTGGTCCTGGCACTGCATTTCCCTTGTGGTTTCTGGCTGCTTGGAGCCGGGCAGCAGACCCCTGCAGCAGCAGAGCAGTGAGAGCTGCACAGCAGCCTGACCCTGCCAGCCCCAGCCGGCTGTGGGCTGAGGATGCTCTGCAGCATCCCCGAACACGAGGCTTTTGCCTCTACAGAGGGCTCGGAGCAGGCAGCACTCAGCCCAAAAAGGAAGCATCCCCTGGGCTCGTTTCGTCAGGCACGCTGGGGAAGCGGTGGGTGAGGCTGCAGCCCCAGATAACCTTCCGTCCACCCACCTCCGTGATGCAGAGCCGGGGGGAGGAGGGGGATGACTAAAGGCACAGGAGAACGAGTGATGTGTCTTCCCCTGCGCTGCTGGCCAAGCAGCGAGGAGGAGGCCGTCGCCTCGCTCGTGCTGCTGTGCCAGGAGATGGAGGCCCTGCACGGGGTGGGACAGGGCTGCCCCCCGGCATGCAGCAGAGAGCTCATCCCGTGGTGCTGCCTGACCCCGCTGTGCCCACGCCTCGGAGCAAAGCTTGGGGCAGCTTTTCCTGCTCCCTCCCCATCCCTCCTGCGCACAGGGATGCAGCCTCTGCACCACCCGCTGCTCCCAGCACCAACCCCGTCCCCTGTGGGAGCCGATTTTATCGGCTGTGGCGCAGCAACCAGCGTCAGCTCTGTGTGGCCAGGGTCTCACCACGAGATGGGGGAAGGCGCAGGCAGGAGACCCCCCCCACCGCAGTCTGGGCTACGAGAAAACCTGTCCTCGCTGCTCAGCATCACCAGGCTCAGTGCCCTGCGGCGAGGCAGAGCCAGCCACTGGGGCAGGGGGGCGGCAGCCGGGCGAGAGGCGAGAGACAGAAACCCCCCCCCGCGTGCGTGAGTGCAGCTCCTTCTGCCTCCATTTTCCAGCGAAGACGGTGACAAAGAGCCCCCCCCAGCCCCAGCTCTGCGCTGGCGGGGCTGCGGGGGCGAGGGTGCGAAAGAGGGAGGTGAGGGAGAAACCCTCCTCCCTCCCTTCTGGAGGGGTGCGCGGGGGGAGCGGCGAGCCCAGCCCCCTGCTGCGGGGGAAGGAAAGCCAGACACCCCCAAGCCCCTCCAGGGAGGGGAGCGGAGCCCTCCCCCCTGCCCATCAGCTCTGGGGAGTGTTTTGGGGTGAGTGGGGGCTGCCTGTGGGGAGGGCACCCGCATGGTCGGCACCGTGCCGCCCGGCCAGCACTTACCCTTTCCAAGACGATCTCCTCGTATTTAAACATCCCATCGCTGCCGTTCACCTAGGGAGAGGGAAAGAGCGCGTTAGGGCTCCGCATGCATCCCGGGGCACTGGAATATGGAGAATCCACCCCAAAACCCATGCCGTCACAGCTGACAACCTCAAATGCAGTTGTGCAAGCCTGCCCTGGAATTAAACCGCTCGCTGCTTTTCTTTCTGGGCATGATCCAAAGCCCACTGACTTTAATGTACTTTAGCTCAAACCTTTTATTCTGGCAGCTCATTTTGTGAGGAATGAAAAGGAGCTCAACCAAATCCACACAAAGCAATGACGCCTTTGTTACCCAGCATGTAATTAACCTCGGGAATTCACTGCTGCAGGAAGCAAGGAAAGGGGCTTGGTCGACTGGAAAAAAAAAAAGAAAGGTCTGTAATAACACAATGTACATCTTCAGTAGCTTATATCTTCAAAATCTATTTTGCAGCCTGGTTTTGTTAACATGGAAGAGCAAGTAATTTGGATTAATCTATTCTCTTGAATTAGCTGGTCTCAAAGGAAACAAAGTGGGATATACACCTTTCATATAGGGTGCCCCTCAAATACCAGAATGGTACAGCCTCGATGCTGCGTGCCATGCTGCTCCCTGCACTCACGAAACTCCCACAGCCATCGTGTCAAAGACGATGAAATGTAATGGTGAGGGCCCGAACACCTCTCACACGAAGGGACAGAGAAATGCTTATCAGAAAGAAAACCAAAAGCCAAAGGGTTGCGGTTGTAGGCTCTGAAATAGCAAACCTTAAATGCGCAGGTCAAAAACCTCCATTTTCCCCATCACTACAAAGGTACAGAAAAATAAGGTGGCAGTTTCAAAACGCACTCAGAGACCTCATTCACCTGCATGCTCCAGGTCATTAGAGTCAGGCCTCAGGCAGCTGCGAAGGCCTCAGAATAAGGAAGATTTGAAAACTGATTGCATATTGAAGCCTCCAGGGTTGTTATGTGGCCACAGGACTTTGGGAGGGGCTGGCTCAAACCTCACACTTCAGGTCCCCCTGGGAGATGGGGGACCTGGCTACAGGGCTGTAAGACAGAGTGGTTTTGCCCAGGCTACGTGCTCTTCACTGCTGCAGAGGCACAGACTGGAAGTCCCCCAGCCCGTTGTGCTTCCAGAATGAGGCTGGAGAAAGCCCGGGCCAGGGGGCCAGGCCAGCTCCAGAGCCTTGCAGGACCTTTGTTGTGCTAACTGAGATCAAGAGAAGGAGCCACAGGCCTGAAACAAGGGAGATTCAAGTGGGACATAAGGAAAGCTCTGGGGAAAAGGAAAGCTCCAGGATGTGCTGTTAGGGTATCGACAGCTGTGGAAGCATTGTTGGGCTGGAGTCAAGCAAGGCCACCCCTCGGAAGGGCTTCAGGGGTTGGGAGGAACTCACTAGATGTGCTGGCAGACCTTCTCCCCTCCAGCTCCTGCTCTGCCCACAAATCCTGGGGGCACAGATGCTGCACCCCCTCGGCCAGCACCGGCACGTACAGAGCAGGGGAAGACGAGTCCTCCATGGGCAGGGGCATCGCTGCCTGGCTGCGGGACCCCCTTGCCACTGCTTTTCCTCCCCGTCCCACCACACTGACTAATCCTGAGTCCCCCTCACCGCCTCCCTCGCCCAAGCCCCCGGGCTCCTCTCGCCGCCGCAGTTGGTGGCCCGGCGTGCGGTGCGTGGCTCTGCCTCCCCCCCAGCTTTCCAGCAACTCAGATTCCTGGCACCCGCCGCTACTACACACGTTGTCCTCTCCGCTTTGGCATTAAACGCTATTGCCACACAGACAGCCATATGCACACCCACGGCCGCAGAGGAACAGCACATACATACCTCCAGGATGGGGATGTGCAGAAAACTTTGACAATCTGTGAGCCGCAGGGAGAGCCAGCAGCGCCCGCGCCGGGAAGCACCCGGGCAGGGACCCGCGGCACGGGGTGTGGGGGCACCCAGGACACGGTCCCACAGCACTCCCCCTCAAAACCTTGGGGTTGTCAATGCCAAGAGGCATTTCGTATTGCATTTTGTGTCACGTTTTGCACATTTCCCTGAAAATGAGCAGGGTCAGCACCTGCCTAGCACAGCGTGTGCCAGGTGAGCCGAGCCTGGACGTGAAGTTCTAGCTCTGATTACGTCTCCAAAACCCGTGCAACAGAACGCCAGTTAATTGCATAAGGAAGCCAAATGGAGACCTTAATATATACCACGTAACCAAGGGAACAAGCCAACAAAGCAAACGTTCCAGCATCGGAAAATTGAATACCAGTCACTCACTGACGGCAAAACCCGCCCGTGGCACCCACCGGAGCCACCGCGGCCTGAGTGTGCCACAGGCTGCTGTCCCCGTGCTCGCAGGGGGCACCCTGTGCTCCTGCCCAGCTTGCTTTGGGACCATGTCCCCTGCAACATGATGAGAAACTCTCAGGGATGCCCTGATTCCCCATCTAACTCTCTGCTGAGCTCCCTCACAATTTAGGTGCTGCCTCCCTGTTAATGGGGGGTGCAGACCTGACATGTTTTGGCTCCCATCATGGGACTTGTTTGGGAGATGTCTGGCTCCAGGCTTTCATGGGGGTGTCCTGGGATGTGTCCCAGGGCCATCCCTTCCTGGCCAGGGTGAGCCTACCCCACTCTGCTTTCATTTCCCTGGGTTCCACCTGCAAAGCCCATGGGGGTGTGGGGCTCATTAGCTGTTCCCAGCACAGCCCAATCCTGAGCAGCAGCTGGTTTGTAATGGAGAAGAGTCAGGGTATTTTTTCCAAGCCCATCCCACGCAGCAAGCCCACCTGAGGCCTCAGGAAGAGGCCCCCTCTCTGGCCTTCGCTTCTCTTTCGTGTTTTGAGCAGCAGGGAAATAGTTAGCGATGATGACATTTAAATCATCAACAGAAGGCTGCAGAGTTAACACTCATTTGATAAACAGAAGAGCGCACACCTTCCAGAGCTACTGCAAGCTGTCTGCAGGCTCAGCCGGCCAACACCGCACCGTCGCACGTGGAACACAGTTTGCAATTTGCTAGAGAGTCGGGGTTTTTTCAAAAAGAAAAAAGAAAAAAAAAAAAAGGAGGCCAAATTTAGAAGGATAAGATGGGGTTCCTCAAACTAACCCAAATTGCCCAACAGGCTGCAAGAAGAATAAACCACAGGAAGAGTAATCCTCCTGCTTTCTGAGCAGGATGTGGCCCTCACCTTGCTGTTACCATGTGGTGGGGCCAGGCACCGGCACCTCGCTTTGGGTGAGGCTGCAGGTCGATGCACATGGCCGAGCCTTTGCCAAGCCACACGACAGGGCTTTGGAGTGACCTCCCTGCTCCCTGGCAGCAGTCTCTGCACACCCTGGGCAGAAATAACTTGTTTCAGCTCCAGAGAGGCAGCTCGGAAACACAGACAGCGCTGCCTGCCATGGGAGCTGTGCTCCCCATGCTCCATCTACCCTCTAGGGACAGGGTGTGCAGAACACACCAATGGTGAAATGGTGATCGGCAACCTGGAGCTGCAGGTGGGTGCTTGTGTGAGCCCAGCCTGACTACAAGCTGCAGACTATTTATCCTTCAGGGGCTGCTTTTAATAGAGAAGGAATTTGATGAGGATTTTGTTGGGTTTTTACACGCTGGGAGTGCTGGGCTTGGAGCCGCAGGCAGCATAGCTGAGCTCTGGCCCCGGCAGCAAGCGGGATGCGGGGCCACAGCTCGTACCTTGTGGTGCTGCTGGTGCCACATGCTCTTGGGGATGGAGGTGGGTGGACAGAGGGACTGAAATGTGGAGCAGACGTCTTGATAAACAGCCGGGGCCAAATTCAGCCCAGCAGCTAGTCCAATGTAATCAATGGAGCTAGAACAGGAAGGAACTAGACCACATCCATCTGTTTATCATTAAGGAAAGCATTGAATAGTTAAGTAATTAAAGACTGGAAGATGTGACATTAACCCTTCCAAATACATACTGTACCAACAGGCTTCGGCTTTTGTTTTTGTAAAAGAACTCTGTGCCAGACTCGCCACTTCACTGTGTTCTCCTGCAGAAATCCCCTGCTGTGGCTGCTTTGCTGACCTGCGGGACTGCTGAGGGGAGCCTCTCAGGTTTGTTTTCCCTGGAGCCTGGCTCCCCGGGAGGGGGGTGACAGGATGGAGCAGGGCTCGCCCTGGCTCCAAAGTTCTTTGCAAGCCATTTTTTGGCACTGAGTTTCCAGCGGGGAAGGCTGGTTTCTGCAGAACATCCTTTGGGAATAACAACTGTGTTCTGCCACAGCTCTACAAGGCTGCTGGGCCCAGGACCACCATCACCTTCTTCCCAAAAGCCAGGAGGATTTGGCTCAGCACCTGAGGTGCTATTAAACAGCGTGTCCAGGGCTGCAGAGGGCCTGGCTGGGCCTCCCTTCCTTTTGGTAGCCCAACAGGCCCAGCACGGCTCTGATGTGCACCAAGCCTATGAGAGGCTGTGGGCTGACATCTCCAATTTGTTAGGAGGAAGGTTCGACCACCAGAAGTAACCCACAGCCTTCCGCCCCGAGTTCAAAGGCTAACCAATACAAGTCCCAGTGCTGCTTTGTTAATGTGGAAGGCAACCAAAACTTGCTGCATCGTAAGAAAAACAGGTGCAAAGCACACAGCCCTGGCAAGAAGTCAACTGAACTCCCTTTTGGGAAGAAAATGGGAGCACCCCCGAAGCACAGAGCCAGCAGAGCAGAAATCCACGCTGACCGCCCCGCTCCCTCCATCCCCCCTTGCAGGAATGAGTTGCAGACGCTCTGGTGAGGGATGCAGCAGCTCCCAAACCCTCTCTGCAACGAGCCGAGGAGGAGTATAGCAAGCCAAGAGTGCCAAGCGCACTATGGCTGCAAACACTCCCCATCACCGAGCACTGCTCAGCTGCTGGCAGCTGTGGCTCTGCTCAGCGTGGCCCAGCTCCAGCTGGGCTCGGGGCTGGGATGTGCTGCGGGGACATGGTGCGGGCCCCAGACTCCTCTGCCACCTGGCTGGGGCCTCCCCGGGTGGAGGAGCCTTGTGGAAAAGAAGGGAAACGAAACCAGGAGACTTACAGAGAGCCCTTGTTCCAGCGAGTCTGTGTTGACGATAATGGGAGCAGGGTTGGCCTGTGGGGAGACAAAAGCGGCATGTCACCGAGCTGAGCGCCGAACCCAGCCCTTCGTGGGGCACAGCCTCACCCGGCCGTGCCACCACAGGCCCTCCGGGAGAAGGCAGCTGAGGAAGGGCTCTGCTCTTGGCCCTCCTCCATGTGCCCAGCAGCCCTGGGATGGATGTGGGGACACAGCACGGCTCGGGGCACGGGTCCCCTCCTCTGGCCCGGTCTATGCCCCCCTCAGGCCTCAGCTGCAGGGAGGGAGACAGGGAACACAAGAAACTCTCCCAGCCTCTGGCAAGAATCACACCAGCACCAAAACTGATGTGAAATCCACATTGCTGAGGGATTAGGAAATAGGAGGAGTAGGGAAAGAAGTCCTTCCGCAGGGGGATATATTGCCAGCAGACCAGCCCTGAGACCTTCAGACACCTTGCAGCAGCTGCTGCTGTCCCTCTGAGCATGGGGGAGACCTGCTTAGGTAGGGAGGCTCCCTCAGGAGAGGCAGATGGGAGTGCTCCAGCCCTGAGGCTGAGGAGAAGGCTACACCAGGGGGTCCTGCCATCAAGTCGAGCCCAGCCGTGCCCAGCCAAGCCATGCCGGGCTGTTCCGTGCCGTGCCGGGCTGTGCCGAGAGCTGTCCAGCGCCACAAGCTCCTGAAGGTGCTGTGCTGTGCCTGCGGTGCTGCTCCTTCCCCCAGGAGCATCCCCAGCTCGGGGAGGCTTCTCCACAAGAGCGTGAGGGAGAAGCGGCTAAAGAGGAGGAATTTCATGGCATCATCCCAAGGTTGGTGTGGAGAGCAAGAGCCACAGCTGGGTGGGGAAATGCTGAGAGACATGAGCTACAAGGGGACGTGAGTCCTCTGCCTTGGGGCATCACAAATATCAGCCAGGGCAAGGAGCAACTGAGACATAGTGGAGGCGAGGGTAGCAGTTAACTGGAAGCACGGACTGACCAATACTGCGGGTTGCACAGCCCGGTGGCCTCTCTAAATCTATGAGACTTCCTCAGGAGCAGACTACGGCCTCGCTGCCCTCCCCTGGTATATATCTCCCTGATGTCGACCCACCTCCTTCCATAACCCAGCACTGCACGCCCCACCTTATCCTGATTTAGCTGGCGGTATTTCTGGACTTTTCGCTCGTGGTTTTGTAGGTGGGAGAGTTAAGGGTCAGCTGGATTATAGTTTTGGTCTTGCCCAGAAAGGTTCTGCTCTCATAAGGATGGGAGCAGGAGGTAGTTAATTTGATTTATTCAGATGCTTTCTGATCTTTCCTGCAGCTGTAACTATTGGTTACAAACCCATAGTTTTTATGGCAATTAATTCTCTAGCTCAGGCAAATATGACCACTTCCAAGCTCTCCTGCCAAACCCCTCCCACACGAGTAAGAGAATCACAATTTTCAGGTCCAATGTCTTGGGATCTCCATGGCCCAGAAGCAGTGTTAAGCTGGGAATATCCCCTCTCTGGCAGTACACAGTCCTTGTATTTAATCCAGATAATTTGTGAGATAGCATATATTAAACCTGGCACTGGCTTTTATTAGTCCCCAGTGCAATTCTAGGAAGGGATTCCACATTTCAAGGCAAAAAAGCAGCACTTCTACTGCCAGCAATTAACAAACGGTGGATGTTTGAACCTTGGTGTGCCAGAGGCCAGCTCTTATTAGATGAGTTTCCAGGAAGGATGCAGAAGAGGCAGCCTAAGTAAATGCAGTCCATCACGTGCCCCCTGATTTACGACATGAATTCAACCCCACAAATGATGCTTTGGATCCCTCCCAGGGAGAAGTGCTCTGTATGATAATGTTATAGAGGCGTTTGCAGGTCCAGCCTGAGTCCTCCAGTGAGCCCCACTGCAGTCTCTTTGTTGAATTACTAATAGCCCACAAATCACACATCGCATTGCCTCACTCACACAGTGGTGAGCCCTAAGGACATATTTTGTCTAGCCTGCCCGCTGCGCACTGAGCATCCTTTGCAGCCATTCCACACTAGTGATTTTTACATCTCAGAATACTGCTAGGAGCACAATTTCCCACTCAGGCTCCAGATGGGACCCAGGAGATGCTGAATGAGAGTGGCTGCTTAAAACGAAGTCGCACATGGTCAGAAGGAATTCAGACCAGGAAATCCCCGTTTGCCTCCTGTGGCCAGCTATTCCAGCTACTACAAGAAAGGTGATTAGACTTTAGCTCTGCCTTCCACTTCCCAATATCCCAACATTTGCACCTTGCCTGGTAGCACAGGCTCCACTTCTCTGGGCCCCAGCGACCAGGGAAATCTCAAATCCTGACCTTCAAACCTCACCCCCCTTCAACGCTATTCTCTTCAGCTCCTGTTGCTGCCCAGATTTTCCCAACAGCTGTCCTCTGCCTCGCTGGCTTTGTGCCTCGATCAATCTCTCCGCATATGTGCGATGACCCCCCTCACTCCCCAAGGTCCTCCTTGCGTCCCACCTTCCCTGCAGCCTTCAGACACCGAGCTGGAGGATCCGTGCAGCTTCTGCCTGGTGGAGGGCAGCCAGGGCACCTCCAGCTCCTCTAGGCTTCGGTGGTCATGCTGCCGTGTGGTGAATGCCGTAGGGCTTGGACCTCTTTTCACTTGTAAACCGCCAAGCACCAGCAGGGCTTGGTAAATAATAATAGCGTGATGAAGCGTTTTGGATGGAAGAGATCTGACAGCCCCCATTGAATGTGACCTGAATGCACAGCCCTGTTCCCTCTCCTCCCTGCATGCGGCAACCCCCTGCTCCTTAGGGCATAAATTACGTACCGTTCCCTATAGAATTGAGGGCATGGTTAATTCACCAGCATGTTCCTGCTGCCCAGCAAAAAATAACGATGATCTCTCTCCTGCCCTGGCTAGCAGAGGGCTTGGTAAATGTGCCTGCCTGATGGAGGAAGGCAGAGGCTTGTCAGCCCAGGGGCACTAGTGCCAGGCACCAGTGGGCAGTCAAGCTCCAACTATTTTTAGTGCATCACCCCTTTGCCTCCGTTTCTATTGGTATCATCTGCCGGGATGAAGGTAGGATTTGCAAAACGTGACAATTTTCCAAAACTTCCAACTGAAAGAAAAGCTGCAATTAAATGCAAATGGAGGAGGATTGTTAGCGTGCTACAGAGGGAGCAAGGCTCATCCTGCAGCATTCCCACGAGGACTGGGTCGGTTCTGAACTGGAAGCCCAAGCTGTTCTCTCCATGCTGATATCCCCAAGATTTGCATCAGGTTCACATCCTCCGCAGATCTGGCACAGGGGCCAGCCTGCAGAGGTCAGGAATTATGTACCTCCTCCAGACAAAATAAATGTGCTGCAGACCGCTGAGACCTGCTGCAACTGGATTGTGCCCACACACAAACCCATCTCCATCTCAACCAGCAGCAGGGCTGAAGCAGGAGCCTCCAGAGCTGACAAATTCATGTCTGGACGCACAGACCTGGCCTCTGCAGGAGGCCTGCGTGCCCTGGGTGTCACGCACAAAGGGGTGCATGACACAGAGAGGCTATTTGCTACCCTCAACTTGTGCATAAGAAGCCAAGCACTAAGTTATCTGCTTGAGTTTTGCAACGTTCCCAGATTGGATCAGAGTGAAAAGTCTATCTGCCTTTTAATATCCTTTCCTTTATATCATTTCAGGTATAATAGCAACACTCAGAAGGAAATGGCTCTGGAGATAAGTGGAATTCAGTCTTTACATCCTTTTAAAAGCTCTCAGGGGCAGAGACCAAGTGGGGAGATGCCCAACAGAGGCATCTGAGCTGAGTGGACAGGCTGGGCTGCTCGTCGCCAGGCTCCATCTGCTTTGTGTTTTTTAGTTGTTGTTTTTTTTTTTTTTTAAGGGTGTAAAATCTTGGTGAAAGCTGTGCATGTGCAGCGTGAACAGCTGCTGCAGGGCAGGGCCCTGCTGTGAGCACGCAGGTCCTGGCACAGACGGATGCTGCGGAGTGGTGTTGGCGGGGGATGCGCGGGGAGCGGGGTCACACCGCGCTAACCCATGGACTTCCCAGGAGTGAGCCCAGGTCCTGGCAGCGCAGCACTCGCCGGGGCTCACCCTGATGAGCGCTGACACGCTCATCTGTTTTGCGCCAGGCATTCCTGCCCTCCACACAGACGCTGCTTTTCCCAGCACCAACGGAGAGCCCAAACCTGTGGCTGCCAAAAACATCCTCTCCCAAAGCATCTGAGATGACACGGTTGTTCCACAGACACCCCAGGTGTCGCTTCCAAGCTCAGGGCAGGACATACACCTGGTGCAAGGGGCTCCCCAAAGCCACCTCACAGCCTTCCCAACAAGAAATGATGCTCAGCACATCACTCCCTGGAATGAATGCTGGCTCCGTGGTAACACGTGGGTTTTTCCTACCTCTCAATATCAAATCCTACTCCTCCACTTCTTAATGGAAGAGGTAACAAACTGCTGCCAGAGGCTGGTCCCCTTCTCACAGCTCTCCATGACCACCTAGTTTTACTGTCTCTCCACACTGTGGCAGGAGCTGTGCTCTGCTTGGGAGTGTCAGAGGGCTGCAACCACCCCAGTGTGAGATGGATGGGCTAAGGGGTGGGATGAGGGAAAGAAAACAGGCTGAAACCTTCTGGAGGCTGAAGAATTTCATGTCCAGAGATGAACCTCCCTTCCTTTTAACCAGACTAGACAAAATAACACTTTTTGCACTTTGTTTTGCCCACTGGCTGTCACTCCTTGGGCTGGCTCCCCCTGAGCCTTTTCCACAACACCCCAGCAGCATGCCCTGTCCGGCAGGCTGGGACACCAGATGTCCCCTCCAGGCTGTGTCAGGGACAGCTTGGTCACTTCGGTGGCATGAGCAGCCCCTGCCCTGTGCTGCGCCTTGGCACGGGCTCAAAGCACCACGGGCATCCTGGAGATGGGGAGCGCCGGCAGAACTTGAAAGGTCCGTGGTCACAAGGATCATTGGCAACGCCACTGAAGTGCCCAGAGTTTAATGTGAACACAAGCAGCTACTGAGGGTTTAATCTTTGCTTTGGTGCTTTTC